ATGAAAAAACCGTGACAACCTGAACAATACGAGGCGCCTTGCGTCCCTCAGCTTTTCCTGGTTGCTTGTTTTTCTGGAGTTTTTCAAAAGGGGATGAAAAATTATGAACCGATTGACCCGACTTGCCACATTAGAGCAGTTAATTTTCATTACGACAGGCTCTCTTAGAGCGTCTTGCATAGTTCAGCTTGTATTGGTCCGTTTTTATTTTCGGTTCCTTTCAAAACGTGAGCTCTAAGCCACTGGACCAAACTACCACATCATAATCTGCGAAAGCGGAGAAGTGGAAATTCAACAAAATGAATAATTCGAGAAAAATAGTCAGAGTGCAGGCGAGCTGGTGTAAGTTGAACATGATTCTAAACCTGAGACTGGGGCAGAAAGAGAACACAACAGAAGGTAGTAAAGGAGGAGGCAACGTCTCAAACTCAGCTCTGTTGTGTTCTCTTCCTGCCCCTGTCTCAGGTTTACAATCATGTTGAATAGTTCGCCCACGTTATTTGAGACCTATAGAAAAGCGCACTAGATAGAAGGGGGCCGAAATCTCTTTCAAGAAACACACAATCTTCTTTTCAATTCTGTCTAACAATTGATGTGAAGGTGTACTTGGCTATGGGCATTATTCGTTTAGGAATCAAGCGAAACTTTTGTATTGGATCATTATACATCTACGTTCACTCCCATTCAATGCTTATCATGTTTTCGACTATGTACACGGGGTAGTTTTCAGCGGTAGGTTTTTAATCTGATTGCTCGCCAGAGCGCGATCCAGAACGCACTACGGCCGCGGGCCGTCGCGCTCTTCTCCTCCTTTTCCGTAACAATATACAATCAAAAATGCGGGCGGAGCCGTCAGTCGGGAACTAGTAACTCTGACCCTTTAAATACAGGCGTGACGCAAAACCCAGAGACGTCTCGTTCGCCCGCTTACGTTCTTTCCGGGCGGCGGAGATTGTCGTTTAGAGCGGTTTATGTTCAGAACGGATCCAAGTTACTCGAGCAAGCTCGCATTCTGCTCGCAAAGCCCAGTCATGCACTAAACAAAGGTAACGGACGGTGGTTCGAGAGGCATGCAACCCTTGCCCGCTTGGCCCTCCCAACCACTTCTCCACTTCCGTAAATTTTGAATGTTGTAGGTTGGTCCAGTGGCTTAGAGGTCACTTTTTGAAAGGAACCGAAAATAAAAACGGACCACTACAAGCTGAACTATGCAAAACGCTCTAAGAGAGCCTGTCGTAATGAAAATCAACCGCTCTAATGTGGCAAATTGGGCCAATCGGTTCATAATTTTTCATCCCCTTTTGAAAGGCTCCGGAAAAACAAGAAACCAGGAAAAACTGAGTGACGCAAGGCGTCTCGTATTGTTCAGGTTGTCCCGGTTTTTTTATGTCCTTCCGGCGCTCCTCAAAACGCACAGTGTTCGGTTTCTAAACGCTGTTTTTATTTTCGCACAGAAGTAAAACAAAAACACGTAATAATTTTTCACACCAGTGCAATCGAATAGAGACTTCTATTTCCAGCCATCAAGCATGTCATCCTCCAGGCCGCGCATGTTTGTGCACACTGATTAAACTATTTACATGTAGATTGACATGCACCAGAATTCTGGTACTTTCTTTTAGAAGCAGCATGTTAGTGCACATAAATTCCCCCAACGTATTGCCTTTTAATCGCGTGGAAGGAAAATGGAAATATCCCGGGCATGATTCGTGCAGAAGGCTAGATTCAATGGTCGCCGTTATTTATACAAACTCTCTGGCAGATTCACTACCATATGGCCTGCTGTCATTTCTGCAAGAAGCGAGGTTTTGATGAAATTTCGTTGCCCGGCCACTATTTTTTGTAGTGGCGCGAAAAAAGAGAGAGAGGGGGGAGAGCAATAGTTTTCGCAGGCAGATTTTTTTTTTTTGCAATTGCGATCTTTTGGTTTGTTTAGGTATGCTTTTGTGGTGTAAACAATTTTACGCACTTCCCACAAATATTTCATCCACAACGACAGTTGTAAAGTATTACGCACTACCTCGGGTGCGTTGACCTTACGCACTACAGCGTCACAGAAGCGAGTATTTCCGCAAAATAAATACGAGGACCTATTTCTCCCTTTGAATCGACCACTTTTTGTGGCATCACGACGAACACACTTTCACCATGAAGTCGTAACAAATAATGATTGATGATGAAATTGATTGGGCCCCAAAAGTAGAGCCACATCATTTAGGTTGCAAAGAAACAGGGCGTTGTTCATGCGATGTGTTTACATCCACGTTCGAATGTGTTGAGGATGAGCACCCGAAAAGCGCAGTCTGAAGGCTGCTTCCTGAAGTGGCCTGATATTTTTCCAACTTGGGAAAGGGGCGGGGGGAGAAAGGGGTGGATGTTGTGGGAAGGTGATAATATTTATTCTCATTCAGGAGAGTCGCCGGTCGTTAAAACGTCGACTCGCTGATAACGGGAAAGCCTGTGGGGCCACATTTATAGTAACCATAAGTAAAATGTGGTATACAGCTATGTCACTGAGCAGTTGCGATAGTGCAAACGATGGGGCGTTGTGGAGGCGAGTGAAGCAAAGACCTATCTTACAATTGTGTCGTCTTCATTAGAAGCAATAATTTCGATTTGCTTCTTCAACCCCTCCTGACGCCAATCTTTCCAATCTTGGATAAATCCGGGACAGCGTTGATCGCGCAAGCCCGCGCCAATATTTAAAGGTCTTTATCAAGTAGGAAAACAGACATCAAGCAGAGGTAAGGACGAATAAATGCGCAAGAGTTCAAAATGGGATGAACAACCTATGAGAGGAGATGTGTTTCAAACAGTAATAAAGAGATTAGGGAAAGCAACTTGATTTATAAGTTTCGGAAATAAATGTATTTTCAACGACCTGAACCGTTTATTCCGCAAGGCAATCCTTCTGAAGACACGGGAATGGTTCCAGCAGCCGCGCGATGCCAGAAAGCGGCTGCTGGAACGAACCCAGCCATGCCACGTCCCCTCGATCTCCACCGACCGAGCGGCCTCGGACCTGCAGCTCATGGGAAAAAACCGTTCGGTCGCGCTGGCGTCCTCAATCTCGCGGATTGAGCGTGCCCGCGCCCCGCGTCAAGGAGGAAAGGCACCTGGACGTCTCAAGGTCGTTGTGGCGCTCGCAGCTAGCCGCTCATTTCGCGCTTTTTGGGGATTATCCCTACAGAAAAAGCCGACACAAAAGAAGCTCCGGCCGTCACGTGATTTTGGGGAGAGAGTGAAAAGAGGAGGGCGCGAGGGGCATTTTCCTACCTTGCGGAAAATGGTTTCGCTGGTCGGTCTTTAAGTCAACGGTCCATGTCAGAAAGAGAATGTGTGGTATGGATTGTGGTTATACACGCAGTTGAGCATTTCACCGCAGCGCCCTCTCGTCTATTAACGTTAAGCCAATGCATGCAAAGTTTTAACGCGATTATATACGCATTTGACCGCAGCGCCCTCTCCTGTATAGACATTGAGCGGCTACATGCAACGTTTCATCCATGACATCCCTAGCTCTTGAATTACTACCGCATCTCAGAGCCCCCCACCCATCCTGCAGTCGTGGGCGAGTGGTTAAGGCGATGGACTAGAAATCCATTGGGGTCTCCCCGCACAGGTTCCATCCTGTCGACTGCGCAAACATTTTTTTCTTTTTATGTGAGCACGGACGCTGGCCGGCTGGCCGGCCGGACGGCCGGCCGGATGGATGGATGGACAAGGCTAGACCCTAAGGAGCTTCGCCCCTGAAAAATGCGTCAAGAAAAACAGATCTCGAGAGACTTAAAGGCGCTCGTTCGTAAGCAGTCGTGAGTGCGGGAACCAGCCTCTAACCCGAGCACGACGTGGTGCCTCTTGAAGGTCCCTCTCGCACACGTCTAAGGGGAGTCGAGGCAAATTTTCAAATGCCAAAAAAGCTTAGAAAATTTGGATGCAGGCGCCTAGGACTGGAGATTCCACGTTCCGGACGTTTAACCACATTACACCCTCTACAATCACTTCAATACGGCAACAACAATAAAATCAGTTCGCAGCATATGTACACGTTACACTACGACTGCTATTTCGTGCGGAAGGGCGTGCAGTGAAGTGTTGACAACGAAGTGTACGACAGCGCCATTAATTTGGAAGTGGTGCCGCCGAAACATTGCGAAGCCCGGCATATGCTGCATCGTCCTTTACTATAGTAAGGTGGTGAATTGGACCAGTTGATGGTCGTTGCCCACAATGGGCGGTTTGACCCCATCGTGTTCTGTACCACCCAAATTTTCCCTGTCTCCACACGCCCGTGCTATAAACCGAGCTACAGTCAAACCCGTTTATAACGAACAGCAGGAAACACTACGATCAGTTCGATATAGCAAAAACCATTTACAACGAACTTCCACGATACGTTCGTTGTAAGGCTAGAGCTTCTCTTTCTCTGTCATCTCTTCGCTTCCACCTTGCAAAACACTAGAAATCTTTCTTTTTTTTTTTTTCGTGTGCGTGCTAGTTTTTTTTTTAGCTTACCTGCCGTTTTGAATCACTTCTCTTCATAGGCAACCGCTTTGCGATGAAGTTTTTTTTCTGTGCGTGTGTGCAGTGTTTTGTTTTTTAGTTTTCTCCCTTTCTGAATTGCTTCTTTTTGTTAATTTTGTTTGCGGCTTGAGCTTTTGGAATTTTCTTTCTTTCATAGATACTGTTGGGGGGAAGGGACTGGCTAGAAGACGATTGTTTACACATTTTTGGAAGCCTTCCCGGGGGAAAAAGCTCGATATAGCCAATATGCTGTTTGTTAGAAAAAGTGCCTTTTAAATGCATTTTTATTTAAATTTTCCGTGAGTTCGATATTGACAGTAATTCGCTGTACCTGTGGGTTCATTCTAAACGGGTTTCACTGTATTATGACTGCTTAAGAAACCCGAGGATCCGCCAAACAAGCTTTAGAACGAACTGCGCCGACCGCAACGGGCTCGGTAAGTCGGTGCCCAGGCGACAAGAAGACGGGTTCAGACCTTTAGTGTTCCCTCCGAAGATCCCGAAATGGCGAGACAGTTGGGTGACGAGATAATGGTGGTCACTGAACTGTCGTGTCTTCCAAGGGTCTCACACCTCTTTTCCTCCAGCCGGAAGACCTGCAAATGAAAGAAGCAGACATGCATGCCCGTGGTCCTCTTGCTCATCTACAAGTCTGGTCCTTCCCACCGTGCTAAAGCCTTCAAGCTTTAGCATGGCGGGGAAGCGCCATGGGCATTCACAATATGGGTGACTTGCCCCTGTGCGGCACCGCGGCTCTCCTGAACCGAAATAAACATTGCTATGTCAGTATCACTGTCGAAAGCATGGCAACAAAGGTCTCAATGCATTCCTTTTTTTCTGATTTGGTAGCACAGCTTGAGTCAGTGTTCACCGGTGATTTACTTTTAGTGCGTCTCAGCTCACTTCACCACCCAACGATTGAACACGATGCTGAAGAGGCCTTCACCTTTTTTGTGGACATTTTATGGGAGTGAACGCAATTTGGAAGCATTTGTTTTTAGCTTTACGACATTTATGGGAGGACGTAAGACACAAAAACAATATTTTTGAATTTTGGAGATATCCCAATGAAATTTTCAGGGTATGTTCATAACACCAACACAAGAGTACAGTGATGTCTCGTTAATATGGACACCTCTGGTTCCGTAAGAAATCGTCCATAATGTAACTTTTTAATAAAAACGAGACAAAAATGCATGTATTTTTCCAGTTTGTCCCTAAAAGCGGTGCTTATATAGGGGGGTATCCATATTAATGGGCTCCATATTAATGAGTCAGTCATTTTCCGAAAGACTTTCGGCGCGTGAGAAGCGTAGTATTGTACTAAAGTTACCACTCGTGGAGCAGGTACAAGGCTGGGGCTAGATAAGAGACGGAAAAATCGCGAGGGCGCCTTATCGCAACCGCTAGATTTGTACCTGCTCCACGGGTAGTAATTTTAGTGCACTACTATGATTCTCACGCGCTCAAAGTCTTTCTGAAAATTACTGATTTAGTGATTTTCGATGACGCCGAGCAAGTTTCTAATTGGAACCGTATGTCCATTTTCATTATTTAAAAAGTTAATTAACAAATTTTAATTAATTAACCGACTGATCGTTACTATTTGCCCCCTATAATATGTCCCCCAGGCCATATAACTCACCTCCACAAGCGGCATAAGTGTAACTTTCACGGCTTTGTTTAAACAAATCTGTTAAGCTTAAAAAGAAAACACCCTGTGTGTGTGTGTGTGTGTATAATATATATATATATAGAGAGAGAGAGAGAGAGAGAGAGAGGGAGGAAGGGGGCGGTCAAAGAAGAGGCAAGAAGGAAGTGAAGATGAACATACCTACGTCACTTATTTCAAGTAACAAATAACATAGTTACGTCTTCATAAAAAAAAATTTAACTCCAGTTGTTTCGTCTTTTTAGACGCCAATCCATGCTAATTTTTCGATTTTTTGCGCTTTTCTTTACGTTTTTTTGTGAGTTTTTAGGTAAATCCGTAAAAAAAGATAAATTATTTATGTTCGGTTTCTGCCTGAACATAATCTTTCTTGAAATATGGCGCTTCTGTCAACCTGTACCATCAAAACAGTTAAACACGTTCATTCATAATTAAAAAAGGTAACGCAATAGTAACGTGCGCTTCTTTTTATCGGTAACGGGAACGGTCACGCATTCCTTTTATATGTAAGTAACAAGTAACATACTTCATTACTTTTTTTTGGTAACACCTACAACACTGGTCAAAACTGCCGTGTGGTTCTCGAGTCTGTGTGAGGAAGCGGCAGAGGGGAGGGGGTGCTTTTTGATGTTGTGCCAGGGGCTACATAAAACTGCCTCCCGCATACGGCCCGCGGGTTTTGGGTTGCCGACCCCTGGTTTATGGAATAAATCCAAATATGTAATTCTCTAAAAAACATTTTTTTTTTCGCGATTTTTTTTTTCTTTTAAAACATTCCCCCTTAAAACGAACCTCACAGTTTACGATTTTTGGACACCAAAGTCTCGACTAGTGCCGAGACGTGTCAAAAGTCTACCTAAAATAAAAAAATCCATGCAGGACGCACGTGACAAAATTGCCCATAACGAAGGACGAAATTTTACAAGCTCGCATGGAAACTCAACTTCCAAGAACACTCAAGTCGACACAGGAACAAAGAGTGCAGGAAACAACCCTCATGTTTCAAAGACAGAGCATTGCCACTGCAACGACTATCGCACAAAGAAGAGAATGGCGACAGCTCTATGGCCAGTGACAGAGTAACTGGAGCGCATCTGTTTCGTCGCCCTGCCTGAAGCGTTATTAAAGCAGGACGTTTGTGCTGGAATCGTGACATCTGAAAGACCTCTGTGTGCGGCGCCATTTCGTTCGACTGCAGCGCCTCCGGGCATTTCAGCGAACTCGTCGGGGTAAAAGAAGGAATGAGCATACACCCTTCTCATTGTTTGGGCAGTTTTGATGGGCTTTGCCGCCGGAACTTCCCAAACATGAAGGCTCATTTCCCACTCTCCTCTCACCATAGTCGTGAAATCTCGTTAATTCAAACTCGCGGATAATTCAAACTAACATGCAAATCCCGTCCTATGTGTTTCTAGGAAGGAAACACCTTGCATTATTCGAACAAAGTTATGGCCCCCCTTGGGTTCAAATTAACCAGATTCCACTGTAGAATGGTCTATAGACATGACGCCCATCATGCATTTACGCTCCAGCAACCGTCAACCGAAAGAAGCAGATGGCCGAGACGTACGTTGACGCTTCCGGACTTGGTGCCGAAGAGGACGGACCCGTGGTCGTGCGAGAAGCAGCAGCACGAGACTTCCTGGTAGCTGTTGTTGTTGTCGTGGTCTCCCAGCTGCATCTTGGACTCCTGCCTGGCCTCCAGGCCCGAGCAGACCTGCCGAGCACAGAACTTCCTTGTACGAACGTTCAGAGAGTTTGAATTCGTTTCCATCGTTCCATAAGGGCCACACAGAAACATTATCTAGCTCTGGGTTAAAAAAAAAGCCAAGTTTTGCTTTAACATCTTTCTGCTTTAGGATGAGGTTACCCTGGAACTGCATTTTACTAAAGCGAAGACGGTCGCGAAAGCGTAAGCCAACCTTTACCTGGAAGAAGCCGGTCTCGTCGAACGTGGCGAGGAGGGGGCGTTCTGAGGAGCCGTCCGCGAACACCACGTCGAGGACCGGCACCAGGGCAACTCGGGAGCAGTTGCGGTGGCTCGTGACGTTCCACAGCACCACCGTGCCGTCCGATGAAGAGGACACCAGCGAACAACCATCGTGTGAAAAGTGCACCGAACGGATGTCTGGGGCGTGCCCTGCGCGCGGGCGAAGACGGAACGGTGAGTTTAAGGCCGACGTGCCAAAATATCAGAATCGCCTCTACTCAAGACGTGTTTTGTGACAAAAATATTGCACTAAAAATTTTTTTCTTTTTAGGGAATATTTGTTTCATAACGTGTGCGTCCCCTACCCGTGCACTTAAAGGGAAACTGAAGTGGTTTTGTGTTTTACAAAAACACTTAAATCGTCTTCGTTTAGCCTCCAGGATTACGCACGTAAAAAAGCCGAAACCCCTCCTTCCCGTCCCGTTTGGCAGGGGGACGGAACTGTTATAAGTACAAAGATTTCAACATTTCAGCACCTTCCACAAGCATTACCCGAGCACCAATGTTGCATACATTCCCTCACAAGTGGCAGTCCCTCGCACAGTTGAAACCTCTGGTTATGACGTCACAAGCAATGGTTGGTTTTTAATTTTTTCTCGCATCTATTCATACCTTTGGGTCAAGTGTTTGTAACATTCATATCCCTAGGGCAAAAATAAACTGGAATTCACCTTTTCTCATTTTTTTTTCCCAGAACCTTTCCAGCTTTCTTTCAACAAAAAAGTTTCTTGGGAGTTCAGTGTCCATTTAGCAGCACTTGCGACTACAGAACTGCACCACAAAATGTACTAATTCTACACAAGTACAAAACTGTCCTAAAAACTGTACTACACAACATACTAAACTACAAAACAACTACAAAACTGCACTATCGTAATATCTATCCCGAGAAGTAGCCCACCTAAAAGCGAGAGCGAAACATATGAAAATGAGGAATGGGCTAAGTTTCGATGTGCAATAAAGAAAAACTTGTAAAATAGTATTTTGGTACTCTGTGACCTGCCAAACTTGTTTTCACATTAAGGTGCAATGTAGCATAGACAACCGTCCTCCCCAGTCAGCAATGGTTGCTTATTTCTTGCTGTTGGCCAGGGCACTGCAATTACTACAAGTGCGCTATCTTTCAGTTGTTTAATAAAAAAAAAAAAGCAAATCACGTCAAAAATAAGGGTCGGTTACCTTTCAGAGGGTAATCTTTTGGGATATTATGGTATACTAAGCTACACAACTACGAAACTGCTATATGAAATACTTTAAACTACACTACAATAAAACTAAAAACACTACTACACTAAACAACTAGAAAACTACTGCTACAAAACTGCACTACAAACTGCTAAGCTACTACCAAACTAGGACTACGAAACAACCACGACTACCACAACAATAACTATAGAACAACTACAACTACAAGCCCACACTACACTACAAAACCCCAATATCAGCGAGCTGCTGGCGCAAGCACAAACGTTACGCGACGCACACAAACAAAATGACTCCAGCGACGCCGCCAGATGAAGCTCCGAGCGCGGGGCTCACCCTTAAAGCTCCCGACGACTGCCCCGGTTTTTATGCTCCACAGCAGCACGGCACGCAGCGTGGTCCCCGCCGCGACCAGCAGCCCGTCCGGCGACACCGCGCAGCACGTCAGGTGGTACTGAGTCGTGAAGCTGTTGTAGCACCGCTTCGCCCAGCCGTCCTTGACGGCACCGCGTTGCCACTTGCAGACGTACTGTCCCGCGACAGACAGGACGCAGTCGGGCTCGCGCGGTGAGGCACAGCAGGCGCGCACTACGCCGTTCGGGTGGTCCAGGGTCCAGTGCTGCAGTGGTGCCGTGTGTCGCGTCTCGCTCAGGTCGCGGCGCACTTCGTACACCTGGACGCGACTGTCGGAGAGCGCCAGTGCCAGGTAGAGCGAGTCGCACGTCAGCGAGCAGGTCAGGATCGAGGCCTCCTGGCGGGGAACTGCAGCAAGGAGCGGTTCGCCCAGGTCGCCCCCCACAATCGTGTGGACCTTTGGAATAGAAAAGAGGACTTTGCTGAAATTAGCTTCGGGAATTAGAATGAAATTGTTAGTTGGGATTATGGTGCCAATGCTGCCACTCCAACTTAAAGGGCAACTCCGGTCCATACTCTAGATTTTGGGATTATGACTGCTTTTAGTGCAGTCAGCATTCCTTAATTTGCTAGGTGTATATTTTTCTCGTTATTATGCATAGTTTTTAAAGATATCGACGCCTCAAAGTTTTGTCTGGGGTGCGGTCAAAAAAACCGAAACTAGCCGCTCGAAGCCCCGGCAACACTGGAAATCAGCCGCTTTGTGAATGTGACGTCAGGATCGTCCTTGTTCAACAAGTATGCAGGCTGAGCGGCACCTACCTCTGTTGCGCTAGCCGTCTAAAGATAGGAGGCAAGCCGATTTTGTTTTAATTCTGTATACGTGGTAGTTATGCAGCATATGTAGCAAGAGTTAGTGCGTATACCCAAAAGCTAGCGACTGGAAAACCCGTGAACTCATACAGTGCCTCACACAGCATTTGTCACCTCACCGATTGGACGCCGGTGCCAGCCGAACCTCTTCCTCAAGTGCCTTTGTGTTACTCCCGGGGGGGGGGGTTAAAACATTACGTGTTCAGACATACGGCGGCGCTCTGCTCCGTGAAACGAGCATGCTCCGAGCTTCCCTAAAGCAAGAATGCAAGAAAGAGTGACAAAAAAAGAAGACTAAAAAGAAAAAAGCAGACTACTTTGCTGCAACGGGTTGGGGGCAGCTCGGTAGTTCCGCACGTTTGGTTCCCCCTTGCTGCGAGCTGGTGCCAGAGCTCTGTTCCAACTTCCAACTGTTCTGTTTTGCGCACACTCCGTCTAGTGTGCCATACACTCCAACAGGCCTTGAAAAGGTCACACTTACACTGCAACTGACACCCACAAGTAAGACACCCACTGAGTGCTCGTGCGCTTACCGTGCATGACACAGGGCCGCTCCACACCATCCAGTCTCCCCGTGTGTATGCAGTTTCTCCACACTCACACATCACATTCTGCGTTACCACTGCCTCTACCACACCAGTACGGCAAAGAAGCAGTTTTTTCGGACATTACGGTGCTTTGACCGAGGAACAAAGTACTTTAGTCTCGAGCGGTGGTATGCGAACTCCACTCATTTTCTTTCCAGTTTCATATTTATTTTACGAGATTTAAGGCTATCCATTGATGCATAACTATAAGCCAGACTTTCCTAGTGTATGTGCATTATCGCTCACAAGGCCGCTTTATTGCACCTGCGTCAAGGCCAGGAGAGCTTCCTTGGATTTCGGCCAAGCCAGAACTTCCGTCCCCGTTATTTAAAAGAATTGAATTCGAGTCGTTTGGCTCAAATGGCACAGCCCTTCCATCCTTGCTACCGCACATAGATGCAGCCATAACTCGCACCCCTTGCCCGTCGGATACTCCAGCAGCTTTCGCAACACATGCAGAAATACGGCAGCTCACCATGACAAAGCCGTCTTCGTCTCCCGACACGAGGAGCGTTCCATCGGGGGAGAAGCAGCAGCAGTTGACGGCGCTCCCGTGGACCACTTCCTTGGCCTCGCAGCTTCGAGAATTCTTCCGCGCATCCGTGCGGCTTGCGGCCCGGGGCCGCGCTCCTGTGGAGGCAGCTGCAAGACGACACCGCCATCAACACTGCAGTTGCAGCCCTTCGCTAAGTCACACTACAGTGACTAGAATGTGTCTCCAACTGGTCTGTTTACCGTCCTAGCCACTTTATGTGGCAACTTTAGCTGCCAGAGTAGCGCTACACTTTTCCTCATGCCGCCTCTCATCGTGATTGGTCTCAGCGAGCATTATAAGTATGGTGAATGAGGCGCTCAAAACTTAAGAAATACCTGTGCCGGTATGCCAACCACGCTTTCATGTGGCTCTTACTCACTTTTACTGCATTTCAAATAACAGATGGAGAGATAGAGGGAGGCATACTAATAAAAATGCAGCTGGCAGCTCGGCTACCATGGTAGCCTCCAAGCCCGAAATGTAGACCACCAGGACACTTCGGACACTGTGCATGTATAGTAGGTCTTTTTGCATCCGGTCAGTACTCTGGCAGCTACACTGCCTTATGCAGTGGCTCTAGTCCTGCCCATGAATCAAAGGTGGTCCCAGAGTTGCAACCAAGTGCGTCACAGCACAGGTAGTATGCCAGAAAAGTGCCCAACTTGGCAATCCTGGGGACATGACCTGGGCCTAATACGGTATTGCTCCAAGACGTTACATAGTGCCATAACACTTTTCTGTGGCTTTTCTCTGGCTGGCCACATAATTGCCAAAGTGCCATACCACGGAGGACCCTAAAGTACCACGAAGGAAACAAAAAAGCAGCCCTTTATTGTTGCGAAAAGAATGACGGCGCCGCGGTCATTAAAATGAGCAGCCGTAATGAGCGTAGGGAAGGTCGCTACTGTCACCTGAAGTTGCATGGAGGCGCCCACCCAGCTTCCACAGACGGACAGTGCAGTCGGATGAAGCCGAAGCCAAGAGGAGGCCGTCGCGACTGAATGTGCAGCAGTTGACGGGACCAGAGTGTCCCTCCAGCACGTCCTGCTGGATTCCGGATTGACTCTGCCACAACTGCATTAAGGGTACCAAAGGAAAATTTTTTTGTTATTATTTACTATATTGAAATAGAATTTTTACATTTTATGGTGCTCAGTCTTCTCTTTATAAATCTGGTGTTAGATTTGATATAACTTGTTTTTTAGGTTCTTGATGCAATGTACAAGCAGGAAAAAAAAAAGTGTTTTTGAGCACACGGGAGGCATGGCAGCACACTTAAAAAAGCCTAGTAAAGTAAACTAATTCGCTCCTTTTAAACCAGTGAGTGCAATGAAGCACAAAAATAATGTGTGCAACACCTCTTTCACTTTAAAATAATTAATAATAGCATAAATGCCAATTCAAGGGGCTAAAAACGTTACTTAAAATTATTCAAGGAATATAAAGAAATATATAGTGTAATCAAACCTAGACAATATATGCATGCTAAATTTGGTAGCGATAGGACAATATTTAAGAACAAGTATTCTTGTGCACAAATTGCGAAGATGCCCCAAAATTACATGAAAAGAAAAATGCATTTGAATGTTACCATAGATGTGCAGCTATACTCTTTCACAGCAGAGAAAATAATATTTTGTTAATAAATTTCCGTAAGAAATTGAAGCAACAGAAGACTGCAACGGAGGGGAGATGGCTAGGCCTACTTGTCAACGTAAATGTGTTGGCGGGCGATGTCGCAACCTGAAGAACCATGCAGAGAAAACTAGCTCAAGTGCTTGCCGTTCTGGGTTGCTTGGAGGTCTTCAAACGCGTATTTAACTAAGTTTGCAATCATAACCGGCACTAAATATTTTTATACATCAAATATAAAGATTAAAAAATAATAAAACACCATAAAACTTAAAATCACATTTTTTTGCAAGGTATTGCTGTTTTTCAACCCGCATCCTCCCTTAAAACAAAAAAGAGCAAAAATGTGTACAACAGAATAATGTCATAGTCATAGTTAAGGCTCATTCACACGGCACTGTCTGCTATCCAGAGTTATGTTACTCAACGTGAGTAGGCTTGCATAGAGTAACAACTATGGGTCACCAGGACATCCATGCTTTGTGTGAAGCACTGTAACTCATTCAAGGAGTAGCTTTGCGCATAACACACAAAGCGCAAATGCCGGAGGCCAGGCATTCGAAAGAGACGCCCTGTCGTGCTCGTCCTGTGAGCTGCTGCAGGACGTCGAGGTGAGATGAGAGGATTCCACTCACCCTGATGCGACCGTCTTCGCCGGCTGTTGCGATGGTCAGGTCATCGGGGCTGAACTCTGCGTGGAGCACCCCTAGCTCCGGCGGCCGCATCCGCAGTTTCGCCTGGGACCACGTGTCTGGCATGTTGCTGAGAGGGCAAAGGACGATGGTTTCAGTTAATACCAAGCTCAAGCCTGGCCACAAATTTCACTGATTATGGTGCAGAAAAAAAGAAAAAAAGAAAAGCCTTCCAGAAATTGAAAAGTTTTAAAGTGTGACCCCGGCTTTAAACTCATGTTATGTCACACACAAGTTCTACACCTTCCAATGTGCTTTCCTCGCATGAATGCTTGTGTTAGCAAAATATTGCAGTATTTTGCCTGTGCTATTTCTGTGCACGTGAAAACGTGCAAAAAAAAAATGGGGTAGCTCACCGGTAATATTGCCAGCCCTACTGATTGCATAACAAAAAATCTGCTCACTTTTGAAAAAAAAAAAAAAAAGAAGTGGGCTGCTAAGTGTTGGATTGTACAAATTACACAATAAGCTGCAAGATTGTAAAAATTGTACTGGTGTTCCGAACATTATATGCCCTTATGGTGCCGTATCCGTGCATCTAGTTATAAAGCAAAGTATTTCAAAAGAAGTTTTCGATCCTCTCCCAGACACCCGTATGAAGCAATGACCCCTTCCAAAATTTTGCAGTTTCCAAGGGAAACGAAAACAACCCCCGCCACTAATGAAAATCGATTCGTTTATCAGAAAAAAAATAATTCACATACTAAGAGGATGCAATCTTGTATCATCAATCTGCCCCCGGCCAAACAGCGTCTACGTTCATAACTTCTATGAATGACGCGGGAATAGAGTCAAAAACAGAACAGTCATAAAAAAATGCATATTCAGAAGGAATATTTTCAAGCGCTAAACGTTTTACAATCCAATCGCGTACGCGTTGCCGAAATGCACAAACGTGTGCAGTGCACCTCTTCATGCACAGCACATTAGCGCCCCTCCCCCCCCCCCCTTCTAACAGAAAAAAAAGAAAGAACACACCAATTAAAAGTTGACTGAGAAAGGCACAGTCCTCCCATGGTCAACAGCATATTACGCGAACGCGATGCTGATAAACTTAGGCGCACAACCACCTAGCGCACGACGGACACCCACCCCTCAAACGGCCGCATGTTGTCTGAGGCACAAACGCAGCGCAACCATCCGCCCAGTTCGTGGCCCCCGCCACCGCGAGCTGCAAGCAAGTGACCCCCCCTAGCACAGCCTCAAGAAAAGGCCGAAGACCCACCCTAGCAACCTGTCACCCCAACTTCGGCAGCCACCCCCCTTCCCAGCCTGCACCTCCCCACCATTCCTTCCAGTCGTGCGCATACTGCAGTAACTACAGTCAAGGCGAAACAGATTCGTTCGAGCAAGAAACGGAAAGCCATGTTTTGAATTCCCAGTACAATCAGCATGGACCTTGGAGCAGTTGAGCCGACAGATGCACTGCTGAGTCCCACACAACATTGTATCACGAGCAAACATCACAAAGTCAATCGAACTCATTTCACGAACGTCCCACAGTAATATCACAAGTCATTCGACATCACCTCACAAACTGACTCATTGAGATGAGTCGTTCGGTATCATCTCATGAACTCAAAATCATCTCACGGAGCCATTCGATATCACCTCACAAACTCACACTCATCTCAAAGAGTCATTCAACATCAACTTACAAACTCAAAGACAACTCACAGAGTCATTCAATATCAACTCACAAACTCAAGACTCGCCTCAAGAAGTCATTCGACATCACCTCACAAACTCAAAGTCAGCTCATGGGGTCATTCAATATCATCTCACAAACTCAAAGTCATTTCACCGATTCTCTCAAATTCACTCACAATCAAGAAATGAGTTGGAGTGAGTGCGAGTGAGTGAGTTTTTGAGCGAGTTTGCCGACGTACGCCAGCAGTGCTTAGCGGTACTCCTTTAGAGTCGGTTTGCTGACTGGCCTTGTCTGACGAGAAGCGGGAAACGGGCGCGTGCGCGTTGCGGCAGTGTGCCGAGTACAGCTCCGCTCATCTTCCTTCTTCACGAGAGTGGAAAGGTTGAAAGCTTTTTAATATTGGTTTTAATCGGAAATGCGGCGTCGGTTTGCATGATATTTTGGGTATGACCGTATTTTGACCCCCTACAGCGATTCCAGCCATTTATTTTAATTTCGTTTTCGACCGGAGTTGTCCTTTAAGGGCTAGTTTCCCCAGTATCGTGTCCACGGGCAAACAAATGTCAACACAAAACTCTGGACAGCTTCTGCCATCTATAAGCGACGGCGGCAACCTTTCCAGCCTTTTCACTCTGGTTTTTTACCAGAGTGGAAAAACTGAATTTCTCTAGGCGTCATCCTACAATTCGTCCTCGAGGTCGTCCTAGACGTCGTCCTCGAGGTTGTCCTAGAAAGCAGCCTCGAGGTCGTCTTTAAGGTCGTCCTAGACGTCGTCCCTGAGGTCATCCTAGGCGTCATCCTTGAGGTCGTCCTAGACGTCGTCCTTGAGGTCGTCCTAGACGTCGTCCTTGAGGTCGTCCAAGAAGTCGTCCTAGACGTCGTCCTCTAGGCATCGTCCTAGACGTCGTAAAGATAGCAGCTTTGCTGGTGCTCCATCTTCACGTGAAGACTAAGGGCTCTACATTTTCTATGTGCTCTTCTCACGCGTCTTGACTTCAAGCAGCAAGAAAAAGAGAAAACTACTTGAAACCAACCACAACGAACATGAACGCTGGATCCACAAACACCCGGGAAAAGCTACAACGGCAACGATCCTACCGACCAAGCGAGCTCAGCAGAATATAGTCATAGCAGACACTCCGACCTGCTCCGACGCAGCGCTGCTCAGACGGCCCTTGGCCAAGACCATCAACCCACGACTGGCTGCCTCGCTGAATGGAATATGCCCGCGCGACCCTTGTGAACCCTTTTCGTATTAATAGTTTGATCGCTGAACTCAATTTTAGATTAAGAGATCAATCTCTTCCCCTTTTCATCTCCTTGTTTTTCGAGGCAGCTGTGATGAACGCTGTCGTCGAAAAGGGACTCTTATCAATTCTATCTCTTTGTTTTGTGCGATATAAAGCTCGAATAAACGCCGTATGGATTACCTTCGCAACATGGTATGCACACTTTGTTATCAGTATGCCATTTTTATTCTGACACGACGGTACGTCACTGTTGAGCTATAACAGTTCCTGGAAGCTACGCGATGCCAGTCCAACCTTCCTCTGCCGAGTGTCACGTTAGCATCGAGTTACAATTGTAAAACATCAATCCTCAAGCGCTTACCAAGATGCGGTCCAACAGTGCGAATCCAGCACTTTGATCAAACGGGTCAGCGTCCACTCCAAGTGTGAACAGGCATGTGGCTCTTGCTGACACTCTCATAGTTCAAACATATCTTTTTTAACGTCGGCTCGCTCCTGCATCTCCAAAGCCGCGAAAAATGCTGCCCCAATTTGTTCCTATCTACGACGCTTTACAAACGACTGGCATGGGCCACCTTTAACCAACGATGACAGTTCTTTTGACTTCGTAGAGATTGAGTTCGTAGCAGTCAACGAAGGCGGTCATGCCGGCCTCGGCATTAGGGCGCATTTAAATTGTGTTAGCGTCGACATACCACTGCACGGACATGAACGCCAGACAAGCGGTGGCGGAAAGGCTGCCTGTGTTCATTAAAAATTCACGTGCTCCGAACCGTGCCGAGCTCTCGGATATGTTGTTCGGCTTGCCGAAGGCGCCGTCGCCACAGCGACAGCCCACTCTCGCGGCGATCGGGAGCTTGCGTTACACCGGAAGTTCTAGTTTTTTTGCACAAGAACGTCGCTTTCGTCCTGTCACTTAAGAACGCGTTCGTGAATACCAATTTCTCCTCTTACGATAGTTATTTCGAATTTAGAGATAACAAATATCATGCCAAAAAGAGTAAGGCCTCGGTATTCCAAAAAGGAGTCGAGTTTGGGTCGCTCGAACAAACGCAGGAGCTCCACTTTAAAACAGATTCCACGCTTCAATAAAACCCTACTCACGTCCAGTCGAAGTAGGGCTTGGTGCTGACGCGCCGGCGAGCCAGGGCCCTGGCCTTGGGGTAGATGGTGGACGTGCGCGGCTGGCACAGCGCCAACTGAACCACGTCGGTCGACGGATCTGACAGGATGTGGGTGTTGGGCTGGAGGAAGTGGAGGAGATCCCCGCGCTCCCGGGCGGCCTGGCAAAACAGACATCACGCAATTACCACAACGTAAATCACGAAACTGGCCGAGGCGAATGTTGTCGAGGGTGCATCACAATAAGTGCACACTCGACACCTCTGGAACATGCTCCATGCCTTCCACCATACATGTGCGTGTACAGGTAGCAAGCTTGCGTTAGAGTCGGGAAACCTGAAGGACCTCCCTGTCGTTCTCATGCCGTCTTACTGTACTGCATGCAAGCCCTATAATCTATATGAAATCGGCTACTTTCCACCCTGAACATTCCTAGCAACAGTCGTCTGTACTTTGCAAAACCATGGAGTTTGTTGAACGGGGATTAATTGCGGAAGTTTGCAAGCAGCCACGCTTCAAAAGCTGGTCTGGCCACCGTGGATAGAAGATGGTTCCATGTGGTGCCTCTGGCAACCATGGGCATACGATAGCAAGGCTTGACTACATCAGCCAATCTACACACGCTGGCAGAAAGATGGCGCCCAGGGGTCATACTTGGAAATGTCTATAGCGGAGAAGCCGTCGCTCCTGAACCCGCAGGAACGTTTGTTTACTTGGACGGATATTTTCACAGCAAAAGAGTTTGTTATAAAGGAGCCTGACTGGTTGGTTTTAGACGCATACGCTAGCAAGTGCACCGCATCAACTCAAAATTAAACGCGCCTCTCAAGCAGCCATGTTTTTTTGTTTTTTTCCATATTGTTGTTAAAGCTGAAGCACAGGTACAGAACACTCTTGGTTATTAGAAGTTGACGGGGACAGCCAAAATGCTACAAATAAACCAAACTACACAAAAAAAAACATTTGTGACACACCTTTTTTTTTAATATGAAAGGGCAACAGGCGTGTGCCGAAGGCTGGGCCTCCAAAAGAAACGTCCTACTCTTCTTGTCCTGCCAGTGGCTAAGGTGGAGCGCGACACACGAAGCGACCTACCTCGGATTCCTGGAAGTGCCTCTCGTAGCGCTGGAGGTCGGCGGTGAGATCGCTAGGGCAGTTGCACTTGACCTTCCTCTCGACAAAGTGCAGGTCAAGGAAGATCCGCCGGAACTCCTCCCCCATGTCCGCCTCGTCCAAGTGGTATCCCAGGTACCAGTACAGGTAGCCACGCTCGCAGGGGATCTCGGTGGGATGCCACTTGCGCAGCAGCGCCTCCACGAAGCGGCGGTGGAGATCCTGCGTCAGAAACGACGACAGCTCTCGCTACGCAAAAGCCTGTTCGTTTCCCTCAGAAATGCTTCCCTAGATTCTTAAACACAGGAATCCTGTCTACAATTTGGGTAAAACTATTCCCCATGTTTCTAAATCCAGTTCCTAGTTTTCTCTAGATTCTAGGGCAAACTAACTTTTACTGGAAACGTTGAAACCAAAACGAAGCAGGGGAAAGCAGAAGGCAACCAAAGTTGGTCGTCTGCTGTCGCCACTTTCACCGCTGCCGTCGGCGCGTCAGCAGTCGCACTCCCATTTGTGCCACCAGGATGCAGTCTCTTCATTGACCGTGGTCCATTTCCTTATCCTTGCATACTCGCCAAAATTTCCCACTAATCACAAAAAAAAAAAAAAAACTGACTTTGACATCAAACTTGCTCCACAAACAAGGTCAAAGGTCGAAGGAGGGAGAGAAGCCTACCTTGAGGGAGGGACACTTCTTCCTCAGGAAGGACAGGTAGAGGTCATGGATGCCATAGGTGCGCGACCCCTCCACGGGGTCCTCCTCGACTCGCACCAGACACTGGCTCTGCAGGTGGCACATCACCTCGTCCACTTCTTCCTTGGACATGTTCCAGAGAACCTCGAAGACCTGCGTGCATAAAGGCAGCAATCGCCACAATCCGCAGGGAGACAGTACGGCTGCAGACGGACGTCGAGAACACACCAACGTCCACAACTGTCCTGAACATGTTACTAGGAATAATTTTATTAGAATCACTGACGAGGTGAGAACGACAAGGCCCGCTTCGGACGGGGCAATTTCTCCCAGCAGCTTGACGTCGCAACACCAGCAACACGGGCCGCCTGCGTTCACACGCAGCAACCGAATTGCTACGGTTTGCCACCGTCATTGTTAAACTTTTATTTTCTCACACTATTTAGATGCACAGTTAAGTGCTGTAAACACATTTTTTTCTTCTTTCTATCTTTAGATGGCGCTGAAGATACTAAATCGTATTTCTGAAAAGGTTTATTCCCAAAAACAATCTATTTTAACAGGACCAAGTCTTTAGTTGTCATGATCACTGCCACAGAAGTGTCACACAAAAAAGTTGCGTCCCTGATCGACTGCTGCCACTTTAAACGTCTCAGAGTTGTCCGAGTTGCTCGTCCGTTTCAACCGAACACAATCCGAGAAATTTGTGTCGTGGCGCCAGGATCGCATCAGCAACAACGAATTTGCTGAGGAAGTTGCCCCATCTCAAGCTGGCCTAAGGACAAGCTTCAGCTGTCTCGGCTCAGGCGCAAGCATCCTACTTTCTACGACGCAGTGGTGTCTCGTGCATTTCAAACATGAGAGCGCAGTCAATGTGCGGCGGAAGGTACCGGGCGCATGCTAAGAGCTAAGGGGGACACGCCCCGCTGTTCTCACTCCATCAAAGACCAGAAAATTAAGAGCTGGCCCTAAAAAAACGTTCTGCATTAAAACATCCACGACTGCTACTGACGACGTTCCAACCAAACTGTAGGTAGGTCCCTAAATCGACAGACGTACCACACTAGGAATGTCGACATCGTCCATGAACAGAGCGAAGTCCCGAAAATAGCCCTCTGTGTCGCCGTCCAGGTTTCTGAGAATGAGGTCCAGGGTGTCGTGCATGTCGCTTCCGGAGCTCCGCCGTCTCCGCGTGTTCTGGAGGGCCCTCTCGACGTACGGCTTCCAGAACTCTGGGCGCTTGAAGTTCGGCTTCAGGACGGCCGCAATGCTGGACATCAGCAGGGGCAGGCCTGTTGGGAAGCGATGCAGCACACAAGGTCAGCCACGATTGTCGCAGTACTGATGCCATTTATTGGGTAGCCGTGGAACACGTGCAGTTTTTGTATTTTTTTTTTTTGCGCATCATACATTTCTTTTTTTTTTTGCTCAAAAGTTTTTGAGTGTTCTAAACAACAATTTCTCATAGATACTGTGGTCAAACCAGATTACAATGAACTCGGGCACAGGAATTTAAAACCTACATCGAACACGGGAAAATGTTTTCTCGGTATGCGTGCAAAACATGTCTCGCATGACAAAGTACACAACGGATATGTCGAATTCCCTGTGCCTATGACCGCCAGCAAACACGCGAGCCCCGGCACTTCCGGCGTATGGCTTCCCTGCAATTCAGAAGGAGGTTCCTCCTTGCCCGGTACGAAGCCTCCACTTAGTTACGCTTAGCAGCAGTGCCGTAGCGCCTCGTCGGGTTTCAGATTTCGTAACAACCGCCAGTGCTTTTCGGCCAATCAACTCTGTTGTTAACGGTGGTTTTGGAACAGACAGAATTGGGGCGAGCAAGCAGTCAACGCATTGCAAGCCAAGCCTCCGCGTCGTAAACTTCGCTTCCCTATGCCTCCTGCAACTTTCCATTTCATTCTGCAATCTGGTGAGGTGAGGTTCATGGTTCAAGATGACGACGAAGCAGCGGAACGCACTTCGGCTCTCGGAGAGAGTGGACATCATTACAGGATAACACGCCAAAACACTGACAAAAAAAAAGAAATGTCTAGACAGGACGCGGCATAATTTCCACGGAATGGTTTATTTAGGAAAATGTATAGATGCCACATTTTTTGGACTATAAGTTGCACCCTTGTATAAGTCGCACTTCTGTACATTGAGCGGTTTTTGCAGAGAAGTTGGTGTATAAGTCGCAGAATTTACATATACTAAGTATATGTAAATTACATATATTAAGCATATGTAAATCATTGCGTGAATTATGCTTCGCATATTTCATGCAATGATCTTTTTTTTTTACGCACTTCAGTATTGTGAAATTGGAGCTTCACACAATCGGCTAGTCCGCACATACTGTTTGACGCACAAAAAACTTTGACGTTTCAACTCACGAGAAATGCCCATAGCATGGCATTGTCTCGCAGGGGCAATGGAGTGTTTCGCAGTGAAAGGACAAAAAAGGTGCAAAATGGGAACGTAGTAGACTTTATCCAAGTGTACACTTTATTCAAGTGTACACGTCCCGAGAGAACAAAAGTTTTATGTGCCAGAAACTCGTGAACCAAGCTTTAGACCACTAGGCTTAGCCTAGGACTCAGGGGTTCTCAAAGTGGATTCCGCGGAACACAGGGGTTCTGCGAGCTGGTTTATGGGTTCCGCGAACACCCAAATTGCGCCTCCCACTCCACCCCACACACGCTGTGGGCTGCGCAGCAGGGCCCTGCAAAGCGCCTTCATCTCGCTTTGTACTGACATTGCAGTTGATATGGTGGGGATATATGAGAAGCAACACAAGCAAATTGCCTGCGATTGTACTTATGTCGCTTCTTGTCAGCAAATATGGAGAGGGGATTCCACAGCAATTTTTTAGGCTTCCTGGGGTTCTGTGGGACCAAAAAGATTGAGAACCCTTGGCCTAGGCCAAGCCATGGAGACGACGCGAGTATCAACACACAGACAGATAAAGAAATTTTGACAGACCTCTTTCGGGATTGCTGAAAGATCAGCTAGCCGCAATCCTTCCTATTACATGTAGCACCACGATTGGAGCATGGCAGAAAAAAACTGCTCATCAAACGCTAAGAAAGACACGAGAAAATGTCCTGCAATGCGTGTATACCAGCCCAGTTACGTTTCGGTGTTACTGGACTGCAGAAAAAGAGCATGGAACCATGGCTCAATCAGGCAATGCCGATCACATGCTTCACTGCCTTGCCTAAACACACTGAGCCACTTTGGGCACACTGTCAAATTTTTTGCTTTCTGAACCGGTTATGAAGAGCGTAGATGAGTGCGGCGATAGCAGTGCCTTCTGGAAGGGACAACACCACCTATGACTGCATAGTTACGGTGCTCTACGAAAGGTGGCGCGTGAAAAATAAAAGGCAGCGTCGCACCGCAAATTTTTTTTGGAAAAAAAAGTGCATATAAGTTGCACTGTTGTATAACCCGCACCAAGAAAAATGTAAAAAAAAAAACGTGACTTATGCACCAAAAATACAGTAAAAATAAAAACCAACACTGTAAGATAAAATCTAAACACACCCCCTAGGAAACCAGAATCATTTGTTCCCCATGTACTAGTGAAATTCTTTGTCGGACAATAACATTCGCCATGTCGAACGTGGTGAAAAAAAAAAATGATGTTGCCGCTGCCTTCAACGTATCTAGGAGTATGTTAAGCACCTGCTGCATATAACAGACGAAGTGTAAAAATTTGTTATAAGCGGGTTTCGCTATAACAAATTATTGGGTATATCGAACGAAACCGGGCATTTTACACTCTTGGGTGGTGCCAGCCGGACACTAATTAAACACAGAAATATGCAACCGCTGTACTATCGACAATACTGAAGCCTTCTTCCTTCACTACTATCAGTATTTACAACCTGGATTGAACCCCTCCTTTTCCTTATTTACAAACTGGATTAAAGCCTTCTTCCTCTACTTCTATACCCATTTACAAACGCAAAGCTGCTTCATGTCCTTCAGGACTTCCGCAGAAGGTTTTTATCCCTTGTGCAGCGCCAGGGAAGAGGCAGTGACACATTCATCTTTTTTATTGATGGCCAATGCCTCGAGGATTTCACGCGCAAGTTTCTCTCTGTTTTTACCCAGAACCTTGATGTTTTTCAAACTTGCAGTGCACCAGAATCATTTTATACAGCTCGTTATAAACAGGTTTGACTGTACATACTCTTGACCTCGCAAATACCGCAAAACCTTTGCTCCAGTGAAACGCAGTTCGGTCACCTCACAGAAGGCACCAGCATGCCGGTTTGTTCTCTTGTCACAAGAGATCACAACAACTCGGTCGTAAGCAAACGTAAAGGCCCGTTCACACACCAGCGAATCGAGGGAAAGTTGATTTTAAAGAGAATGGTGCAAGGGCCTACGTCTAGGGAAAACTAGACACTGGAGTCCTAATCTTTCCCTGGAATTTAGGGAGATTTTCGTGTTGCAGGCGCCTGGGGGTTTTCAGGCACGCAGGCAACTCACCGCGGTGGATGTTGTGTATGTCGTCCACTTGGTGGGGCAGCTCTTGCTCCGAGACGCCAAAGACCTCCGCAAAGAGCCTCCTCGTCTCCGGGAGGGTGAGACCCTCCACAACCTCCACCAGCGTGCGTTCCACCTTGAGTTGGTCCACCACCGAGATGTCCTTGGTGGTGACTAGGAGTGGGCACCCCACCGTGAACGCGTCCACAACGCGACGGGACCACACGTCATCCAAGACCAGTAGTGCCTGCGGCGGAGGAAACAAACGACTCTCTGCATCCCTCGCCGCTCCGTGGCAGTGCGACGCCCAAAAGGAGCCTCCGAATGAACTGCTTGCATAGTCTTTGTTTTGTCCCCTCGTTTACCTGGCCGTTGATGTCACAACTGTTGCGGATCATTGAAATCTCGCGTTGACAGAAGCTCTTGCGGTCAAGGGTTGGGATGCTGCAACGACAGTGATGCCAGCATCCGCTCGTCTTTTTCGCCAGCACTTCCACAGCCAACTGCTACAATTTTGTACAATCCAGATCACAGTGCCGCAAGACTGCCTACTGGCTAGAAGCTCCCCTTTTCACCTAATCCTTCTCTTTCGAGCAGCGTGTCTCCACCACGCTCTGCACCACTGGTTGGAGGGCAGACGCACCCCGAGAATCAGATCCAAGCCAACACCACCGAGACGACAAGGACAAATGTTTTTATGTCACCTAACAGAAGCAATCGTGGGGTGCAGACTGGACACAAGTGATGTGTTAGTTGGAACTTGCGTCCAATCAGTGAGGGCTTAAGTATGAGCCAGACGCCGATGCACCACCGTAGTAATCTGAAGCATCTCCCCAGAAAAAGAAAAGGATGTGAACTATGTCATTGGCAGTCATTTGCCTTCGTCATTGATTGAGTTGGACGTCCCTTTACTCCGTCCTGAGCATGCAGCCGATCCCTTTGGACCCGTTTCGGTTTCCCCGTCTTTGCTGCAGGCTCATACTTGGACTGCCACCGTAAACACCACTGAGCTTCGCAGCACTGGAGCGCGTTCACCGAGATTACAACATTCACTCATGCCCAATCTGCTTTGGCAGGCGACATAGAAAATCCTGGCACTATGGCTATTCCACCCACTTTGTTCTTGAGCGCCCAGCGCTGGAGTCTGCTCTTGGCCAGGTCCACCGACTGGGCGTCGTTGTGGCAACCGAGCTTGATCCGATCCAGCTGGAGGTGCATCTTGAGAAGCACGTCATTGGGCTCCCTCAGGTTCCCAATGCCAAGCCAGTAGACTCCATCAGGAAAGCACTCGCGGAGCAGGGACGGGTCGCGAAGCGCCTCCGCCGCCAGGACGGACTTGCCGCAGCCCACCATGCCGTGGAGGACCACTGCGATGGGACGGTCCCGCTCGTTCCGGGACGCCTTCCTCAGGGCGTCTCGGATGACCGTGACCAGGTCCGGGCGACAGACCATGTGCATGGGCTTGTACGGGACGCCTCCGTTCTGCAGGACCTGCCATCCGACAAAACGTGAGACTGAAGGCAGGGCCACACATTTGCCTTTGACAGCGACCCAGTGCACCATGACCTCTTGTACCGACTTAACACGCTGGCACCCTCTATCAGTAGCCTTGGAACATTTCCGACCCCGCGTAAATGTTTTTATAGCTTTCTAAGCATCACTCGTTTCCTGCAGGCAAGAAATAATTCTAACAATGTTACGAGAGACTGTTTCTCATAAATATCGAGCAGATTTAATCTCCAAATACTGCGAAAAACCTTGAGTTTAGTTATTCGCAACTCCAACTAACTATAGGTGGCGCCACTCGTTTTCCAAAATTGTGGGTATAGTGAGGGTTGGAGATGCGTGCCGCTGCTGAGCCTGTTTGCTTTGCTGGCTTCACTGGGCGACACAAATTATTTCTGGTAATACGAGGAAGCTAGAGTGTTACGAGTGCAGGTCACCTCTTTATCCTAAAAACAAAAACGGTGTTTAGCATAATATTTACTCCAGGAAGCACGTTTTAATTCTGGAGCGAAACCGAAACTAACCTCTATTTTGGATTTAATTTCTCTATAAAGGTCTTAATTTTTAATCCTTTCATAAGTCAAGATATGTCTCACATCGTAATTATTTAGTTGTTTGCGGAAACTTTATTTTGTGACATAACAGGCACTTCAAAAGATTTTGTGAGATTTCAATGTCCTTTTAAAGACAGGGTCTTTCGTACACCTTAGAGGTAACATAGAATATTGTAGTTGTTGAAAAAATCAGTGCTGATATTTATGCATTCTTGCTGCCTTTTCTCGCTCAAATAATTGTCATGTGAAATAATGAACTGTAGGCCTTTTAATGGGTTTCGGGTATTTAGTTAATTAACTGCGTTAACATTGTTCCCAGCACAAGAATAAAAGAATAAGTCCAATTTTCACAATATGCCCACAAAACGTATAAATTAATAAACGCTGGTCTCATTACAAGAACCCTAAAACAGAATCCGAGTCAGACAGCTGAAGTGTGTGTGTGTTCTTTATAGCAGTGCATGATGCATAGGACTTTATATTACATCCAGTGTTTGACTGTTTGTCTATCTTGATAACGATGTCAGAGTTTTTCATATGCTAAAAAGAAAAACAAAAAATTATACCTTTCAGCAAAGACTACTATGGTTAAACAGCATATTTTTGTGATTGTGGTGTTAATTAGGGGAAGACATTGCTGTGATTTGTATTAATAATAATAATATCAAAATTCAGATATTTTAATACGCAATTTTTCAAGCTCTAATATAATTTGTTGCTCATGATCTAATTTCTAACATGCGAACAAGTATGACAACCAAAAGTGTGCTAATTATCATCACTGGTGCCAATTGCAGTATTTTTTAATTGCCAAGTTATAAAATAAAAATAGTCTAAAATCAATCAAGACATTCTCGCGACTTTTGACGATCGGCAAGAGTTACAAAGTCACCGTCAAAATCCTTCCAGACCAAATGCCCCAAAATAATAAAAAAACAGTTTTTTGTAATTAATAATTTTTTATAACATCTAGTTACTTTCATTTTTATGTGCCGTCATTTTGCCAATCTCAGCCTTTCCAGTTCGAAAGAACGCCTACCTGCTTGCACGTCTGCTCGCTGCAGCAGGTTGCATTAGCGCTGGAAGCCAGTGAAACAGTTGCGAGTTTTAGTATTGCGTGTACGAGCGAACGCAAGCGCTGTGTGTTCGCATTAGAACATGCGCGAAGCCCGAAATCGCGGCCTTCGATTGGCGCATGGCAATGAGACGCACGCACAACGTGGGGCAGCAACTCTAATGCAAACGCACAGCGCTTTCGTTTGCTTCTATACGCAATACTAGAACTCTCTAGTAGGCTACAATTCCATACCGGCTGCAGCATTACGTTGGGACAGTGAAGTATGTTGTTTGCATTCAGAAATGACATTTCACGAGCCACAGTCGCACACAGTTTTGTCGTGCCTGCTGAGCAGAAGAATTGGGGGACCCTCACTACAGCGCTTCCCGTTTCCGCCACGGGAGGGCGAGCTACGAGCTGGAGACGCGAATAGGCAGATTGGAACCGTCCCAGGGCTGCCTGATAGATTGTGACGGTGTGTCAAGCAGTTACCAGAGATCACAACACACTCGGTCGCAATGAAATGCAAATGTATGAACTCGTCAGGAGAAACCCAGGTCTGATACGTTTTTCTGTAATTTCGGGAATAATTTATGTTAAATTTTCACATTTACCAAAAATTATTTTGCTAAGCACAAACAAAAGCTTAATTTGTCCCATCTACAGCATGTGAACTACCGCTTTAGAGGCACTTTAGACGGCCCGCAAAAAACGGTTTCTCAACAAACCACTCTGTAATTTGCTACAAAGGTGCAAGAAGGTGGTGGAAGTTTACAGTGAAAAAAATCAAGGAATGAGCTTGCCTTGTTAAAAAAAAGAAATAAAAAAAAAATAAAAAACTTGTCCAGGGCAGTCTCTGCTGCTACTTCGCAGACGATGCATGCGCAGAGAGAAGTGTTGCTAACGGATGGCGTATGCTGCGTGGAGGGAGAACGGGCCGATTCGGGTTCTTTTGCAAGGTTGTTTGCTACCAAACCGAATCAGCCGGTGCTCCCTTGACTTGGCGTATGCCATCTGCCAGCAGCACTTGTCTCTGTCTGTGCATTTATTTATTTATTTATTTATTTATTTATGCATATAGCTACATTGCCCAGGGGACATTATTGCAGGGGGGTTACAACATCACAAGAAAAACAGGAAATGCAATACACGCTTAGAATAGTAACACCAAAATCAGAAGACACTTAAAACAAGCCTCATGTAAAGCCAAGAAAAACTGTCTGCGAAGTGGAGGTGTGAACTGCCAAAGACAGGTTTCTTTATTTTTTTTTCTTTTGTAAGAGGGTAAGTTCATTCCTTGATTTTTTTGCACTGTAAACTTGCGCAACCTGCTTGCACCTCTGTAGTAAATTGCAGCGTGAGACGTTTAAAAACCGATTTTTGCGGGCCGTCTGAACTGCCTTGGAGATGTTAGTTTATATGCTGTGTTTAAGTTTTCAAGAAAACCTCACCTGTATCTCAAATGTTTCTGCCCAACTTTCTTACTATACCTCACACAGAACAAATTGTGAGCGGCAGCAGAGGCTTTATTCGACGTTTCTAGCAGAGCCTGGTCTTTTTCAAGTCCCCCTTAGAAAATATGGTACCAAGCATGTTAGCATGTTCTGCAAACAGTAGCAAGCGCAACAGAGCCATTGTTATAATTTTCGCATCATTTTAAAAAAAGTCATTGTAAGTTGAAAATTTTTTTTGCCGATAATTAGAAATGAGTCATTAAAGTCTTTGCCAACTTAAAAATATTATAGTTAACATTTTCGAGGAACAGCAGTCTAGTTGAACTATCTGATTCATAAGGTGTTAAACCCTGAAAAAAGTATTCAGGTCCAACTTCTAGATCCAAAAATACCATGAGCAAAACTTTGTGTTGTGAGGAAAAAATGAATTCTGAAAATATAGATGGCGGTAGCTGTCTGGAGTTTTGTGTCAACATTTCTTTGCGGGGGACACGATCCTCGGGGAACTAGCCCTTAACAGCTCCGCTGTAAAAATGTGGGAGCTTGGGAACCCCTGTGTTCCAAGGAACTCAGTCTGAGAGCCCATTATCTGTGATATATTCATAATTACAGATTTCCCCAAGTTTCTAGTGAGAACAAAGTGTTAGTTTCACAAACAAACTCGACTGCCACCATCCACCCAAGAAGGTGGCCGCACGTTAATCTACCTCCTAGATAACTGCACAATTAGATTTCCCCTAGTTCCTATTGCAAACAAAGTGTTAGTTCCATGAACCAACCCAACTGCCACCACCCACCCAGGAAGGTGGCAACGTGCTAAACAACCTCCCAGAAAACCGCAAAATTACAGATTTCCTCGAGTTTGTACTGTGAACAGGGTGTCAGTTTCATGGAAAAACTCGGCTGCCACCGCCCACACCAAAAGGTGGCTACATGCTAAACTACCTTATTGATAACTGCATAATTATGTTCCCCGAATTTCTGCTGTGAACAAGATGTTAGTTTCACGAACAAACTCGAATGCCATCATCCAGCCACGAAGGTGGCCACGTGTTAAACTACCTCCTAGATAACTGCATAATTACAGATTTCCCCTAGTTTCTACTCTGAACGAAGTGACAGTTTCAAGAGCGAACCCGACTATCACCATAACAAGGCTGCAGCGTCGGATTTTCTTTATCACCTAGTGAAGGCCAACATGAATTGTAGATTGGACATGAGTTCTATGCCAGCATTTAGGCAAGGCTCGCAATCAATCGGCGAGAACGCAAGTCCCCGCCGAACGCCGAAAAAAGTTTTTGCTCATACACACCTGGTGCGCAACTGCACCTGGTGCAAAAGTCCGGATGTAAGATTTTTCATGCAAGGCAAAACTCGACAAATGCCCGCTTCATTAACTCACAAAGAAGCTTTTATCGTCCATAAATCGCGCATATATAAAGGTTTGGTTTTCTATATTGTTTATTAAGACGAGACGTGATGAATGTCGCAAAGGGCAGGGTATGTCAAGAGTGATTTGTGTATGATACAAGCTTCTTTGTAAAGTAAATTAAGCAGGCATTTGTCAAAGTTTGTAGTATAGAAGTTTTACGTGCAGACTTGACACCGGGTGCGGACTACGCACTGGGTGCCGACTATGGTTCGGGAAATAACAGAATTCAAACGTGCCCCGGGTTTTGGTTTCGTACCCGATTCCAATGCGTAGGCTATGTTCAGGTGTAGACGTTTGCATGTAGCCACGTTTAAAAAGCTAACCTGGCCATTGTGGATAGAAACTGCTTTGTTGGGGACCTAGTCCGGCAACCATGGGCAAACCTTAGCAAGGCTCGACCATCGCACGATCTACACACACAAGCAGCAAGATGGCAGCGCCCAGAAGCTGTACTTGCAGGCGTCTACAGTTCTCTCAAAAAAGGGTGCTCGACAGAACCTCGCAAGTACGGTCATTTCGACCTCACTCACGTTGCGAGTGTAGACGTATTCTTCCCGAATGCCCTCCCTGGCTCTCCGCAGCCTGGTGGCGAGCCATGGGTACTTGTTGTCTTCGTCCAGGGTTTCAACAAACACCTGGTAGCCACGCTCGCCCTTCAGGCACAGGATGTCCAGCAGTCGCCTCGACTGATTCTCAACAGAACCCTGCAAAAAGTTTTTAAAAAAGGGGAAGAGGAATACTGTTATTCAGATTGGCAACAAATACCACATCCCCCTTCCTGATTTTAGAAAGCTTCCCGATCCCACAACCTTGCCTCGTCATAATTCGTAACGTCTTAAGGGGGAGGCGTCCCTTTTGATTGTCCGACGTACCTGTCCCAAAATGTCTTTCACCTCTGCCGTCGTCAGGACGCGATGCTTTTCGAGGTCGGACACGACAAACTTCGGTTCCAGGTCCTCGACAATGTCCGTTCCAAGTTGCTTGAGGCAGACAGACTCTGCCGTGTCCTGGGGCATGTTTTGACTAGAGAGCAGCGTGAGCAGCTCTATGTCTGTTCAGATGAAAAGACAAAAGACAAAAAAAGAAAGAAACCCGGGAGTCAATAATCGACCAATCCTGTCTTATTTTTCCGAGGCGAAAAGGAACTCTCCATGGGAGGTCCAGAGAACAAACGGTGACCTTTATTTCTTTAATTTGTGATCTACTCTACCTCTATCTTTTTTCCTTTTTATATGTTTGTGTACACTATGCCATCTTAATCTTTTTTTTTTTTTCAGTTTTCTTTTGCAGCAGCATAGCAAGCCACACTTGCGACTGCTTAGAGCTGAGCGAGCGCCTTAAAACCTCTTGAGATCTCTTGTGACGCTTAACATTTCCGCATATATTTTTTTTTTTTTTTGCACATTCTTCTTTCTTTTTTTTTGCTCGAAAAACATTTGACAATATTTTAAACAACCATTTATCATAGACAGGGCGACTTGACATCCCGTTTTGGCCGAGACAGTCCCGTTTCAGAGGTGCACTTCTGACATCCCGTCGAATACAGAATACATAATACATTCTATTAAACACAGCATAAAATTGTTGCCTTCCAAAGAGTAAATTTAGAGCTCTTTCCACGGTTTCGTCTGTCAATGCGTTCTGCTCGCACAGACGCTTGTTCAAGACACTTTTCCACCTTACTATATTGGCACGCTTTAGTTTTGTTTGAAAAAGAAATGTGCTGGTGTAGTCAACTAAACAAGGAACTTCAAAAAATGTGCACTTCCTACACTGAACTGAATAGTAGTAGCGTATTATTATTATTTTTTTTTTTCGGTCCCTTTCCCTGTTTTTCCCCCCCCTTCCCCTCCCCGATGTCCCGTTTTCTACGCTGTAGATTATGGTCCCCCTACTCATGATGGTATGCACATTCGATAGGGTGACCAGACGTCCGTTTCCGCCAGGACAGTCCCGTTTTTGAGGTCCGCTTCTGCCGTCCCGTCTCTTTGTTCCAATAAAGAATCGTGTCCCGTTTTCGCAGGAGTGCATAATTTCAAAATTGCCACCAAGCGAGTTGAAGCAAATTGAAACTATGCCTACTCGTTACAAGTATATATCACAAAAATAACCCTAGATAATTTAAAATATTTATTCAGAGAGTAAAATTTAGAGCAATATGGTAACGTTTTGAAATAAGAGCAGTCATTTCGTTAAAGTTTTTCTCGCAATCTCAATCTTTAATATGTGTCCTCCCCCCTCTCAGCCCCTCCCCTCCCCTCCCCTTCCCCGCTGGGATGTCCCGTTTTCTACCTTGAGGAATATGGTCACCCTAGCATTCGATCATGCAAATACTGCGAAAGCTTTGCTCTAGGGAAATGCAGTTCCAGGCTCGCCTCATAGATGGCGCCAGAGCGTGCATTTGTTGTAAGAGATCACAAGAACGCGGCCGTATGCAAACACAAGTGTGTGAATGGGCGATCCGATAAAGCCAATCAAGCAGCGCCAAAGGTGCAATTTCGGAAAGGGGGGGGGGGGGGGTTTAAGCCTTGAAATTACACCCCTGCCAATGCCACTGGCTGTCACGAACTAAACCAATCGCGCATAGAAAAAAGTGCAGGACCATGGGGCATTCACTGCACGCGATCGGTGTAACGGGGGGTTAGCAAACTAGCAAATGCACCGAGAAGTTGAGCGTGCGACGATGCACCTGGCACTTTTCGATCGGCTCCGTCGGGTCGTAGCGCTGGGTGCCGTAGGACCCAGAGCGAAAGGCAGCAGAACCAAAGGACGCCGTTCCAAGAACGTCAAAGAGTCCATCGTTTTAAACAGCAGCAGCTTACCCTTCTTTCCATTAATGAGAAATGCTGCATGATTGTTGGGAACTAACTCTTCCATTAATAGTTTCCACAGAAATATTGATCCGTGACACCCCGCTACAGGAGGACAGCAGTAGGGAAGTTTTCGTTTGCAAAAGAGCCTAGATCGACGTGCAATCTTTTCAAAGAAGTAACCGGGAGCCCATCCGATCGTTACGTGAAGAAGACGCTGCATCGCGTCTTCACAAAAACCATAATCTAGCTCACTAGCCACTCGTGGTGCTGTGAAAGCCACGGACAGGAGAGAGGAATGCCGCTTTTGTACGAATTGTGAGTGACGGGCTAATCTTTTGGGGGAGAACAGTGACATCTGGGACGGGCAAAAGAGGGTCCGGGGAAGAGGGGATGGCCTCCTTCCCCTCCTCTCCGACTGCTAGCGTGACACTCTCACTGCAGTGTCACTGGTAACGCTCCGCGCAGCTTGTGAGATAGAGTGTGGTTTTCAGCTGTGGTCTGGAAAGTAGGCCATGCCAAGCATGTAACAGTGACACATAAGGAGTAACAAGGCTATCTTTATTCAAGGAGTAAACAAAAGCGTCATTTATCTGCTCTTATCTGCCCATGTCAGCTGACATCTGCTACCAAAAAACAAAAAACAAGGCAGAAATGTCTAGCCAATGTGCTATGAAAGGGCAACTGTCACACAAGATTCCTTACACAACTTGCATTCTTTTCCTGCGTTACTCTCCAATTTGTAGTATAGCAGGTCTTTTGGTTTCTGCCCCAAGAAAATTGCAGAAAGTGGAAAACAAAAGGAAACTGTGCACAAAACACTGATCTCTAACCGAAAGTTGCACAGGCACAGAACTGGCATTTCAATTCATCCCAGTGGTGCACCAGTCTGGCCCTAGTTCCGCAAAAGCTTGCATCGGCTCTGAACTTCAGTTCAGAGTTTGTGCAGTAGCACACAGCGTAAGCAGACAAGACTCATTTGTTTTCGCTGCGACTGCACTCAAACTATGTCATCCTTGCACAAATTTCGCAGTCCTCCGAAATCGTACTGAACTTTCTGGCCAAATCGAAGACTTATTACCTTCTATTGGGCTGTTAGATGCAAGCATTTATATACAAAAAGAAGCATAAATATAAATAAAATTACTCAATCAATAATCAAAAATCAGTAAGTGCAACTGTTCAGATATGGAACCGCAACCCTCCCATTCAAAGGTCAGTGTCCGGATCTATGTTTTCAACAAGAAAAAAGTTTTGACCCGTCATTCAAAAAAATTAAGGGTTATGCCTAACGCAGTCAACTAATGGGCTTCCCAGGCCTAACTAGGCCTAACTAAACCTAACCACATAATAAAAAAAAAAAAAATCAAACTAGTCAGTTAGTGGTTAAAGTCTCGCAAACACGGGAACACAATACCAGCAAGATTTCGAGCGGCAGCCTATCAAGTTGGGTTAGACTTGCAAGATGGAAAATAACAATATATCGTTAAAACAATTAATGATCCCAAATCAAATAACAGCAACACTCACTAAAAAAAAAAAAAAAAAAAAAAAAAGAAAACAGCAGTTTTTTTTGTTTTTGTTTTTTTCCAAAGAATTAGGTCAGGTAGCACGCATTTCAAAGGTATGAGTCATTAGGACAAATAAAGCGAGTTTCAAAATAACACCATCGGGAGCTGATACGAGCCCCCGCAAACAAAACAAGAAAAAGTAAGTTTTGAGATTCGAAGCCATGTGCAAACCAACGTATTTCATCTAATCCGTTGTAACATGCAATTCAGGGTCGCCACAAGTCAAAAGAAGCTCATCGACCGCTCACTAGATGTGCTGTGCTATTGAGTTACATGATCACGGTGGAGCATCACAGCAAATTACACGGTGACCACCAAGTTATGCCAATTGATACATGCATTTCAACTAGTGATGGGACGAATCTTTATCCGAATCGAGATTCGGAGCCGAATCTGCAGATTCGGAAAGATTCGGAAGAGTAGCCGAATCTCAAGCGATTCGGAAAAGTTCGGAAAGATTCGGAGCGTTGCCATGGTTGCCAAATCACGTTGATGTGTGTTTCAACTTTTTGTGATATTAAATTCACTAAATTCTACAAAGTACACGAAAGATTATTGTGATATAATACCGCAGTAATAAATAAAATGTTCCACTTTGTTTATATTATTTTGTATGTTTATCGAGAACGGTAGCCAGACATCGCGGGAAAGTTGGTTTCGGTTCTGGATTACGACCCAAATAGGCATGCTTGATGCACGCACGAGGAAATACAAGCGCATGTTTTCATCGCCGCAAGAGACCGATGCAGTAAGTGCTGTTCGGTGGAGACACATTTCGTGCCGATAATTACTGTCAGTGTGGCACACACCACACAAGTAAGTATGTTCGATTCGATTATCTCCAACGATCGAGTATCCACTGAGGTATTGCTATCGGAACACGGGAAACAATCTGAAACTTCGTTAATGCATGCTATCCGATTTAGTTAGTGTCTGTTTCCGAACAATGAAGTTGCGTTGGACACACCCATATTGTGTTTCTTTTTCATCAAATAAAGTTCACGTATACAAAACTTGCTGCCGAGAATGAAGAAACGACAGTGCGACGTTTTTCTTTGCCACCGGTATCTCGCTCTCGCGCCTTACAGGTACAGACATACGCAGCTCTAGAGAAGGAGACGAATCATTTCCTTCGCTGAATATATATTTATTTTTCGTTGCGCCACATTACGTATAATACACAGCGTTTCGCTACATTTTACCGATAACCGCGAAACCGCACAGAAAACGAGACCGTGCATTGGTTAGGCCTACGACAACCACACCGATCAGCTCAGCTGGACCTGGGCGCGTGCCAGGGTCTAGATTGACAGTACAGTACATACCATACGTTGAAATAAACAAGACGAAATCTGGTTATATGCAGTAACAGTAGCTAGAAAAGCACAACTGACCGCATTCGCGAGGTTTACGACAAGGTTCATGCTGCCGCCCGCAACCAGCGACGATTCGGACGAATCTCCGAATCTGCCGAATATTCGTCGCATGAAGTTCGGAAATTTCCGAATCTGTCCGAATCCGAATCTCGGGTGATTCGTCCCATCACTAATTTCAACGATCAGACGAACTAGTGAACACAGGTAATAACAATAACACTTACCGATTGTCATAGATGATGTATCGATGTGATCTCGATTAAGTACTCTAACAACGCTAATCCCATCACAAAGGATTACATCATCGATCGCGGTGAACTTGACACAGCGGCACACATGTTAAAACAAGACCAACACCTTCTCACGATGGGAAAAAAATGTCATTGGACAGCTTGGACCGAGATTCTTGCGCGGAGTTGCGCGAGCAAGGCAACAGGTGCCGCTAGGTGACATTTGACCCAGAAAAAGCGATACGGAAAACAGAAAAAGCGATACGGAAAAGGTGCAAGCGTAACCAGAGTCCCGCAATACTGGTAAAACCGTAGGCAGAGATTCTGGCTATAGTGATACTAACCTGATAGTGCGAAAAGTGGTGTAAACAAGCGTCGATGGGCTTTCAAATTTAGCGTAAAAAGTGCGCCAAATTTGAATCTTTGGGGAAACTATAAAAATCCTTCCCAGCGGCCTTGCACTGCTTGCACCTTGATACACCGCACGAGTTATCACAACGCGTCAGAGTGAAGAAATGGGCTGAATTAATTTTTAGTTCAAAAGGGATGTCTTCCGTTCACGTAAAATTAGAGAAATAGACTACTCTATGTGCATTTTTCATGATCCTGCAGTGCACGTTTCTGAAACGTTTGTGCTCAAAAGGATGTTCATTGTTTTTGTTTCAACGGATTACTGACATCGATGGTTACTGGCATCTATCTTGAGAAAACAACATAGAGGAAAACCGATATGGTAAACAATTCCCCCGCTTTCTCGTGATTTTGTCAGATTAAATGTCTCGCTGGCTACGACGTTATTCTCTTCTCCGAGTTCATTGGAGATGCATTGCATACTTATTTGATATCGCTATCGCTCATACACTAACATAATTAAACCTGACAAAGAGAAAATCACAGGATTCAGTTTCCAGTAGGCAGTTTTATTCATTGCAACAATTGTACAAATGGCCAAAAATATTACAAAATATGTTGTCTTTGGCAGTGCAGTTCTTTAAATGCAACAACAGGTAATCTACAACACACTCCCAAGGTGGGCTATGCGGAGGGCAAGTTCGTCTGCTTCTTGCGCAGGGGGTAGCGGTGACGTCAGAACGCCGAGCCCTGATTGGCTGATCGCGACCCCCTATCTGAGCGTCGTCTGCTCGCAACGTCGTCTGCGTCTGTCTTACCTTTCCTGCGACTTTCGGAAGTGCAGAGGCCAGATTCACGAAACGATCTTACGCCAAAAATGTGTGTAAGACAAAACTTAAGAACAAATTCATATTCACGAAACGAAATTTTCGCAAGTTTTGAGCAGGTTACGACGAAATCCTATGACAGCTCCGAAGCTGTCTTACGCACTTCTTACGATCCAATCAGCATGGCCGACAGCGTCGCGGTCGCGACGACCCACGGACGTTTATTTTTCTATGTGCGCTTCTCACGCGTCCCTACTTCAAGCAGCAATAAAAAAGTAAAAAGCACTTGAAACAGACACGACGAATAACAACGCTAAATCCACAAACACTCGGGAAAAGCTCCAACGACCACGATTCCACCGAACGCGACCAAACGAGCACGGCAGTTAGGTTTAGAAGGCAGACCGCGACTTGGCGACCGTTTGCCCACGACCGGCTGGCGTGCTGAATGGAATATGCCCGCGCGACCCTTGTGAACCCTTCCCGTATTATAATTTGATCGCTGACCTCAATTTTAGATTAAGGGGTCAATTTCTTCCTCTTGTTATCTCCTTGTTTCCCGAGGCAACGGTGACTCTTGCCAGTGAAAAAGCGGTGAATCTCCGACAGACGCAGGAAAGGTAGAGCAGCCATCGCTTTGACTAGCAGACGTAAAGCAGACGACGTTAACTGCGCCAACCCGCCGACGCCGTTAAAGACTGAGGGGTCTCGCCGCACACGAAAAGAGGGAAAAAGTATTTGGGAGGGAACTAACACGCTCACTTTCGGTTTTTAGCAAACAAACCTCGGCGCCTCGGGTCACCTCGCCAGTGAGTCCTTTGACTTCCCTCCTTGATGCGCGTCTGCTAGTTGTTAGACAAAAACAACGTACCGCTCGAGGTATTTCGTCTGCCCTCTCTGAAAGGCCAAGTCGAGCTCGCTCGTAAAGACCTGCACTTCCGAAAGTTGCAGGAAAGGTGAGACAGACGCAGACGACGTTGCAAAGGAGCAGACGACGCTTAGATAGGGGGTCGCGATCACCCAATCAGGGCTCGGCGTTCTGACGTCACCACTACTTCCTTTCTCATGCGCAGAAGACGAAAATGAGCCCACTTGCGAGGCGAATAACAAATGCTACGCATGTAAAGAACTATATCATCATGAATCAGCGGGCTGTTTTTTAGCTGATGCACAAATAGAAATGAAGCATACTATGATGTATTCAAATGTTAGCAAAGTTACTGCCAAGATGAAAGAAGCTCAGAACATTCCTTAGATATGCTTAAAAGGCTTATGCCTATATAATATATTAATCTAATGAAACACCTCAAACACAAAAATCCAAATTCTAAAACACCAACAGCTGAGAACAGACACAAAACAAAGGGGACCACAGCTGATGCTTATGAAACAAAGAAATAAGTTAGAGACATCGTGCGGTCAGAGTATGCTAGTAGTCGTCAGTTTGGCAGCACAGTTGCCACTCCTCCAAAAGTCAAAATCTTGTGAGAACCGTCAAAGTGCAGCTGTGGACAAAAAAAAAGTAATGGGAACACACGACCGGAACGCACCACCGGGGGAACTTAAGCAAGGCAAACGCATTAATATGTTCTAGTTCCTTTTGTCCCCGACCATACGCTCCTCGAAACAAAGAAAAAGAACAGAGCCTCTAAATCACTTGCTACAGAGACACTGTCCCCACGGGCGTCTTCCCCGCCCCACTTCATCGCATTTAGAAACTTTCGTACAAGCGTCTTTAGCCTGTCGGTTCATGCCGCCATGTCCCTAAGAATGCCGACAAAAACAAAATATACGGACTGCTCAACACAGGTTGTCAGTTTCGCGAATTAGACCAACGGCAACTAAGGTCACCGACGGCTTCAAAAAAGCAGGGCGTGGCCAATCACGTTCTTCGGCATCCTTATCGGCCGATGCTGCAACCTCACTGGCTGCTGACCGGTGACCAATGCGGAGCGCAAGTTCGTCAGCTTCTTGCGCAGGGGTCGCAGAGACGTCAAAATGCCAAGCTGTGATTGGCTCTGATCGGATAGTGGGTACATCTCAATGCTAGCTACTTTGAGGTCTACCCACAATCCTTAAAGCTCGGCGGTCTGACATCACCGCAAACCCTGCGCAACAAGCAGACGAATTTGCGCTCCGCGTTGCTCGGGACTTGCCACGCCCGCCGCATTTCTTAAGCTGGCAGTGACCGTAGCACACCTAAAGGCACGTGCGCTCGTTGCCAGTGTTTTGGTTGCAACGAGCAATGGCAGTCCGGGCCACCCTCTCATCTAGTGCTTCATCTTTTCCAGGATCGGCAGGATCATCTCGAAGGTGGGTCTCTTGCCCGGGTCTTCGTTCATGCAGATGCGGATCAGACGAGACATGTGTGGCGAGATCCCGGGCGGAATCGTCACCCTCAGCTCCTCCAGAGCAATCTGCGAGGAGACCAAAGTCGCCCAACACTCTGCCGTTAGTCATTCGAGCAGGTTTTACACCACTGGGGAGGTGCAACGATTTTTGGACCTTGTGCAATGAATTGCGGGAATTGGTCCATGACACCCTATAAAATTAAGGACAGAAAATAATTTTTTTTTAGTGCACTAGTTTTTAGGTATATGCAAAAAAAAAAAAAAAAATCAACAAATTAAAGGCTTTTTTTTTAGGACTGTTGAATTTTCAAGGTTTGTTTCGGCTACAACGGAGCACCTCCCCAGTAGCGTTGTTGAAGCTTGCGACGAGCAATCAGGGCAAAAGACGGCAGAGAAGAAATTGTTTTGTCGACTTCTGACAGATGGTGCCACGAAAACTTCTGTACTCCCGATGATGTGATACCAAGGTTCTAACGCAATTGGAAGCCGGGAAACAACTTTTTTTTTTTTTTTCATTGCGATTACGCGGTGGAATTGTAGTATTTCGGGGAAAGGTAGCAGATTTTCTCTCCTTGTGCCAAGACAAATAAAAAAAATATACAGGCTGCATATTCTTGCACGCAATACAGTACAAAAATACCCCCCCCCCCCCCCCCCCCCCCCCCCAAATTTGAAATATTGGTTCTTTTGAAATACTCATTCAACAGCTGCTGGAAGCCTACTCATACTTCCAAATAAGCTTAAACTAGTGTTTGCCTGTCTCGGAGAGGGGACAACCCCTTGGGCGGGTGACTGAAATTGAGGCACTAACCCATGGGTTCTCATAATTAGGCCCCAAAAAACCACGGTTTGCTCAAGTCTCAAACTTCAGTCCGGGTTTTGATTAACAAGCATACTCCCTTGTATTAGTCAAACACGCTAATTGTCTAATATTTGGATTACATTTAGCTTGACCCGGAACACGGGGCACTGGTAGTGGTGTCATTATGCTGTGGCACAGCCCTTGCTTTTCGTACAGGGTGTTTGACTGATGAGACCTCACCGACCATTACATTGTCATAAGCTGTGTGGCGCATACCCAAGTAAAGCATTCCAAAGATTTATGCGATACCATCAAATGCCTGGTGTAAACAAGGTCACAAGTCTCATCACGCTGACATCGAGCAACATAATTTAAGCATGTCTCCATCAAATTTGATAAACTCGAAGAGACAGAATGCGCTGCAAAGGAATGAGCCGAGCACAGTATGTGCCCGGCTCATTCGTGCGTCTGTGAAATGATGACATAGCACGACAAGGTTAAGTAACGTCAAAGTGTCAAGTGACATCGAGGCAATACCGTGACGATATCACCCTGATGTCACGATCTCACGTGATGTCAGATCACATGACATCGTGACATCACAGACAAGAAGTCATGTTACGTCATGGCATCACATGATATGATGTCATGTGACACAAACGTAAACGATGCCCCCATGGAGCTATACTGTTTACATGATCTGGACCCGTGCGTCGGTAGAACGTGACCCGTCGATTTTCTCACGGAACTCAGCCCTGCGAGACATTCTGCGTCGATATGGCAGAATGACATCACGTGAAAACACCCCGCTGGTCAAATTCTCCCTAAGCGTAGTCGCAGCCCCACCCGGCGGCGGTCTGGGTCGCGGAAATCCGCGAAGCTGGCCGACCCACCTTCATGCCGATCTCCATTGGCGAGAGGTCGGCGAAGGGCACCTGGCGTGTCGCCATCTCCCACAGCAGCACCGCAAAGCTCCACATGTCCGCCGCCTTCCAGTTCATCTCGTCCTGCTTCTTCTGCAGCGCTGCACACAAGGATGAAAAATATATCGCCAGACTATCTAGATGTTTCGCAGGTTGCAACGAAGCTCCGGCAAAATTTTGGTAGTCAATGAAGTGCCTCGAAAATGGTTCGACAGATTAATAGACACATCCGAACTAGAAACACCAATTGCGAGCCACAATAATATTTTTTTTGCACTATCAGAGTACCAAATTTGGTTTCAGAAGCCGAAAGGCTTCCTTGGCAACACCGAAAATGTGACGTCAGAGGTCTTAATACGGGGGCATTACGGCTTGACGTGCAATGAATGCTGGATAAGCCAGAGCCAGTGAAACGAAGAAAATCAGAGCGAAATACTGTGTTTTCTAGACTGCCTCCTCAACTTGCAAGTTGTACAATGTGTGACGTCACGCCACGCGAGGGTGTGCGAAAATTTAAACGCCTGTTTTGGCGTGACCCTTATTTGCAGTTTTCTCTATTCCCATTTTGAATTCAGAGATAACGAATAGCATGCCCGAAAGAGTAGAGCCTGGGTATTCCGAACACGTGTTTCGTTCGGGCAGCTCAAAAAAACCGCCAGAGCTCCCTTTTAACGAGCAGCACACGCCATCAAAATAATATGCAAGATGACACGTGGCAAAGGAATTGCAAATGCATAAAGGACTTCTCTTCTCCACCTGTGCACCTCTTCTTCAGGCGCATTGGATCGTTTTTCTTTAAGTGTCGCCAAGGATCTGACCACGAAATGTCTTTGAACCTACCAGACTGTTCTAATAACGCGCAGTTCCTATCGTACTATGCAATTATAAAAATCAGTTAAAAAAAAAAAAAAAAAGCTTCACAGCGATTATTGTTTTGAATACTACACTAGTGCCTTAACCACAATTACATTGAAAGTCGGTGCCTGTCCGTGTCTTCTACCCAGTCCTAGTCTCTTTCACGCTTTTGAACCTTTTACTAAGATTGTGAATGCACCTAGACTTCACCCTCAATACCTAATAGTATTTACAAGTTTGTGACAAGCAGTCACAAATACTTGAAGCATAAAAAACAAAACAAAAAACGTGATGAAATTGTGACAGATGTTTTTCTTTGCTGAAGTGGCCCACAACCAATCGACGGTGTCCGTTTTCAGTACCGGTCTCGAAACGTGGTTTTGCGTACCTTCGGGGGCAAACCAGGCTGGGTTGTACAGCTTTCCGCGGTCTTGGAACGTGAACTTGGTGTCCGCCATGTTCACGTAGGCCGTCATCTCCTCGTCGACCTGCAACGGTGAAGTGTAACGATTATACACCAACTATCGTGAGTGCCACGACACCACCGTTGAGGCAACATGCGAGCACAGACACAAAAAAACCCCAGAAGAGGATCTATAAATGCTATGCATTTAAAATAGAACACACCATCTCGGTCTTGCTCAATACAAGCAGTGTGCAAGTTCGGACCAACCCAAAACAGGAAAAGCCATCAAACCGCGTCCAGAAGAGATGGGAGAGGGCAGCATACCATGACGTGCTTGCTGCTCAGGTGGAAGTTTGGAATCATGGGCTCCAAGGTGTGCAGGAAAGCCATGCCGCGGGCAATGTCGATCGCAAACTTGAGAGCCTGAGACTGATCCACCACCATGCCTGGAAACATACAACTGACATAATTATTCAACAAGCCAAGCCAACGACAGCCGGCGTAGATCCACATAAAGTCAAGCAAAACTAATTTTTTTTATTCGGCGCGAGCTATCCATAATAAAGGATAGCCACCCCACCTCCATCCTGTCTGACGTTGTTGAATGCATGATAAAACCAAACAGAACAAGCAAGAGATGTGGAGAAAGAAGAAATCGACCGGCGGTCGTCCCTTATATACACCGCATCTCTCACAACTTTAAGAGAATTGCCTCTAAATACGAAGTGCCGGTTGTGTTTTCAGCCCCTGACAAGCTTAAAAAGCTCTGCCCCAAAGTCAACACCCCGCGCACAAAGCCTGACAAATGCAGTGTTAGGCACGGCAACAAATACGTCAACTGTTGCAGCGGGGTAGTGTATTTGATCCCGTTCACCTGTGGGAAGGTATATGTGGGACAGTCGGGAAGATGCATCAATGTAAGGCTCAGAGAACATGCGCTATCTTTAAAATCATCTCCGTCGGGGCATCTCGCTCTACATGCGAGGGACTGTAGATGCGCCCCGCTATTGTCCAGCACAAGGATCCTGAAGAGGTGTCCAGACAAGCGAACTCGAGAAATCCTTGAGGCTGAAGTGATTGCGACCAAAGGAGACGCCTGCATCAGTGCTCCTTCGGTGACTTTGTCATCAAAAGAATTAGAGTACATGAAATATTTTCCTTAGATATTCTTAATTTGCTTTATCTTCCTCTTTCTTTTTTCTTAATATATTCACTGTCATTTCTTTCACTGTTACTTTAATCATGCCCACCATTTCCTATTGTTTTTATCAATTTTTTCTTTTTCTTTTTCAATTCTCAGTCTTTTCAGAACCTTTCACCCCTTTCTCATAAATATTTTTTAACATTTAACGTTAGGGTTCTTCATCTTCGTCATCTTCCGAATTAAAACGTCAGTTGCGAGTAAGCGCTTGTCCTGTGTTGTCTCCCTCTTGTCCTTGTCTTTTGCGCTTTTTAATTTCAGTAATGTTTAACCAACTAGGCCATCAAATCATTTTGCTACCCATGGTTCAGCACAATGAGATGCTGCTAAGCCCAATGACACGTCACTCGTAAGGGTTGGCTCCATTTTCAGTAAATCAAAATCTTTTTGAGCCAGAACTCTAGTTTTTGCAGAGGTTATTTTGTTGGGAAACTGGAGAAAATTTAGTATATTCATGCGTTTAGTTTTTGCACTTTTTCCTTTCAAAATATAGCCACATCATTGCCTGGCTTAGACCAATTTTTGGAAAACATTTGCGTTTGACGAACCAAACGTTGCGTTAGAATTCAAGTTCTTGCTCTGAAGTTGGCATTAATCAGAAGCCCGTTTATTTAGCTTAATTTCTATGCACGGCCGCATCATATTGTAAACCTAATGGTTTCGTCGGGACAAAAAACGCAAGAAAAGAGCCACCCAAAACTTTTTCCGCATGGTCAGAAAAGAGCTAGAAAGAGAAAAGGGGGGGGGGAGGAGCATCACCCGTCTGGCCGTGCAGGATGTTGAACAGGGAGCCATGGGGTAGGTACTGCTGCACCACAACCAGATACGGGGGCCGGTTGACGCAGCCCACCACGGGCAGCACGTTGGGGTGCGAGAAGATGCGCAGCCGCGGGTACTGGTCATTGAAGTCCCGTGAGATGCGGGGGGTCACCTCCCCCACGTTCAGGATCTTGGCCACAATGTCGTTGCCCTGCCACGAACCCTTCCAAGTCTGCGGATATGAGTCAGAGAACAAAGCCCGCAACTTAGAAGCCGACGAGAAGAAAATCTGCAGCTTTCCGCCACGGTCTGCCGAGAGGCGACAACATGCCAAGGACGCTCCACGTCTTGCAAAAGAGAAAACACACCCCTCGTCCTCACTCTGTCTGTGACCATCACGATAAGAGCACCCACCTCTATGCATGTCCGCTCCTGGTTTGCTCAATAGCCTTGGGGTCATTGGAGTATGTATGTACGAAAGAGAACACACTCCACACAAGTCAACGTGTCTGTCCACGACTAAATTGAGAAAGGTGCGGCTCTGGGTGCGAGGATGCTTCTATTTACAACACAGAGTGCGACAATGTCAAGCTTTGTTCAAGAGATGGAGAGCAACTACCGTGCTCCATACTGTAAAGACTGAAATTTTTATGTTTTACGAGGAGAAGCGTGACACGGCGGTTTTGTCTGGAAGGTCTCCAAGGTTACAACCACCATTTTACTGGCTTCTCAACTTTCTACAAAGATTTAATTTCATTTCATTTTTTTTTTTGGTCTTGTTTTAATTGCAACAAAAAGAAATCTTCAGAGTAATAAGGAATTAGCCTACCTAGCTAACACCTACAGCTGTTGATTTTGGCTGGCCTAGTATTTAATTATTTTCTTTGTTTTTTAAAAAATTTATATCGGTTCCTATTTGTTTTGTTTTTCTCTTCCCTTTTAAAGTATAACTCATTCATGTATCGCCAGTCTTCCTTTTATTATGGTGCATGTGTTTCATTTCCGATGCCTCGTCTTCCTCTTTATTTCACGATGCATCAGCTGGTAGTCAGCGCTCTGTGTTCTCTTCCTCGCTGCTTTTGCGCTGTTTTTAATATCATGCAGCCTTTAGACCCGAAAATGTACTCTAGCAAAGCGAAAGCAAAATTATACCTTATGCGGGACTATGATGCCATGCCTTTTATAGTCTTTTTTTAGTTTGCACCAGAAAAATAGGTTTTTCATAATTAGTTCTTAAGAACCCAGGGAGATGTAGCCCTCTGTCATCAGATAGACTGCCACATAGTCCAATAAGGGGTGTATGCATGCATGGTACATACGGATAATAAAGCTGCACAATATTTTGTATACTGACACACAAAAAGAAACCACTAACATATATTTAGATCTCGAATTTAAGGGGAGCAAGTTGTCCGCAACATGTATTGCTACGATCGCTAGTCTTTGGATCCCTATTTGCTTAGCAATTACCAGGCCTAATCAGTGGCTTGGCCGCAATAACAGCAAAAGTTGTCTCTTTCCTGCTTCTCCCGTTGCCACCCAGAAAAAGACAAGAAACTGCAGTGAAACACGTTCTGCGAGTTAGAAGGGCACGAACCTCTCCGGACTGCGTTTGAGCAATCTGCGAAAAGAACTTGAGTTCGTCCATGTTGATTCCAGAGTGCCGGGAAAGAGTAGCATCCCCTGCGAGTAAAAACGATTTCATCAGCGTCATGCTTCAATTTGTGACCTGCATTAATCGACGTTGCCTAAAATTAAATAGCTCAAACGCAAAAAAAAGCATAAAAAAGAATTGGAGACAACAAGGCGACAGCACATACCTTATCTACGCAGAAGATAATGGTGTTGTATGCATGCTTAGACAGTGGGATGTTTAGACAACATTGTGAAAGGTAAGCATGGGATGTTTGGCAAAAAGAAAGTTTTGTTTTCACAAGCGTATGGCTAGGGAAGATTTTATATAAAGGAAAGAACAAACTAAATTCATTCAAAAGGAAACACGTGGTGCTCACTTGTCCTTGTCTTTGTGCCGAGCCAGTTCTGGTCCTTGTAGTAAATCTTCTTCAGGTCCTGACCGCCCTGTTCAGCAAGCTCTGCCGAGAAAGACACCAAAACCACCTCAAACCGTCAGAGACCAGCCTGAATGCCCAGCACCGAAACCAGAAACAAGTTCCGATAAAGCCGTGCAGTACAGCTGCGAGCTTTGACCACATTTGAAACATCTCGGTTGGCTTGGGTATGCACCGTTACCACCCTCTGTCCTAAACTGCTGAATGCAGTTGTACAAACTACTTAAAATGAGAGCAGTGCAAGAGAATTTTAAAATTGTTTATGGTCATCTAGGTGTCAAAAGTTTAAGAGAGAAGTTTACAGTGATTCCAGTTTTGTAGGCTCTAATGCGCCGAAATTGCGGAGAGATGCAGAAATGAGCAATTTGCCGTGTCTGGCAGAAGGATGCTGGTTAACAAGTCCCTATGAAGTACTGAATTTTTGTCCTCAGTCCTTTTACATACAGTTCATACATTCGATTTCCTACTTACAAACCTTAATAAGCTCTCAGAAATCAAAATTTCTACCCATGTTGGTCAGGCTAGTTTTTGAAGTGTAGCAGCTTGCAAATGGGTATGGGTAAGATAGCTTTTTGAAGGGTAGCACATCAAACAAGAATAACTTTCAGGATGTCATCATCACATCTGATCAAAGCTTTGAAACGCAAAAAATCTGCTGCGAATAAGCTGGGCACTTGCTATCCGTGTGCGATCAACATTGCGTGACTCTGAGAAGCAACGGTGTCACGTGACATCACAATGACAAGCAATATAATGTCTTCTCGCACCATGTCACATGACACCCAAACTCCATGTAAAGTCACAAAGTTGCATGACATCACAGAGTCACATGACCTGCGTGTCGGTCAAGCGTCTTTCTCGTGATACCCAGCCTTGCGACAGCTGACTCACACACCTTCAACTACCTACAACGAAATGTGTTAAAACCTCTTGTGGACCCTTACGATGAGAATATAGCCACGAGACGTTTGTGATTTTCATATATTTCCTACCTTCTTTTTGCTTATCACTTTTTCCCTTTTGGCTTAAAATCTTTTTCCCATGTCATATAAACAACTATTTCTCATACATAGCATGTACATTTGACTTCACAAATACTGCAAAACCTTCACTCCAGTGAAATACAGTTCCAGGGCTACCTCATAGATAGTGCAGGCATGCCAGAACTTCCCCTTGACGCAAGAGGTGACGAGAACTCTGCCGTAAGCAAATACAAGTGTCTGAACCAGCCTTAAAGGGGCACTAAACCACTTTCTGCGATTGTCTATTTATGGTCATAACTCCATGTACATATATGCTCTAAGCATCCTAAAGAACCAAACATAACATTAATGTGCGGCCGATTTCTCGATTAAAATCAGTATCAAAATCGCTGGTGCCCTCTGGCGTCTGCGGTAGCTCCAAGGTAATCTATCTTTGACAGAGATTTTAAGAGAGAAATCAGCCACGCATGAATGTAATATTTGTTTTTTTAGGATGCTTAGAGCCCATAAATTAAGTTACAATCATAAATAGACTATCAAAGAGAGTGGCTTAGTGCCCCTTTAACATATTCTGTGTTAAAAGAACAAGTTTATTGAGGCCTCACCCCGCAGTCTCAGACCCATGTGGCCCTTGCACTTGTCGAGCGGCGTCTCGCCATACTTGTTGGCGATCGAGACCAGGGCGCCACTGTTGATCAGATCCTGTCACCGAGGGGGCGAAGTGAATGATAGATGTTGTGACCTTGCCTAATCTACTTAATGAAGAGAACCCCGTTTTTCTCTATGCGTAATAAAAATACCCATCCAAAAGCAGTTTTGTTGCCACGAACCAAGAAAATGATTGGACAAAGTGGGTTCTCTAACTCTGACGTATGAGACAGGAGTACTACTAAGGGGTAAAAAAAAAAAGTATCAGCTCGTAACAGTTCCGATACTGTTGTGAGAGGTGGATGAATGGTACTTGAAGCGGTGAAGAATTGAATGATAGTCAACGGACAAAAATCTATTGCCTCTCCAATAAGGGTTGAAAAGCTAGTGTAGAATTTTCGAAGCAACTGAAAAATAATCACTTCGTAAACCAGAGAGTAAACATTCTTGCATTACTCAATAGAGCTTTGCCCCTTTGGACAACACATATAATTTGTCGTTCCTAAACGGTGCTTTCAGTGGCTAACATAGTTACGCGTGTGCGAGAATAGGCAACTTTTTTTTTGCCCATTCTATATATTTTACATATATACATTTTCCATTTTCAAACTTTTCAGCACATAGACAGTAAGGTGTTTACAAGGAGTGTCCCACTACTAGACATAGCCCAATGCCCAATTTTGAAAACAGCTTTGGATGCAAGTTCTACAATAACCTACACCCAATATCCAACGAGAAGAACAAAAAGCACACCTCAGCGATCGCTTGGTATCCCCAGAAGCACGCATAATGCAGAGGAGTGTTCCCATGCTCGTTGATGCCGTTGACGTCCATGTTCCGCTTCAGCAGCTGCACAAGTAGAGGCAAAAAAGCATCTCGTGTTACAACGCACCAAGCTCCCGTCACAAGAAACAAACCCACCATAAAGGAAAGCCTAGTCAAAACGGCGGGCAAACGAGTAAACATTAATTTATAAATGACAGACCATTCCAGCCTCCCGTCTTTCCGAAATCTAAATCCCAGAAAATCTCGCGTAACAAGGAGCTCGGCTGTTGACGGCATCGTACGGCCTAAGGTCAATCGGCAAACTCGGCTTTCAGCGAGACAAATTCTGGGTCGTCTCCTCTACTAAACAGCAACAACACCACCTGTCATTTTCGTACATTCTTTTGTGTCCCTTATTATTTATTTTTTTTGGCCAGAAAAGATTTTGTCAGAGTTATAGACGACCAATCCTCAAGGGTGGTACGTAAATTTGATCTAGCACATACCGCAAAACCCTCGCTCTAGTGAAGCCCGGCACCGGGGTCACCTCAAAGGTGGTACCAGCATACTCTCTCGTTGTGAGAGATTGCAAGAACTCTAGTAAGCAAACGCAACACCGTGTGAATCGTGTGCTACCATGTGGACGATGTCGCGGTGTCCGTGCGCGGCAGCCAGGTGCAGCGCAGTGTCGTCCCCCATGTTGGTGGCATTGACCCTCGATCCACGCGCAATGAGCATGTCGACGATGTTGCCGTGGCCTTCCTTGGCGGCCCAGTGCAGGGGACTGAAGCCGTGGTCGTCCCTGTGCAAAAGCAAAACCCGCTGCCATTGCTTCCTCGTGAATGCGCGCAGTTCGCTTACGTGACCAGTCGGATCTGGCAGAGTCGATCAACTACTTTCATGATTTTGTCACTGTCTGGGGTCCGTTTCTGTCATGTAATTCGATTTCTCTACAAGGTAATAGAAATTGCTAGTGGCTCCCTTCAATTTTTTAGACAGAATGTGTTTAGGGCTAGTAAAAGCGCCCCCAAAGCTCAGTCAATAAACCCCAAGGTTACTGTTGCTAAACCTATACCAGTGCATGCGGAAAATGGAGCAAGGAGCACAGTCACAACCCGATAGAGTAGACGGAGTAGTGGAGACCTCTGAAGCAAATATTCGGGTATGCTTATGTGCTGACAGCTATCGCAGATTGCCATCACCACTGCAGTTACTCGGTTTATATAGAAGTATTTACGTATACAGTCGCCAAAAACTGTGTGAGATTTTTCGACACCCAGAGATTTTAAAGTTGCGTTGAACCTAAATGTGTCAAGCGTTTCTGACATGTTATTATTGCAAGACGTAGAAGGACACTTTACGAAAGCCAAGTTGGTGCCTGGAAGGGGGATGATGAGCATTCATCCCCTAATGGGGATGAATGCTCATGAAAACATGAACGCTAGTGAAGTAATCCATATGAAAACAGATTACTCTAACAAAATTTGTAGGTGTAGCTAACTGGTCAAATGGGGTTATTCCATAACACGAAACATTAAGCGACAGATTAAAAAAAAAAACGAACTAGACTATTAAAAGTGTGCAAATACGCCCAAAAACCAACTTTTGCGTGGGCGTTTACGGTGTGTCGCGCCTTACAATCCTAAAAAGGTCGTGGCCTTCAAGAAATGATTCCACGCGAAAAAATCCTACTAGGAGGATCCTCTTACCAAACGGTCTTTATCAAACCGCTAGAGGAACATCAGACGTAAATATGACGTGTGTCAATTGAACGCGATTTCCGTTAAACTTTTGGTAAGGTAAACAACGCCCAAGCGTAGACTCACCCTTGATTCATGTCGTGCTCCGTGTCGTCAAGCCATACGCGCACTTGAAACGCGTTTCCCTCGCGGCACCAGTGAAAAATGTCTTCCATAATTGCTCGATTTTCTTTCGGATCCTGAAATGAACGTTTATTTGATCGAGACTAATGGATCACACAAATTATCAATTTGAGTTTCGAGAAGTTCATTAGCGCGGTTAGAAAGCACTAAAGAGGTTATTAACAACCCCGAGACGTCGTTGACAACGATCGGAAATATTGGCGTGACGCTTTAAAGCCGCTGAAACGAATGACATCAAACTTACGCTTGCTAAATACGAAGAAACAGTACCGGAGTTTTTGCAGTAGCTAAACAAGATCCATTTACGGAGGCAAAACCGGAAGCGTACATTGGAATGGTAAAACAGGACGAGTGTTTTGAAGTCTGGCGGTGAATATGCTAACATCGACAACCTAAAACTAAACCAGCGTCACATATTTGATTTATACTAGAAATATTGTTAGTTACATATATATTCTTTTTGTTTTAATATATGTGTTAGCTTTATTACAATTTATTTGTTTAAAATTGTATGCAAATCTGTCTGGTTCAGGAGTGCACCACCTTTCTTTCCCCGCTCCGAGATATCAACAAACACCGCCTTTGCCAGTTGTGTTCCGTGACCGTATGTGACATTCTGACTACGGCTGCTTGTAAACTTGCGTTGGCGCACCTAATCGCTGTCAGTTCGTTAGAATCCGCCTGCAAATCGCAGCTCGACCCTAATTCTTTCCAATCCTCGCCTGCTTTCTCGGTGGCAGACGAAGCCGCCGTGGCGTCTGCAAAACAAAGAGAAGCTCCGGGTTCGAGGATTATTGAACCAAACCTCTCCTCGCACCACTTCGCAGCTTGGGCCGCCGGATTATCTCGGCGTTCTGATCCATAATCCCGCGTATTTTTAGCGTTTCGACGAGTCTGGCGATGGTGCACATCTCGATCTGAAACGTGAGTACGCAGTACATATCGTTCCCTTCCAGCGGCGGCTGGTCAGTTCCGCCAAACGCGCCTCGAGTGCCGACGAATTTTCACGGTCGCACCATGGATGCCGCGCCAGGCGTTGTGTTGTGTGTAAATATTTTGATCCCGTTTGAGCTGAGGACACGACGTAGCGGGGCGACATAATTTTTTTTATTGTGCATTGGATGTTCATTGTCGCGATCGACTCGTTTAGAACGCCTTCCTAGGTTCCTCCCCAAGTCCCGAAGCGGGCTCGCTCTGTAAGGAACTCGCACAAAATCGGTCTCTGCGGAAACTTCGCCCGCTTTTCCATAAATGGAGCATGCGTCCTTTCCAGCTTTTGTTTCTTTTTTTTTTTTTTTGTTACTCTTGATTAGATAGCCGGTTTGCTGGGTGTGTTTTGGCCTTTCGTGGTGCCTTCGGGTGGGTCCATTCCACGTCGGGGCGAGTTCTTCCCAGGAGGACCGGTGACTATAACGTAGGGACGTAGGTTGCGCTGAAACGCGATCCACGTTCTCAGAGGCGGTGGATCGGTTGAACATCAAGCGAAGAGGAAAACACGGAAAGAGGAAATTGATGACCAACGTTCTCCTTCTGACATCAGTTGTCGTTTTTGAGCGCTCGGACGTTTTCTCGCCTCTTTTATCCGTGGTCGTAACATGCGAGCTTCCCTTTTTCGGCGTTAACTGGTTTGACACGCGTACGTAGCTACCTCCTGCGCCTTCTGCTTTCCTTTCTTTTCTAGCCTGACAACAGCTGTCACTTCACGCGGATTTCTTTTCTGCTTTTATGTTGTTTATATTGTTTCGTGCGTCGTGCTTCAATGGTATGCCGCACCCTCGGCTACACCCAATGTACGGCTGTATGAAATCAGGAATACTACAATGCGTAGGCACTTTTTTTTTTTTGTTGACATGGTGTGTTTCAGAGTTGCTGCCTTTTCTTGCTCCTTATCACAGGGCTTGCCTGACACACTATCTTATCAGGAAATCGAAGCTTGCGCACTCAAAACATAGCTTTGCGGTGCTACACTGTATGCTAACGCACTGACACATCCCCAACAGACAGAAACACCTCTAGATTAGATTTGCTTTCTCTTTCTAATCAGTGCTTTGTTGTGGTATTCGTTTGTGTCTAGTTTGCAGACGCTGTGCTTGGCGCAGATGTGAAAACATCCCTTGCAGGAAACGTTTTGTCCTGTGAGCGACTGACTTGTGTGACATTCAGTGGATGACCTCCAGGACACAAGAATGTGCTCCTCACAGAATACGTGACTTTGTTTAGCTTGCTGCAGGTCATGAATAGCAGAAGAAACCCCTCCCACAAAGCGCTCTGCTTGCCATGATTGGTTGTATCCTCCCCTCTGGCATTTGCTTTGCTAAATTGGAAAGAGTGGAGAGCTTTATGGAAGGAGCATTTCCTCCTATTCTAAACCTACAGCAAACTATAGATGTCGACGAAGTTTCCCAATGTTTTAGTAATGTCCCGTGGACATTGCCACATAGACCGTCCGAAATTTCTTACAACTCTAACTCTACGTACCGCTTTATTCTGCTCGTTGGCTTTTCAGGGTTCTTGCGGTGAATTCCTTCCGGGGTCGCCCCGCATTCGGGCCAAGATGAATCTGACGTAGCGCTCCAACGTTTTGCCGACGTCCGAGCCTCGGAAGATGATGAGCGGGCGGGTGGCTGTGGACGATGACGACGAAACCACGACGTCGAGCGACGGGACTTCATCGTCGTCCGACAGTGACGGCGAACTTCCCGTCGCCCACAACGGCAATAAGAACAGCGTGCCTCCGATCCGCAAAGATGGCATGGGTAAGCCTTTGTCGCCTGTCAGTCAACCAGCCACTTGCCCGATTAATAAGACAATAGGCCCTTTTCAACTCGGTACCAACTGGTGGCTCATATCAAGAAAAAAACCTCGTTCTTTCTCAATGCAGGGCGCAAGTTCATCTGCTTTTCTTGCAGTGGTTGTGGGGATGTCAGAGTGCCGAGCTATGATTGACTCTGATTAAAGGATAATGGGTAGACCTCAAAGCAAGCTGTCTTGAGGTCTACCTACTATTCTTCAATCAGAGCCAGTCAGAGCTCGGCGTTCTGACGTCACCACAATCCCTGCAAAAGGAGCAGACGAATTTGTGCTCTCTCTATGGTGTGAACGGAAGAACTGGCCAGTACAAAGTGCCAACCCATAAATATGGGCCTTCGTGGAGCCGACATCGTGCCAAGAGATTGAATGGACCAAAATCCAAAATAAACGCTGGCGCAGCGTCTCGTTCGTGCATTGCATTGTACATCTCGTCTCTACAAACGTTGTACCCTTCGCACAAAAGCGTCGTATGGCCGCCATTACTGTGGCGCAGATGCCGAACGCTCGGACGGTGATAGCGATCCAAGTGGCGAGGCTGACTTTTGGGAAGGGTCTATTGAAAAATGATACTATGTTAACAACACCGGTACTAAACAATTTGAAAATTGTTTGCCTCCGAAGCATCCCTCTTTTGCGGACGTTTTTCCTAGTCGGTTAATTGGCCTGCAAATCTGCACTGCTGCAACTAAGTTGCAAGTCTGTTGACATAATACCGATTGTAGTATCTTTCCTTTTCTGTGTAAGTAGTGCCACAGACAGGTATTTTAAGCACCACTGGGATTTCATTAATGCGAAATTTCATCCAGATGCCATCTAAAGGCGGACTGTAACTATGCATCACTCGCACTCTGCCCTTTACTCTCATTTATTTCCATGTGACTATTGGGTAACTAAGCAACCATTATACCACTTTGTGAGACACAGAAGTGGTCTAAACGTAACAATATGTGACGAAGATATGCACCTGTTTGTGTCGTGCTCTTCGGAAGATGCGCACAATGTAACTATACTCGGAGCCAGTTATTTTGTGCTACATTGTCGGGGCTAGCATAGCTTCTGCAGTGCTTGAACGTTACGCGTCTTTCTCACAAGAGCGTGCATGAATCGGACGCAAAACGACACCTCTTGCTTTTCTTAGCAGTGTGGAGCAGCGGCACAATGGAAGCTACCCAAGCCTTAACAACGAGCGCAGAATAGTTGGCGCCAAGTAGACAGCTTGTCGTGTTTCCGCACCATTTCCTTGGTTGCTCGTTCGGGTGTAGGCAGAACACCCAGCAACATGTGCCATATTTTACCACTATATAGTCCGTACCAAGCGTATAATCTGCTAGGGCAAATCTCATTGCATAAGTAAAAGTTTTTCCTTTGATAGACTTTAAATAGGTAGTCTGCAGGTTAAAACATTTTCATACCAAGCATTGCTTCACAAATGCCTGCCTTAACAAACTTGCATCGTCGATAACAAAATCTGTTGCATCACATCATAACGACTGATCTAGAAAAACCAAATCCTAGTACTAGTCCGCACCGGTTAAAGTGTCAACTTTTAAACGTGTCGTGCGCGGGTGAGAGTGTTTCGCAAAGTCGTTCGACGAGTGTCATCTCCTGAGGTTTCCGCACGCTGCAGAAACTGACGGTGTGTGTTTTGCCGCTCGCAGCGGTCTGCGAGCGTTGCGGGACCGTCGGAGTCAAGCATGCCTTCTACTCGAAGACCAAGCGGTACTGCAGCGTCGTCTGCTCTCGGGGCCTGGTGCGGGGAGCGGGTGGTGGAAAAGTGAGTCGACCAACACGCTCAGACGTCTATAATCTTTCGAGCATGTGCAATGTTCTCAGATTCGTCAAGTTTTGTTTGTGTTACGATAATAACAGTGAATTCATTTATTTGGATGAGGCTGGCTCTTTGACCTAGTTGAGAATGTGATGTGGGTAACGATGGCACGGCGGTTCGTCAATCCGGCGCCGACAAGGACAACCGAAGTTGCCTGTCGACACGAGCCCGACGGCACGAGCAAATAGACGGAACATTTTCACCCAAGCTCGGAGCCGGTTGCACCATCTGTCCCGTCCAAAACCACGAGCATGCTGCAGATGGAAGCGCTGTAAAGACAAGAATTTTTTCTGCCTAACTGTAAAGATGAAGAAAACAACTTTAACAAAAAGGCATGTGCCTTCATCGTGCAAGATGGTGTCGTACGTGCCCTTTGTGAATGAACCATTGAATATCCATTTCGTATATCGAAACGGGAGGCAAGCACAAAAAACTGCATCAGCAGCTGGAGTGAGGTCTATGGCCCCTACAGCAAACAACTCCAATGCACAAAAAAAAAAACAGGAAAACTTAGCATTTTAACAATGAAAAACAGTGGCAGATCGCTCTGAATGAACAACAATGAATAAGGTGTTGTACAGAAAAGAAATCTGTGACACAGCAATAGAGGTGTGGTAAAGGCTGTCGTTTTCTTACCCGACTATAAAGAGGAAAATATTGCAGTCCTACGCAGGGCCGTACCCAGAAAAAAATTTCGGGGGGGGTTTTCGGGGACAACGGCGGCCATTTTGAAAGTGTCTATTGTCTTATTTTCGCCTATGAATCATGTGCATCGGTGGCATATAATGGAGAGTTACAGCAAACCGGAGAACCGGTCCCGGTTTGGTACCCGGTAGCCGACCGGCGCCACTGCGCCTGCGCAGAGGTGGAGATTAAAATCGGCTGGCTGCCAGTGCACCGACCAGGGCCGTACCCAGAAAAAAATTTCGGGGGGGGTCAGAACCCCCTATCCCCCCCCCCTGGTTACGGCCCTGGTCCTACGGATGAAGTCTGTTTCCACGGCATTTTTCGGGGCTTGCGGTGGACATCACGATTGTCGTTTCTTATGTGATAATTGTCAGATCTTGGGTTTTTTGTTTTTTCCCATAAACTGTCGGAATGCACATGCCGGCATTCGTACGGTCAACGGAGAGAAAGCAGCGAGTTTTGTGTCTTCCCTCTGGTTAGCGCTGCAGTAGAATGCCGAGCTCGCAATCGTGGGGTCGTAGATTTGATTCCCGTTGGTGCGCATTTAGAATTTACTTCTTCCTTCTCTGCTTTCCATCCTTTTTACGCATTCTCCCTTGAAGTATGTGTTGCACATCTCATGATGGTTTCTGCGGTGCTTCGCCGCACTTTCTTTAGGGATCCCAGCCCTCTAAGCACATTCCATATTAAAAAAATATCCTTCAAAAATGCACTCGCCTGCACTTTCATCGCAGCATCGATGCCAACGCCCTTTGCGAATAATCCATTTAATATAGCAGTTAATTGATGGTTTAATTTGGTTAAACTACAGTAGGTGTGTGTGGTGTGTGGTGTTGAAACAAAAGTTCCTTTACTATCGAGTTGGTGCGAGCCGGTGGAAGGGATAAGGTTACTTGCATGTGTGTAAAAGAAATTGATTTCAATCGCTGCCAGTCAAAAAGCGTCACATGGATTTCTCCATTACGAGATTCAAGCAGCAACAATTGAATTGGGTCAAGTACCATTTCGTTCCCAGAGGTGGAGGTACTTTCCGAAAAGTGGCGAGCTGTATTTGACCCTAGTAGCGCCAATGGAGCAATTAAGGCAGCCTCATGACTAATGGTTACTAGAGTCGGTGGCAGTTTAAGAGTTGCTGGGAAGCTCCTTCCACCTCTCTCCACTTTAGCAGAACAAATGCTAAAGAGGATGCGTCCTCCTCTGCAGCATTTACTCTGCTAAAGTGGAAAGAGATGGGAGGAGCTTCCCACAAACTCTTGACCTGTCACCGATTGTAGTACCTTTATTATGCTAAGAACAAAGTAGGTCAACAGTTAGAAGATTACCAATGAAAGTCATCATATAGCACTCTGATTAGTCGCAATAGAGCACATCGAAAGAAATATATCGAATGTGCAAAGTGACGGAACTGTTTCTGAACGCTCGCGGGTTCCCTCTCTTTATAGCTGTTTTCTTTATTAACTTCTTTCAGACCTCGTCAACGCAGAAGTTGACAAAACGTCCCGTGGCACATGGGCAACACTCTACATCCCTTTCCCATAAGCCCAAATACGGTAAGGTCCAGCGCTGTCTTACGCACCGAAACGTTTGCCATCTTGTGTCTCCGTTTAGAGAAAGTGAATCTTTTTTACTGAGTGTGTGGTTGTGCATCTTCTTCGGCAGCTCTGCAGTGATATCGTGTTAGAATATTGATGGTTAAGTGCGAGCTAATACTATTTGCTCCGTTTTCCCTGTATGGACATTACTGGGGAGGGGGGAGTGTAACTTGCTCCATTTTCTTGTTCTTTTTTTGCAGAGCTTGTAACTTCTTTCAACTGGAAGCCTTACCTAGCTAGGAGCGAGTTTGTGGCGGCTCCTGTTTCCTGCTTCAAACATGTAAGTTTCGGGTGTCCTCACTTTGTACGGCGAATATATAAGTTGCATTTCATAAATCCCCTATTTGAAGCTTCCAGTTAGCGTGTGTTATTCTCAATGCACATGATTTCATGAGCACGCAGCATATTCTAGTCGCAGCTAAAGTTCACACTCGCCTTTGATGCAGAAAAATTTGCTCGTATACTCAATTTATTGCCCGACTGGGATCCTAGTTGAATATGGCTGCTTGCGCTGGAAATGCTGATGCGATTTCGCTTCCACTTGGGATGTCGGCTTGTTTATAGCTTTTATTGGGGTTATGTTCATGTTAAAGATCTGTTGCTATACTGCATATATAAAGTTCAGGAAAGCTGGAGGGGACCATGTCAGTGAAACATGTTCTTTCGGCCCCTTCCCTTCACTCCCTAAACTAATCGTTGTCGGCGGCACAGTTTTCGTTTAGAGCAAAAATGGGCAAAGCGGTTTGCTGGTGGCAGCTGCTTATTGCTCATTTCAATTGTCACAAAAGTAAGAAGAACAACATTAAAAATTGCATCTAAAAAGTTTTCTCAGAGGCTAAGAATACCACTAGTCACGTCTACGTCTTGTCCCCAACTACTATACGACGCGACATCAGCGGCTTTCAGTCACATCACTCCTGTGCGCCCTTTCCCTTTTTCTGCTGTGGACACGCTGCGACCACAAAAGTCTAGACTTCGAGGCGCAATTAGTTTCCTCTCAGTGTAACGGGATCATATTTCGCAAATGGCCACGGCGTGTCACCCACTCCGCACAATTCCTAGTTTCTCGAGATGGACTGGATCGTCTCGTCGAGGACGCTGCTCTCCGACCGTGCAGGTTGCCTTTGCCGACTGTTGGGACAACGTGACGGTGGGCATGAAGGTCGAAGTGGAGAACAGGGATTGCGAGAAGTTCAAGCACATCTTTGCCAGCTTCTACTGGATCGCAACCGTGGTCAAGATTGCGGGTGAGCTCTTCTGTTCTCCGCTGTCTGGAAGGGGGGGGAGGCACTTTTGAAAACTGTTCAGAGTGGTGCAGAGTGCAAAATCCGCCTCTGAAACCCTCGCAGGCTACATGGCCAAGCTGCGCTACGAAGGCTTCGGCTTGGACGACTGCAAAGACTTCTGGGTGAACCTCTGCGTTGACCAGGTCTACCCTGTCGGCTGGTGTGCCTCCCAGCAAAAGCCGCTCATTCCGCCCAAAAGTGAGTATACATTGTCTGCGGGCGAGGGGCATGTGCTCGCTTTTTTACGCGCCCTGTGGATGAGCGTTTTTTTTTACCTCGAACAATAATTCACCTTTTGAAATGCCGAGAAACCGTGACTAGAAGCCTTTCGTTTTCAAGAGTGACCTCACTCCATCGAGGTCTAAGTGCAGGCACCAAAACGGGACGGCAAGCCGCAACGATCTCGAGGTACACCTAAGTAATTGTACATTACCTCGTACTAATTGTTCAGACGGGAATGACTCCAGCCGTCTACTACTACTACTGCTTGCGTGTGTACAAAATCCAGTCATAATTGTTACTGCACGCACAGTGGTAGTTACAAAATTGTGGTGCACTAGAACCACTTTATATAATAAAAACCGATTTAAAGAAAATACGAGTGCGGTGAAGTAAAGTTGAAATGGACTTTTAGCATTGGTACCGGCCATCGGTACCGCCGTATTAAAGACGCTGATATAGCTGTGATTTCTCTTGAAAGACGCTGGTGTTACTGCAGAGAGGTTCGATGTGTTTCTCATGCCTCTCCGTGTTGTCCTTCCCATCTTGACATGCCCTCTCTTCTCTGCTTCAGCGATAGAGCACAAGCACGGGGACTGGAAGCAGTTCCTGGTGAAGAGACTCACCGGGGCACGTACCCTGCCCACAAACTTCCACGCAAAGGTGACTCCAACTTCGTAGGGGGTTGAGACGCATTTCACATTTTGTGGGCATGCTATTCGGGACGTGCAAACTTTGGGTTGGGAGCGATGTCGAAGCCACACTCTGCGACAACTTTTGGAGGTCGTACATCAGTGCTACGGGCGTTCATGCGCCTTGAGTGCTGATTGGAGCTATGCGTGTCTACTCTTCACTCTTCTTTTTTTTTTTTAAATAGCAGTGAAAGCTGTCCTTGTACATAATAACTAATTTTTTTAAAACATCCAAACTGCAGATATACTGAGAGAAATGCCAGCATACTAGAGTAGGAGTACGTATTACTACAAGTTATTTTGTATAATGATCTATCAAGCTAAAAAATGACGGGTGCTGTCATGCAATTTTGACACTGATGTATGGTGCGGATGCATTTTTATGAAGTAACTTTGCAAAACCAGTTGGCTAATGTTTGTTTCAATGGCTGAAATTTTGCTTCTGACAGCGTAAGCTGTTTTTAGTATTCCCACTGATGCAGGCCAAATTTTGCCTTCCGAGCTGTCTGAGACATTGAAAATATGCATGAAACCTGGGAGCTATACAGTAAAGACTTAATGAGACACTACATACTCAAAATGGATGATAAAATGTTTGTACAAGCCCATGTTGAAAAATGCTAATGAACCATTCTGGCACAACGAAACTGGTTGGTCAACATTGGCATCTGATGGCCAATATCTGCATCTGATGGCCAATGTCTGCACCTGATTGGCCGTTTACAAACTGATAGCCCAATCTCTACACCTGAATGACTGATCTTGGCATCTGATTAGTTAGTTCCGGCATCCGATTGGTCTATCTCAACATCATATTGGCCGATGTCGACACACAGCGAGTCAATAATGGCATCTGATCTGCCAACATTGGCAGTTGATACCTGATCGGCTATTGTCTGCCTCCGATCATTCAATCTCGGGACTTGATCGGTCAGTTATCAGCATCAAATCAAACGACGTTGGAGTCTGAACAGTTGGCATTGGTATTCGACAGGCACCTGGTCGCGACCAATACCGGCATCTCATCGGTCAGTCGCGGCACCTGATTGGCATTGTGTCGACTGCAGGTCCGTGAGAGCATCCGTGGCCAGTTTCCCGTGGGCCTGAAGCTGGAGGTGGTGGACAAGAAGCGCATTTCGTCGGTGCGGGTGGCCAAAGTGACGCAGGGTGTCGGGGGCCGCATCCACATTGTCTACGAGAGCCTGGAAGACGACGGCTTCTGGTGCCACGAGAGGTCTCCCCTCATCCACCCCATTGGGTGGGCCCAGGTCATCGGGCATGACCTCAGGGCCTCGCCAGGTGGGTCCCCGGAATCGCTCCACCTTATACCATGGGTCGTAAGGTGGTCCCAAAGTTGCCACTTCGGGACCACTTTCGACGCACAGGTGGTGTAGGGCACCAAACACGCCGGCCTAGACGAGTCCCAGGCACCATGTTTAGGCACCGACTATTTCGCGCTACGTTGTCGAAGTTGGCTTAGCTTCCGCAATGCTCCACTCTGCCGAAGCTAGTTGCACGAGCGTGCGCGAACGAGATGCGAGACAAAGTTGGGTGTCGAGAATCCTAGTTTCACTGCCCCCAAGGGTGTCGAATGATTCCGGTTCGGTCCCCCTTTTGCAATCTGCGTAATGTCGGAGCAGTGCTGAGCAGCGGTGCATTTCCTCTTGCAGAGTATGCCAAGATGTCCCTTGAGAAGGCGCTGCTGAGGAAGTGCAGTCCCGATGAGGCATCCTGGGACATGTTTCCCCCTGTGAGCCTTTCTTTTTTTTTTACAATTTTCTTTCTCTTCCTTTAGTTTTGAATTGTTGTCCTGTACAGTGTAGACCGCATATAACGTATGTCGCGGTAGTTGCGAAAATCCGCACTATAAGCGGTACCGCGCTATAACCAAAACATCAATTTTTCAGGCCAAAATATACATGCCATGAGACAACTTACCTTTGTAAAATAATTTATTTTATCTTAGATGAAAAATAAAGCTTAGTTTGAGGAAAGTCTTTATTTCACCAGACTAGTACAGTTTTGTCTCAAGTGTGTCACACATTTTTAAAGGAATTAGCGGCTTTTGCCTGGCGCGGCCTTTTAACAGCGTCGCGGTTTGCGGACGGACGTTGCGAGCGTTTAGGATTGCTAACCCTAATCACTTTTCTCCGGAGATGAAAACGCGTGAAAATTCGCATCCTTCATACGGTACGCGCCAGTAATACCTTGAACTTGAGCACACGCATAAAATGCGCCAAATAAGAAATCCGGGCGATGTGCGAGGACACTAATGCTTTTAAATCACCACTGTAGTCGAAGTAAACAAACACGACTACACGGGCGTTTCTGCTGTCTTGAGAGCGCCGCCACGACATCGCCTCACGAGTAGGTGGATGTTCGCATCTAGTACGTGCTGGGTTATCATAACGACACACAACGAAAATTCACAGTCAAGGATAGCGCTTTTACGCAGAACGATCAGATGAACGCCGTCTACGACGACGATCACAACCGACGCCATGTTTGCGGATAGAAGCAGCCGGCCCGCGACCGGCATGCTACGCGCGCGAACACTTCTCCTCGATCTGCGATTGGTCTGTCGGTGCGGTTGTTTGTTCCTTTGTTTCCAACGCAGCGGAGGGACGCATGCACGTGAACGACACGTGCGTGCGTCCCTCCGTCGCTATGGCAACTGAAGCCTCTCTCTTCGCTTCTCTCCAGTTCTTCGAGCAACTTCCTCGCCCCGCGCCGTCAGCGCCGTTATCTAGTGTCGCACAGGGAAGCGTGCTCGCTGCTCCGGTCGTCGGCGCAGTCGGCAAGCTGTGCGAAAAACCGCACTATAACCGTTTATTCCCTTCACGCGCCTGCATTTTAAGCGGTATGTAAATACATGGAGTTCTATGGGAGGCGAACCGGCGGTTTAAAAAAACCGTGTTATACCCGGTCCTGCACTATAAGCGGTTACGTTGTGAGTGGTCTATACTGTACTGGGTTTAGATGCACCATGAAGATGATTGCATTACGTTCGCAGATCTGTAACCGAGTGCGTTTCAACCGTTCTTAGGCCTCGACAAAATTCACATTTGGGCATTTGTTTAACCATTGTTGCACAGACGCACAGGACCCGTGCTGAGAACGAGCGCTCCATCACACATTTGACGCCACTTCCAAGACAAATGCATAGAGGGGCTTTACACAGTTTTTCAAAAACATTTTTTGGCAATTACTTTAACGCGTCGTTTATAAATTTTAGCGAAAAAACTGCAGCGTGGGATAACTTTTTTGGGGGCGACTCTTGAACGACGAAAATACGGTTTCTTTGTATTCTTCATCGCTCGTGGAACATGTATTCGTGCTCACTTTCGGGCAGGTGCACACGCCGTCGTGCGAGCTCAAGTTCCGGGAGGGCATGAAGCTGGAGGCGATCGACCCACTGAACCTGTCGACCATCTGTGTGGCCACGGTGACCAAGGTGCTACGCAACAATTACCTCATGATCGGCATCGACGGCATGATGGCTGCCAACGGGTCCGACTGGTTCTGCTACCACGCCTCCTCGCCCTGCATCTTCCCCGTCGGCTTCTGCGAGCTCAACGGCATCGACCTTACTCCCCCAAGAGGTGGGCTTGTCAATTTACGAGGTGTATATTGCGTATTGTTTTTGTGGATCGTTCTTTTTTTTTTGGTGCGAAAAACTTTTGACAATGTGGTAAGCGACTGTTTCTCGTGGATGGCGCATAGTACTTTTGATTTCACAAATGCTGCAAAACCCTCGGTCCGGTGGGACGCGGTTTCAGGGTTGCCTCGTAGATGGCGCCGGCGTCTTCTCTCGTCGTAAGAGATTGCAATACCTCGATTGTGAGCAAACGGAAGTGTGCAGACGGATCTTGAGCGCGATCGACCGAAGTTTTGGTCGCACATCGAGAGGACCCTGGGCGGATGAATTCTGTCCTCGGTTCGTCGCGTTCGAATTCGACTCAAACTTTCCGACGAAGCTCGAAGCCATGCCTAGCTTCCCATCGCCACGACTTGACTGCGCAAGTTCGACTGCGCACACCTCTTTCTGTGGTATTGGCGTTAAAGTAACATTCGTGCCGATTCTAGATCTACCGTAAAATGCAGCGGGAGCACCCACTTCGTTCGAGCACCCACTATTAACATTTCTTGAACCTGGAAATTCTGAAACTTGTATGTTAAAGTTGCGGTTCAACGTTTTCCAGATTTTGGCCAATTACCTGCAAGAATTAATTTGCGTCGCCTATAAAACGAAAAACAAAAAACCATGTTTTCTTGCGTGCTGTAGTTTTTATTCTAAAAAAAATTAAACGGATTGAAGGTCAAAGTGCCCCTCGGCTTGCGCCCTCTATCAAGCGACTCCTCTGGGAAACCACATAGCCTCCCGTTAAGTTCTGTCTTTGGAGCACCCGGCCGCTGCCTCCGCGACTGTCAACCTTTTGGGGCAAAGGTCGCGGTGAGCGATCAACTCTAAAGAAGGTTTGCCACGGGGCTGACGTGTTCCCCATGGACGTGTCAACGTAGTTACCGTAACCGCCAAACGCGGCTACAAGTCGGCAAATAACTAGCTTTTTCTTTTGTGATTACGTAGCGTAATGACAGTTTTTTCGGGGGCAAGGCGGCGCGTTATTCGTCACTTGTGCTTGGCTAAACACTTTTAAATGCCGAAGGAATGTGGGTGTGAATGCGGCCTAAAATTCTTCAAATTTTTCTTTAATTTATAAAGTGAAATTATTTTAGACATGCGGCGACCTTTCATTCTCATTACATGTCAAGTTTTTTAATCACTTTCATTCCACACGTAGCTTCATGTGACCATTGTGGGTTGTTTGAAATTCCTACACAAGGTCATGTGACCAACGTCATGACCTTGTCGCCCAATCAGCACTTTCCCGTCTCGCCACTGACGTCGGTTTTTCTGCAACACGAGCCCCTTAACGCTGTGCAATAAAATACAAACTGCAAATTCTTTCAGCATCAAAATCGTCGCACTACCCGTTAAAGCACCCGATTTGACCTGACAAGCACCCATGTCTGGATTAACCCAGTTTTCAGCGAAAGTGGGGTAGGCACTCCCCCGTTATTTTACGGTAGATTCGCCTACCAGCTGTTTCGGCAAAGACTTTAGTGAATTCCTACCAACTGGGTGACTGAGAAAAAAAAAAAAAGAAATCTTTTCGGGAATAAATTGCCAGTCGGGGCGGACATCGGGGATTGCAGAAATACACACTATGGTAATTGGCTAAATAAATAACAAAAAATTGTGGAGGCTTAGCTTGGCTATGCCAGGATATACGTAGCGTGAGCTTATGCGCACAAAATGAGAGGCGCTATCGAGCGTCTCCGGTGCAGCATCGGACTTGGCTACTGTGCAACGGAGGCGCACAGCTGGGCACGCAACGGCGCCAGTGCGTCTGCCGCGGCTATGACGTGCTACGGCTATGGCGTGCTCATTATGCGGAGCGCGCGGCGCCGTGCTCATTATGCGGAGCTCCGCCGCCGCGCGCTCCGCATAATGAGCACGGCTCATTATGAGGTCCACGCGAAACTGCTCGACCTCGGCCAGCGTAGCTAACGCCACAAAATTTACTAATGAACTTTTTAATGAGGGAAAATAAACACACGGTTCCAATTAGAAACTTGATGAGCAGCGTCAAAAATTCCTAAATCAGTCATTGTTAAGAAGACTTAATGCACATGCGAAGTTTGGGGGTGCAATGAAGTTACCGCTCATGCAGCAGGTACAATGCTGGCGACGCGAGCAGCAACTTCGGCGCATCCCCGCGCTTCACGCGGGCTTCAACTTCTCCGAAACATGATTCATGTAGGGGTTTTTGATGATGCTCAGCAAGTCCCTAACTGGAATCGTATGCCTATTTAGCTAATTACTACGCCTTTCACAATCCCTGTCGTCCGCCGTGGCTCGCAGTCTCTTCCCGAAAAGAGTTTCCTTTTTTTTAGCCACCCTGTCGGTGGGAATTTTCTAAAGACTTTGCCGAAATTGCCGAAACTCCCTGTACATTCCGGAAGCTGGGAGCGTTTTGGGCGGAACTGTAACGTGGCGGTCACTTATTGAGTACAATTGTGCGTTGACCTTGCTGATCGCTTTCCCCCGTCGTGGCCCAGGTCACAAGGGAGAGTTTCGGTGGTTTGACTACCTCCGACTGACCAAGTCCCAGGCAGCTCCCGTCTCCCTGTTCAAGAAGGTGGGTCGTCATTTGTTTGGATCGATGCCCGGCGATTCGAGACTCGACGAACCCGCTCCCTTCGCGAACTGAAGGTTTTGTGTGGCAGGAATGCATTCGTCTCGGTACCCTGCAGTCGGTTCCGTATTAATTAATTTCTCGCACTACGGACGGGACGAGGGAGGCAAGGCATCTCTTTCGGACGCCCAGCCTTTGGCACGAGCGACACTTTGTTTTGCCGTAACTCGGCAAAGACTGAAGGCTATGTCCCAGTGAGCCAATCGGCATGTCGGCAAAAGACGCGCGATTTTAGTAACACTCCATCTCGCAAGTTTGGGCGGTGCGGTCGAAGTCACGGGCGGGAGAGAGGTCAGCCGCTTTTGTAGGAATTTTGGGCAACAGGCTAAGCTCCTAGGGGGAGACACTCTCCCCTGCGCCTTTGGTGAGGGCAGTCACGTGCATTGCCACCGTTGCTACGATTGGCTTGAGGGTGGCGTTGCGTTTGCTCTTTGTTATCGAAGGGGAAGCTTGCGCCGGAGGTGGGACCCTTGAAAGACCTTCCTGTCCTTGTCGTCGTCCTGTTGGGGATTATAGTGTTCAGATGAGCAGGAACGGAAATTTTCTGATGATTAGCAGTGTGTAGCACAAGTTTACATTTGTGTGTATTGGGGGGGGGGGGGGGGGGGCAGGCAGGCAGGCTACACTAACTAAATAGAGCTGCATGAAATGGCATTTTCTATGCATTTGGTAGATGCGGTGCGGGCCGGCACTGCGAATGCGGTAGTGTTGAAATTCTGGTATGGTTGGTTATGCATTGAGAAACCGAAAACAATGCGAAGGCGAATAAAGGACAAGAAGTACACAAACAGTTTTTGCACTTCTTGCGCGGTTTGTTTACTTCTTCTCTTCCTTTGTCTATCTCTGCACTGTTTTTAGCAACATTCTTAGATCTATAAGGTGACAAACTTGACAGAAAGGCAGCGTTCGAAATCTTTGGTTTTCCGTTGCCAGCACGCGAGCAGGCACAGTTTACGCTCGTTCTAACAGACCTCAATTTTGACCGAGGTTTTGGTCTGTTGTAAAAGGAGTTTGGTTTATGCAGATATGAAGTTGAGTCAATGGTATGTAAAGGAAAACCATCCGAACTTCACAATTTGGTATGTGATATCCAAATGTCTGTTGTAATGAGCTTAAGGCAAGACACTGGTTCTAAAATCAACTTTTTTGTTTATTAATGGATTGTAATGAAAATTAGTGTGTATATGTGTTTTGGCTTCCTCTTTTCAAATATACAATTAGTTCTGCAATATCTCAATTACTTTTTGAGTTACGAAGAAAATAATGAAGCCTAATTAGGTCATTTCATACGACTCATTAAGGAACTTTCTAATACGAATTTTTTTGCATAAGTGATATGGATTTGTAGCTAAAGACCTGTCATGCAAGATGATGCTATTTATATTTTTGTAAAGATAGATCATTGTATAAAACTAGTCTAATTAGGTCAAGTACACTATTTACAAAGCTTAACGAGGTCACATTATCACTAATAATAAAATTTCTGGCCCATACCGTCATACAAAAATAGCATCACCCTGCAGTTCACTTCTTTCTGAATTCAACGGTATAAAGTTAATAAAAATCCTCGAAGAATAATCTCATGAAAACAACCGTAAGGCTAGGCATGTAGACAAAAAATGCGAAGCTGAGAAAATTGCAGTTGAAGTTTTGACACTCATTGCATAAAATTGAGTAAGATATCCCATGCAATAATGTTCAGCAATATGAAGCATAGTTCTATCTGAACAAATTGAGATGAAAAATTCTGCAATCCGTTCACAAGAACCTTTAGAAATAATATAAAACTGAGAAATAATGTCTGCAATGTAAAATAACGTTATAAAAGAATGAGTAGACTCTATAAGGGACAACGGGAGGAGGCACCAAGGGTTGCACAATCCGAAAGCAGATTTTGTTTGGCCCTGAAAAGGGCCTTTGTTCGTGTAGCACTTGAAAGGGGAGCCCCTCACAGCTGTCCAGGACTGTAGTCCCCAGCTGTTCCAGTTTGGTGTTGCCTGGAGAACCTCTGCTTTGCATTGCTGCTGCTCTGGTGGGCAGTGTTGGCCTTACGCAGATTGTCCTTCTCCATGCTTTGAGAGCTTTCATGTCCACTACAATGAACTGTGTCCCAGCGTCGCGCGTCTGGCCTCCTGTGGTGACGCCGAGAAGGTCGAATTTGCGCTGGGTCGCCGACTTTTCCGATAGGGCACGCTTGCATTCGTCCGATCGTGCGACTCGTTGCGCCTGCTCGGCCGTGGAGTAGTATGCGGTGTCGACACGAACCGCGCTCGCAAAGCTCGACAAACTGCCGCTGCTGCATGGAGTTGCGATGTCTCCGGCTGATGTTTCCGGAAGATCCAAGGCATCCGGCGGTGCCGATCGCGGTGGCGCACTTGCAGCAGACAGCTTCGGCTTCTTGTTCCACGGTCACTTCCTCTTCCTTCCGAACGCTTGCCGCGTGCTCGATTTCAACCGAGCGTCGTCCGGCATCTCGAGAACTCGAAGCGAAACAAAACAAAACACGCGCAACTTCGTAGGAAAACGAACCAACAATATTCAACGCAAGCGCGCAAACGGGAACTAAAACGTGCGCTCGACCACGGAGGAAACAAAGCAGACAGGCCTAAGGAGACGGGCGGAGACGGGCCCAGGAGCAGACGACGCACCTCTCGCCAGCGCGGGAACGGAAAGGTGGAAAGGAGAAAAAGAGCGGAGGGGCGCGTTTAGGCCAATAGCAGGGGCGCTAGGCGCCGCGCGTGCTCCGACGTACGGGCACCTTGCTAGCAGGCCAATGAGCGATCGCAATTGGGGCTTTCGAAACCCGCGGAATGCGGACGTTTCCCGATGTTGTCGCGATAATGAATGGCATGGGGACGTGGGGAAAATAAGCGGCTTTCCAACAAGACCAAGATGGCCGCGATCCGACGAGCGATCGCGAAACGCGCGAGGCGCGAAGTTCCACTTGTTTTCATTGAACTCGCTGTGTTAGGGCTCTGCGGGGACATCGTAAATATCATTTTTTTCATGTTTAGACATTGATTTCGACATTGAAACTTTGCAGGCAGGTACCTTAGACTACAATTAATCCAAATATGTGAATTTTGAGAAACGTGAAATTTCGCGTTTTTTGACCATTTTAAGACCCGCGTCTCCCCTTAAGACTGTACGGGAGGACTGCATTCCTAGTACCAGCAGCGGCGACACCAACAGCGGCGGCAGGAAGACGTTTTTGAGCGACGCTCTTTTCTCGCAAACTTTGGCTGTGTTCCAAATCTCACACAAATGGATCCGAGTTACTCCGGCGGATCGTGTCACGTGACAGCACAGATTGAAAAGTGCTGGACGCGGGTAGGTTTTGGAACGCCAAGGTACAAAACCCTTACCCTGGAGTAAGATTGAGTAAATTTTGGAACACGGCCTTTTTGTTTATCACAGAAAAGATTAGCGATCCCACGTTAACTCAGAGCGCAGTCGCAGCGATAGCCGCGACATGTAACGGCGAAGTCTTCGGGCATGGTTCATGCATGTGGGTTGCGTCAACAAAAATGTTTGGAGCAAAATGGACATTTAACCAGTTTGTTCTAAACACTTTTGTTTCTCCATTGTTTCGGAGTGCGCAAAAATATGTCTCCCGGCACAAGCTTTTGGCAGAGCTGCAGCAACATTTTGTTAACAACTTCTTTCATTTTTTTATTCTTTTTTTTTTAGAGAGGTCATGCAGTGGGCATTGCATACTACAAAAACCCTATATATAAGACGGGTTGTTAAAGTCGTGGCGTAGGTCAGTGGTTACGCCCCCACTTTGCATGCAGTGGACCCAGGTTCGATTCCTGCAAGCAGCGGACAATTTTTTTCAAGGATTTGGCAAAATCGACAACGGACACTCTACGCCCAACGACATCACCGACAAGAACATAAACAACAAACAACATTTCCTGTGGCGGGAAGAGCCCGTGGTAGCTGTCACTGCAAAACCATGATAGAATCGCTTTCTGCTGCAGGCAACGTGTGTCCGGCGTTCCGCCAATTCTGTCGCTTCTGTCCATTAGGGCGGGTTGACGGAGTAGGAGCACCACCGGGCGAACGTGCCGCGAAAAGGCGTCGGGCATTCTAGGAAGCCCATCAACCTACTTGGATCTAGTAACGTCGGGTTTCGGTGCCCTCCAAAGGCCGTGCATCTGAAAAGCCGCGTCGTTCCAGGACATCCCGAAGCACGGCTTCCAGGAGGGCATGCACGCGGAGGCGGTGGACCTGATGGAGCCCCGGCTGATCTGCGTGGGGCGCATCACTCGTGTGGTGGGGCGCCTGCTGCGGGTGCACTTCGACGGCTGGGAGGACAGCTATGACCAGTGGTGCGACTGCGAGAGCCCGGACCTCTTCCCCGTGGGCTGGTGCCAGCTGGTCGACTACCCCCTCGAGCCGCCCAGGCAGCCCGGTGAGGAATCGGGTCGTGTTTAACACCCTCTGTTGGGGAGGAGGTCTGGCCGTTGCGCATCTAGTGGCTATGTCGAGCTGCAAGCTTGGGGGGCAACATCATCAGCCAGGAGATATTGTACTTACTCGCATAATGAACACTCTTTTTTTTTTCCAGAAATTTGCACTTGCTATTTGGAGGGGCTCTTCGTTATGTGGGGTAAAAGTTTTTGCGTTCACACATTTTGCGCAAATGTCATTTTAGCTGCCCATATGACAAGGCAGGGTACTGTAGCACATCTCCGCTGACGGAGGTGCACCCACAAACCGGTCGTGGGCGCATAACAATGACCGTGTTCTATAAATTGCAATTCTTTTTCAGGGCGCTTTCGGCATTCCTTTTACCGAAGGAAAAGCTCCCTACTAAGCTCGCTCAGCACAGGGAGCGATGCGACCGTTCTTAGGCCAAACCACTTTCACGATTTTACTGTCCAAAAGGAGGCGACGGCGTGTTTGTCGACATCGGTGCATCCAATGGGCGAAACATGTCTAAGGCCGGGCGATTCCTCCTCTACCCCAGCTATGTTAGGTGTGCGCGCTGCTCAGCTTCACTGTTCATCACTTCCACAACTACGCACTTGCAGTCATTACGCAGGCGTGTATTGCTATGCTTGGTTTGGTTCGACCTGGCCGCTTGGCAGCAAAAGGAAATTGGCTCGGTGGGCTTGGCGGCTGGCTGAGTTGGACGCAGTTTGAGACCCACAGAGCCAAAAATCGGAGATGGGTTCATTACGCGAGGGGGAAACGCCAAAATATCAATGCCCGTTGCGGGGGGTGGGGGGGGGGGGGGCATTCATTATGCGAGTGCATTCATTATACGAGTAAGTACGGCATATGGAGACCGACATACGGTGGAAACTCGATTTTACGAATTTCTCGATTAACCAAACAAATTCGGACTCCCCGCGCAGCCTATGCCCAAAAAATGTCTCTCGATTTTACAAAGTTCCCGATTTAACAAAATAATTAGCGGGTCTCGATGACTTCGTTAAATCGAGGTTCAACTGTATCTCCTAGCTTCCCCCTTTTCCCGCAAAATAAACAACCAAGTCGGTTGCGGACTGAATGGGCGCACGCGGCAGAATCCTTGCAATCGAAAGGCACCTTGCACCACCTATAGTTGCCGATAGAGCGAGAAGCACGAGGTGTCCCTTTAAAATGCCCGACCGCCATCACTTTCAAATAGGTGTGTGCCAGCGTTCTTTGATGCTAAACGCATTACAGCAACTGCAGTGGACCAGAAAAGATTGCGCAGTTGAGACAAAGGCCTTCCGACTTCTAACGTCTCGTTTCCTCCGTCTACTCGCTGCATCCGGCAGACACTGGCTTCCTGAAGAAGAAGAGGAAAGTGCAGACCTACAAGGGACATCGTAGAAGTGAGTTTCAAACTCCGGAAGCCCCCCCACAAAGTTAGTCCAAACGTGTATTTCCTAGTCGGCTCAGAGGCCCCCGTCGCGTGGCACTTGCCGCGCGACCTCCGCGCGTCTCCTTTTGTGGTACCCGGCACCAAGCTTCCCGCCCTTTGCTTCTCAGAAAAGAAGACTCGCTTCGTGCACGGAGGCCGCAAAAACAGCGGGGCAGCCAAGGGCGGATCGCCGCTCGGCGATCTCTACAGCGACGACGTTGACATGAAGAACGAGGAGGACGATGTTGGTAAGACGTGGGCAGGGTGTAGGGTATGCAGCGGATATAAACGTGTACCAATTAGAAACTCAATGATACCAGTCATTATTTTAGAACAGCTTGAAGCTGTGGGAGGCACGGAGATGTGTAAAGTTTGCACTCCTGCAGCAGGCGGAAGGCTGGCGACGTGAAAACGTGGACAATGATCTTGTCCTCCGCGTGTTTTCAGCCCATCAGCCTCGTGCCGTTTTGCTCCCCGCATGCTTCGGGTCGTTCCAAAAGTCTGATTGAGTGTTTTTCAATGATGCTTATCGAATCTCTAACTGGAACAATGTGTTTATCTTCAGTTATTCAAAAGTTAATTAGTCAGTCTTAGGTAATATATGTTCTTGTGATCCCCAATGCCTGCCACGATTGGCGGTACAGAGGCGCGGACGCCCTACACGTTGCAGCTGCCAGATAAAGTCCTCCTTGCCTTGGTTGCAAACGGCACCACTAGATGACACTTTGATAAGTGGCTACTGGTAGCCTGTTTGGGCCCAGTTTCCCATGGCTCCCTATGGGAGCCATGCTTGTTTTTAAAGTCTTTTTTTGGGGGTGCTACGTCATGTGGAACTTGGCACTTCCATTAAGCGTGTTGCTTAAACACCTTTTTGTCATTGACCCCAGTTCTGTTCCTCGATGACGGCAAGAACGCTTTTATGAACTGAAGTGGAGAGATCCCTAGTGCGGTGTTCGAGTCAGCATATGTTGAGGTTGGAGCAGTGCACTTCAACCAAGTGCACTTCAGCTCACCGAATGTCACTTCAGGTGTTTCAGTGCCGCAGGGGATTAGTGTCAGTTGGAAATGATGAGAATAATAATGGGTAAAGTACTATTAGACACCTGAAATGTCAAAGTAAAGGCATAAATGTCTTAGCAATGTTTATCTTTTTAATGAAGACACATTACGAGACAACATTGCACTAATTGACAATATTTACGCCAATTGGATCATTGTGATCGATCATCACAAGCCAAGATAAAGAAGATGCAAACTCGTTTGAAGCCGAGTGTGTTATTCAAGAAGAAGCAGCAGCAAACTCACTTGAAGCTGAGTGTGTTCCTAAGTAAGAAGCTGTGTGTCACACTACACAGATTACACTAAAGGCAAGGTGCACTTCGTTGAAGTGCACTTAATTAGCCCCAGTGTAAGTGTTATTGCAACAAAACACTTTTTTTCTCTTTAATTGTGTTGATTGGCTGGTGAAGACACTGTTGGTATGGGCTATTTGTGCTCGTGACAAAAGGAATTTACGTATCTGGTTGATTGCTTTGCAACATCCGCCATGCTGCATGTCCTTGCCTAAAGAGTGTGAAAGGCTGCTCCTTGTTTAGTGTTCGCCTGGGATGGTTGCACCTGTAATCGACGGGGTGAGAAAGGCTAGGAGGAGTTTTTGACTGGGTGTTTGAAAGGGAGGCACTGCTGTTCTCACTGTCTGGAGTAGGTAGAATTCCTTATTTTCAAGGTTTATTTCTTTTTTCATATTTGGGAATGTTTTTTGGACATTGTTTCCCCTGCAGATTTGGTGTTTTTCAGTGCAAGCTTTTCATGTTTGACCAAATAGATTGTGTTTATCGAGGCTCACATTGACGAAAAAGGGGTGCGGACTTCCCCAACCTCTAGTATTCGTGTGTCTGGCCCAAGTGCTTGGAAAACATCCTGGCACCAATAAGAGAATGGATATGGTTACCGAAGGAAGCAGCAGCCTTCGTGGTCTGTTTAGTGGTGTTTGTACTCCGCGTCTGCACAAAATAGAGCTTTGAATACCTAAATAATACTGCAGCACGCGTGGCAGAGTTGGCAACACACATGGCTGCCGCACTGGTGAACGGGGTTTTCGAACCCCGCCTGAGCCGTCCATTTCTTTTAGCAATCTTGACTATTCGCGAAAATTCCAGGCCATGCTAGGCTATCATAGTGTTTTCTGGGTCAGAATGTTTGACAATGTACCACATGCATAAAAGCGGCGGCAAGGCGCCAGTTAGAATCAGTGGCCCTTTTGTCTCTGACGCAAGATGCTGGTATATATCTACTAAAGTTAGTAGGCACAAGCCCGCCTGATGAAATGTCTATTTTCAGTTTAACGTTGCGTGCCCTATTGCTTTTTGTGACAATACAGTAATCCCTCCTTAACTCAAACTCAGCTATGACTAAATATTGGTACGGCCGAAAGATTTACTTGTCATGGAACAAACTCCCATAGGCACAGTGCATTTACTCGTTGCTGATCTCAAAAAGTTTTGATGACCGACTTCGGATACATTAAAACTTGTTTATAACAAAATGGGATATAACAAACTAATAGATATAACAAAGCAATCATAATTCCCCTTGCTTGCTAATAGTGGGAAGAAATGGACAAACTAATGGTTATAACAAAATAATTACGACCGCTCCGTCAACTTTTTTATAACGAGGTAAAAAAAAATAACAGGCAGGGCACAGACAACAATGAACAGGTTGGTTGGCAAAGAAATAGCAATCCAGAAAAACACACACACAAAAAAAAAAAAAAAAACCTTTTGTGTTATCAGTGCGGCAACGTGTAGAGCAGCATGCTTTTGTCTTGCTGCTCTCCCTCGCACTCCAAATTGTCTTCCACTCTGTCAGTTTCTTTTATTCTTTTTTTTTTTTTCGGGGGGGGGGGGGGGGGGGGAGGGGAGGGGAGGGGAGGGGAGGGGAGGGGAGGGGAGGGGAGGGGAGGGGAGGGAGGGAGGGAGGGAGGGAGGGAGGGAGGGAGGGAGAAAGAAAGAAAGAAAGAAAGAAAGAAAGAAAGAAAGAAAGAAAGAAAGAAAGGGAGAGAGGAAGGAGGAAGGAAGGCATCGCCCCTAAAACCGAAAGAAGGATTTTTCAGTTTTAGGGGCGATGCTCCTTAGGGTCTAGCCTTGTACATCCGGCGTCCGTGCTCACATCGATCTTGCTCGTGCTCGTGTAGGGCAAAGAAAAAAGAAATGTTTGCGCAGTCGACAAGATTCGAACCTGTTCTGGGAGACCCCAATGGATTTCTTGTCCATCGCCTTAACCACTCGGCCACGACTGCGGGACGAGTAAGGGGCTCTGAGATGTGGTAGTAACTCAAGAGCTGGGGATGTCATGGATGAAACGTTGCATGTAGCCGCTCAACGTCTATACAGGAGAGGGCACTGCAGTCAAATGCATATAAAAACAATGTTCCATACCACACATTCTCTTTCTGACATGGATGAAAACGAACGAAAGGCTCGGCATGCTGCGGCTCAGCGTCTATGCAGACAAGCACCACCAGAGCTTCGCCCCAATCAACATCATTCACCACGTGGAGATGCAGTCATTTTTTTTTATTTTTATTTTTGCTTTCTTGAGTTTTGGTGTTGCTGGCTCATCTTACAAGTGTCGCTTGTTAATAATTTTGTTGCGGTCATTTTGTTCTCCCTGTGCGAGTGTCAAGTGAATTGGTGCAACTGTTAGAAGGGTTCCATTCGCACATTGCACGCTCAGTGCAAAGAAAATTAGGTGCCTCGCTTCTCTCGAAACTGCACCCATTTAGAATTTTTTTCTACTTTTTATGGCTTCGAGTTAACGAGGCTTTGATTTATTGAGGGTTTACTGTACAAGCAACAGCACAAAAGAGACGAGGACGAAAATAAAAAGGGACGTTGCGGGTGAAGGTTTGTTCTCGCGAAGCTTAGGTTATCTTTTTATTTTTGTCGACATCGGTAGATCCGGTTCAGAGGTCGTTTTTCAAGGTTTATCGGCACAGACGGAAAACATGGAAACCCAGTAAGTCTATTTCTCTCCAGCACCGTTTTCAAATAGAGTTTCCTCCTGTTTTCATGCAGTTTCCTCCTCGTCCGACGTTCCGGCGCTCGCTCGTTCGGACTCGAAGATGGAGGACAGCAACCAGTCGTTCGGAACTGCAAGGTGAGCGCAAAATCGGACGTGGGAGGGTCGAGTTGCACGGTGGAGTCGCAGTTGGGCTCTTGCTGTAAGCCGGGGGCTCTTGAACCTGTCCGTCTTGTGGAACGCTCGTTTCCTTTCGTGGATGGTCGAGGAACCTCTGCCGGTCTCGGCAATGGCGCGGGAAAGCTGTGCAGAAGCCTCCAGACTTTGGAAAGAGTCGTGCACATTACTAGGGGGTGTTTGACACGTAGCTGTGCATCACCGAGTGGTTCGGGTCTGCTAAAAGAGTACTTGAACTGGAAAGGACGCATCACCTTTGTGGGTAGGTACGGTCGAGGCAATTTTGGAGGAATTTCCGAGGGTGCTCTGGGGAACCCCTGTGTTCTTAGGAAACAGTTTGAGAACCCTTCTTCTAAAGCATGGGTTCCATAGAGAGCCCTTGTTCTAGAGCGTAGGTTCTCGGGGGTTCCCTAGAGAACCCTTAGGGGCCCTCTTGAGAACCCTTGTTCTAAAGCGTAGGCTCTCAGGGGCTCCCTGGAGAACCCTTAGGGGCTATCTAGAGAACCCTTGTTTTAAAGCGTAGGTTGTCAAGGGTTTCCTAGAGAAGCCTTGTTTTAAAGCATAGGTTCTCGGGGGTACCCTAGGGAACCCTTAGAGGCTTTCTAGAGAGCCCTTGTCCTAAAGCGTAGGTCCTAAAGCGTAAAACTGGCTTCTTCGGAATACCCTCGGGGGTTTCCTAGTTCACCCCATTAAACGTCTAGTCTCCTTCGGTAATTCGTCACCTCCTCAATTTTCATTCGTGACAATTGATGAGGTGACACCTGACAAGATGCGCTTTCCCCAAAACAGAAAAGTGTGAGATCCCCCGTTCCAGAGTTGCGCGACGGGAAACAGGGAAAATGCTTTGTTTCTCGTGGTAACTCTTGAACTGGCTCTCCAACAACTCTTGAACTGGCTCTTCGACGGGAGGACCTTGTCACATTGATCATGCAAAAACTGTCTGCAGTACGAAGCTTTCGAACATGTTCGCATGTAATTCTGTCGTGCCTGCAGAGAACATCATGTCTTTTGTACGAGCAGTCTGACTTAATGGGACACTTAAGTGGATTTTGAGATAAATTTTTTTATTAGCGTGCAACATTTTTTGGCTTGTTGCTCGGAACTTTGTGAAGCCATGGCCTGCGACGTCCCATCATGCAACGTGCGCAGTGTTCCATTGTGGGACGTCACGGACCTACGCACCAATTCAGTTTCTCCAACGAATTTAGCGGGGACGTTGAATTGGTGTGGTGGGTCACGCGACACTGGGGCACGCAACGTCAGTTTGCCAGCTAAATTTAGCGGGAAAATTGATTGTCCCGCGACCTCCACACCCATTTGGTCTACCCGACAGGCGGGGAAATTGTCATCACGTATGCGACAGTTTGCCCAGCAATTTGCCATACAATTTCGATATCTTGTAAAAAGTGGTGCGTAGCAGTGTTTGGTCATGTTTCTAAGAGCGTGAGAGGCCGTGCGCAGTTGCAGTTTTCGCTTTTCTATTATACTTGGGGCAGGTAGGTTGAGTTTGCACTATATGGAGTGAATCTTAAAATCCACTTTAGTGCTTCTTTAAGGTTTCCGGGAAAAAGCTGTAGCAGTCGTGATATCTGTTAGTTACACAATGTTGGAAAGTGACTCAAAACGCTCTATATACTCTGAAATGCTACAGGATGGACGAGGATGAGGAAGAAGAGGAGAGGGTGAAGACCCGCAGTGGCCTGGCGCTGAGCATGTCGCTGGGCAGCCTGCACCCGCAACACTGGAGTGTTGTGGATGTGTCCAACTTCCTACGGATCAACGACTGTGGATCCTACTGCCAGGGGTTCTGCCAGCAGGTAATAGGACATTTTTATTGAGTCTGCTACAGAGCTTTGAGCGCGAGCTTCAAGCTCTCTCAGTTGTCTGCAACTAACTTTTATTTTGCAAGTCCCCTTGAACATTGAGTTGAGAGGCCTATTTAACTGTTGGCACCTGTCAAAATGTCCTGCAACATTGATAAGACCTATGAGCATTACAGTGCACTATTTGGTCTTAGATTGTAGCGAGCCATGTAGTCAACTAAAATTAGTTTTTGTGGCAGGCACTTTTCCATCTTTTACTACTGTTTCTATGGATCATCTGTAAATTTCCTAAACATCTTACAATTGCAACCGGAAAAATATGTTTAGCCAAACTTATTTGACAGGTTTCTAGAAATACCTACATGGGTAAATGACCTTTTGGTTGTTGGGGCAGAGCCGCATATCCGACACTTGCATGTTCCGTTGCCTTACAACTTTTTGTCGGGGGTTGAACACCACCGCAGCGGGTGGACGGGGCACAGATGCTGGCGTTGACCAAAGAGGCCATCATGACCATGACCGGGATGAAGGTGGGGCCCTCGCTCAAGATCTTCGACCTCATCCAGCAACTCAAGGCGGAGTTCAAGGGAAAGGACTTCCTCAAGTGACGGGGCAGGCCCAGCACTCCGACGAGTTGCCGGCTGCAGGTCGTCGACCGCAAACGGCACCACCATCTCTCCGTCGCCACCCAGCGTTGGAGGCCTTGTGCAACTATGTCTGCTTTGTGAAGAGTATCGTGCGGACATATATTTCGCGCTTTGTGCGGCTTAGAACGTTGCCTTCAATATGGGGTCGAGTCCGACGCCTTGATGCCGGGTTCGGACACCTTGGTGCCGGGTCTGGGCACTTTGGTGTAAGTCCAGATGCCTTGGTGCCATGTCCGACACTCCGGGGCCAGGTGCGGACACTTGGGTGCCAGGTCCGGATGGGGTAGAGTCAACAGTGGGCAGATGGGCCGACCGCACAGACACTGTGTCATGCAGAAATGCACAAAGCACATTTGGGAATTCGTGCTTTTGAGGAAGTCATCTCCAATCACCTGTGCAGCTTTGTTCTTAAAAAAGTTTTTTTTTTTTTTTTTTTTTTTTTTTTTTTAGCATTTGTGTGCATGCACATGCAATACTTTCGTCTGATTTGAGATGATGCCAAGGAGCATTGCAGGCCTTTCTCGTGACTAATCTGGCATACTCTCCAATGCTTTCGGTAGGTTGTACAGAGAAGCTGCTTTTTTTTCACTTGCTTTGAGGCTCATCTGGTTTTGACGACTCTGGCTGCACCTAACACACGGAAAGCTGTTGTCAGTTTGTGCGAGTAATCTGAGAGCCCTATTTCCAATAAAGGTGGCCATTTTGAAAGAGCATGTGTCTCAATTCACAGTTATCAAAGATTAGGAAATGACAATTGTTTTATTGGATCAGCAGGACGACAGAAGATCATCCCAGAAGGAACACCCAGGTCTGACGGACACTTTTCCGAGAAAGAGTGGAACAGCAGATTTCACTGCTGCGGTCGGAGCGCTGTTGATTGCCCTCCAGATGTCCACTGCTCGGTCCCAATCCCAGGAATTTTCGCGGCATCTGTAACAGTCGTAAAGATGAATTTTAATTTAGAGCCACGAGGCCACTTTGCTAACGTAAAAAACCAAATGGACGCTTTTTCTTTTTTTTTTCTGTGGAGGTTAGAATGACATACTTGTGAGAGTTTCATTCCAGAAGTTTGTTGCACAAAGATTTGTGTTTCCAACTTTGCTTGTTTTTGTCTTGGGGACAGTAGTAAAGTGATATGATGCTCAAGACAATAGTAATTTCCCCCTTCCATGTGAATTAAGACACCTGTGTGTGCGTTTAACATTGGTTAGTTACTAGTTTATTGAAACATGCTCCAAACAAGATGAAGCACTTTTATTAGTCATAAAACCTTCCAAGGACTTCACAAAGTATGTAAGCCATGTACAAAACTTTTTTTTTTTTTTTTTTTCATTTATGGTAGTTATTTTTAAGAAAAAGGTACATGAAGAACAACATAATGTCAATGCCTGGATCCTTAGCACATCGCTAGTAGGGATCCCTTCAAAGGGTATGCATGTAGTTGCTCTAAATTGTATAAACTGGCAATTACAATGCACTTCACATAAGTGTTGGAAAAAAAAAAAGTATTTCTATGCCATTAGCAGATTGCTTGATTGCTACAGGTAAACTATTCTAGGTTTTGATTCCAGCCTGGTTGGGACATGCGTTTCAAAAAAATTAATTTTATGCGGAAAACAAAAATGTTACAGGGCAATAGTGACAGCGCGAGACGAGATTTAGTCGGTAGTCGCCTCCTTTCCACTTGTTTTCGCTGGTGTTTTCGTGGGTCCGCTTGGCCATCACGTTGAGATCGAGAGAATGCATGACCCTCTCGTTGAGGTGGAATGAGTGTATGACCATTCCGTAATGGCATGGACTTTGCACGCAGAATTCAAAACAAATCTTGTGCCGTCAAAATTGCTCTAAAAAGTTTTTTTTTGCATAAAATTAATATTTTGACAGGCGTGTCCCAACCAGACTGTTTAAAAAAAACTTTTTTTTTCTTTTCAGGGGCCTTTAAAGGGCAACTCCGCTCAATTCCGAAAAATTTAGGCTTCCATGTGATTCACACTCACAAAGCACTACTAAACAACTCTACGTCTTCGGATTCGCGAAATGTGGAATATTATTTGTGTAATCCTAATTTAAACGTCAGCAGATACCGAAACCGAAACTTCGGTTGCGTCAGGCAACATCGGTCTCGGGTCGTCAAAGGCATGCGCGTCACGTCGAAGCACGTGGTCTTGTGACGTTCGGGAGGGAGCGAGAAACAGGACACGCGACGCGGGCAGGTTTTTTTTTTCTTTTTTTTATTGGACGCGGGAAGGTCGCTTCGCGTGGCGTGGACGGTGATGGCCTGGGTGAGAGGGGGAAGGGAAAAGACGAAAGAGAAGTGGAGCGGAGAAACAGACCGATAAGCGCGCAGGGCAGCGCAAAGTAGCGCATCCGTGTTACGGTGATCACGTGAACGCCCGGTCAGCCAACACCGGGAGGAGAAACTCATGACGTCATCGTTGCATTTCGCTCTGAGAAATAAAAACAAGCAAAACGTGAGAATGACGTACATGCCTCTGACGTAGTGGCTCAACGTTGGCCGCTCCAACTCCGTGGCATTGACTGCGCTGATGATTGCGCCTCGCGCCGCACGCTAGAGTTGGCAGATTTCGGCGACTTGGCTCGCTTGAAGGTTTGCCGGCCAGTTTATTAAATAAATAAACGGAATTAGATCGTAATATTTGACGTGGGGTCTTCCTATATGATACTAAAGAGGGCTACATAGTTTTCTAAATATCAAAAATGAAGCGGAGTTGCCCTTTAAAACTGCTTACCTGTAGGAATGCTTTTGCATTCCTACAAGAAGTGTGCCACGTCTTCCTATTGCACATGGCACTGCAGCGGTGACATCACGCTCCTCCACTGCGCAGGCACGGTGAAACCTGCCGGCTTCACGACAGCTTCCATGACGAAGCATTCCTTGCGTTTTTTTTCTGAAGTGCGTTCGCTTTTGACCTTGAGCGTGCCTGCCTGCTTCCGTGACTAAGCATCTTTGTTGCTGTTCTTTTGTTTTATTGGGATTGAGAATTTAGGTGCCATTTTTCTGCTACAGACAGTTACAGACAATGCGGGCTTCGCTCCATGGGACAGTTAATGCGTTCACATTAAAAGAAACATTCTAGAGGACACCGAATATTAGCCTTGAGAAGATGAAGTGGCACCACCTGGCGGCTCCTTGTTGTGACGTAGTATCAAGTATCACGGGACCGCTTGTGCGCTTCGTTGGTAGCATGTGGGTTGGGCGTATTGTTTACAATTTATGTTTGATTCGTTACTTTGAATGAACTTGGGGTGGCGTGCAACTGAATTCTACCGTACTTCTCAACAAAATTAACCTCAAACAGCGTGACAACAATGGCGTCGTGACCTACGGAACAGGACCCAGTGACCCAGTTTTGTGTTATCATACTCGCCACGACCAAACCGGTCGTCGCCATGGCTTCAGAGGCTTGACAAGTGACCAAACAGGTCACTTGACTGGGATAGCATAAATTCCAAAGCGTTTTTTTTTTTTTCCAGCCAGTTGGAGACAGGCAGTCGGAAAAAATGGAAACCTACCGTGATGAAGATTGCAGTTTTTTTTTTTCACTGTTTGCACGGTTTTAGCGATGCAGAAAAAATAAAGTATGTATTGCATGATGCGAGGGTAATCCATGGCAGGTTTATTTGAGAGTTGCATCAAAGAAAGCAGCCAATAAAATTGACGAGCGTGTCACTGCGACGATAGCATCCGCCACCACTGCACAACACTCCGAAAATGATGAGGGGACAACAAAGAAATAAGACACATTTTCTAACCAGAAAATCTTGGTCAAGTTTCAAACCATTTATACGAAATGAGTCTACTTAAAAATAAGAAAAAAACAAGTCGTGCGAACATGTCCATTTAACAAGGCCGCTGGTTGTAGGCGGCGAGCGGCGGGCACCTTGCTAGGCCTTGCTAGGCCTTCCCACCAACTTGAGTTGCCACTGAAGTCGTTGCTTCCGAAACCCGTAAGTAGAGCAGCCTTTACTGAGAATTGTAGTTTCGAGTATGCATTTCGTTTTGTTTGAAGTCGGGTTGTGTGCGAAGAACAGATCGATTTATGCTCGTTGGTCTCCACAGCGGAGTATCCAAGTGGCGTTGGCGACCGTGAAGCTATCGTAGGATTCTATCGTAACTTACAGACAACTTTCAATCATTTCGTTTGCTGTATTCGGATTTCTTTTTGGGTTTTGTCCTACGCACGTTTTGCATGATAGCAAAAACAAAATACACTTGGCGAACAGTTTCTGCTGCTAAAGTGCTAAAGCCGATAAACTGGAGCGAAGTGGAGAAAATACCTGGCCTCGTCACGTGATACGTGTCACTACGTCACTATTGAGCGATTGCAGCACTCCAATCGGCCCCACTCGGGGCTAAGACGCCATTCCACCACAGGCTTCCTGGCAGCTGCCATTTTGAACATTAATGGACTTCTTCCGCTGGGTTGTTAATGTTGTAAAAAGTGGAATGATTAACAACCCAGCGGAAAAGTGGACCCCAAGCTAACCTCATCCGTATTCATTGCTGTACCTGGCAGGTCTCTTCGCTCCCATCGTGTTTTCGGTTCCTCCGAGCCAAAAAGCTTAAGACCCATTGAGCGTATCCAGTATAATTTTAACATGTCAAATGTCGCAAACACGCCCGAAGTAGATATCTTTTTGCAGGAAAGTTTTAGTATGCGGTCTCTGCTAGTGCTTTTATAATGTGACGCTCTCTTGTATCAGTCTTTTTAGCAAACAGTGTTGTTTTCAACTTTATGCACTTTTCTCATTTACATTTATATTTCACGTTTTCGTTTCTTCAAATTATGCATGCGTTTGCGTGCATGCTTTTTATGCAAAACTGCATGTAAGTGTCAACAGTGCACCCTTATGTAGGCCTACGGGCTGTTTATAGGCACCGGAAAAGTAAAATAAATAAATAAAATTACGTTAGATAAAACCAGCACCATGCTCGATAAACTCCAGAAACTTGAAGAGTGTCAAAGGCGTGGCAAACAAAATGCAGATCTTGAAAATATTCTGCTTTATGGCCATAACCCTTTAACGATCGCCGCTGTACAGGTATGGCGGTGATTACACGTTTGGAAGTGCCTGCCTAAACATGAAACTGCGCATAACGCGGGAGGTGTTGCTATCGGTGTTCGGCTTTGCTGGGCTATTTATAGTTTTCAAATTAGACGCTCTGCACATGAGGCTCACTAAGCGTACCGACCGCTCTGGCAGCAGTGCCAATGGGAGCTTTGGCTCTTCCAATTCAGACTTCCAACACTTTTAAGTACCTCCGGTTAAGAACCTGAAGCCGCTGGAATGTCGCGAAAACGGACGCGCCAAAATGGACCCGAATGGGAAAAAAGGTGACAATTTTCGCTGTCAATATTTTCAATTTATATGCTTCTAAACCAAATCACTTGCAAGTACTGTACGTGCTCCCACTAGATGAGGGAAAAAAAAAACCCATGCCTTGACTGTTTCTTTATACCACTCCTTTCAAAAGGAAACCAAACCACTGGGGAAACATCTTTTGGGAAAACAAACTCGATCGTCAAAGAGTTAAAATGGCTCTGTCGATTGTGCACCGTGCCAGAGACACGTCCGGCAGAATTCCCGTAATCCGAACCAACCAACCTTTGCGGAACCCACGAGGAACTCGCGCCGTGGCCGAGGTTAGGCTGCATTCCCCACGACTGTCGTTCCAGCTCCTTCAGCAGTAGCGCGAGGAATGCAGGGTTCTTGCTCGCCAGTCTAGAAAGCAGGCCACTTTCTTGGCTCCAGACCGCCGAAGCAAGCATGGCGTCGTACTGCGCCGACGTCTCCGACGCTCGAGCCACGAGCCAGTCGCAGACGGCGTCCGAAGTCTTGCGAAACTCTGCCGTGTCACATGCTGCAGCGCTCAACAAGAGAGCCTGACACGGTTGAAGAAAATGGAGAGACCTTAGTTTTTTTTGCAAATGCCGCAAACTGCAGTGGAAACGAGAATTCGCGAGCTGAACTGGCCCGTCTGTGGTTCTGTACTCTCCGTTTCACATGAAGTCTGTCCGCAGCTGACGCTACGACTCCACCGAGCCGATCAAACGGCGCCAAAAGGGTATAGTCGTGATGCTCACCATCTTTGTCCGTCTGCTATGCACAGAAAAAAGCGCAGGATCACGCCGCATTCCCTGTGCGTGAGTGATTTAGCCGACCATAGAAAACGCTCGAAGATGACGGGCACCGTGACGACGCACTTTTGGTGCTGCTTGAATGGCTCCGTCAGATTGCAGCGTTGGCTGCTGCTCAATGTGAAATGAAGTACTGTGCCACAAAAACAATTTCATTGCCTTGGCCGGATGATGGACGCAGAAAGCCCACTGGCAATGCTATTTTGTCGGATACTACTCGACGGTTGGCTCACTTGCCTTCGCATGTTTTATCTCCCAAAGCAAACAAATGGGTGTACAAAACAGTCACCAAAACCTAGCAATAAGGCAAGGAAAAAAAAAGGAACACCTGCCACAGTTGTTGTAAAAACACCACGGTAATATACCATCGCTAGCAAAGGAATGGAGTCTACATTTGGTTCTAAAGCGAGCCAATTCATGCCCCCTTTAAGAATAAGGCCCAGTCAAACACGAAAGAACTTGCAGTCTCGTTTCTAACTCACCGTAGATGAATATGAGAATTTCCTCAAGTGGCTCGCAAGGGTTTCTCTGCAACCGAAAGACAACCTCTAGATTCTATCAACTATGAGGACATACCGATAAAAGTGACGGAACCGAGAGTATGCCGCATTCTTTCGAGACTTACATGTCCATCTTTGAAAGTCGCTCGAGATGCCACCGCGTCGAGTAATCTTGCTTCGCACTGTTGTTGTCCTCAAAAGTCTGCTGCAGAGCAGAGTTTAGTGCGAGTGTTTCACACATCAACTGCAAAAGAAGGTAGACAAATTATATATTTTATTGAATCATAAATGCACTTCAAAAGTGAAGACCACACATTCTGAACAGCATAGTGCATTTTGAATAGTACATCAAATCTACAGGGCACACGATAAATGTCGTACATAATTAGAACTCTAACAGGGTTTTCACATAACGCTCTGAAGCACTCGAGTGCCAGGTATTGAATTTCAAATCGAACCCTTAAAGAAACAACCTAGAAAAAAGTTTTTATCTCCCTGGTTGAGGACAGGCATGTCTCAAGATAAATGTTTGTTGGAAAAAAAGTTTCTGCCCCCAATACATGCACTACAATACAAATATTTCGATTTGAGTGATGATGACAGCATTTGTACCCAACTAAAGTGCACTCTGAAGCAACTCTGAGGTCCAGCAAGCTCGGAGTGCACACTAGTTTGGGCACAAACGCTATCATCACCATCATCCCACAGGGGTACAGTATCAGTTTTGCCTGCAAATTGAAAAGTTTTTACTGTAACAAATATTGGGCAAAAAAGATTTTTTTTTTTCGACATGCATTATTTAATGTGTATATTACATAGAGCGGCTACAACGAATCATGCGCTGCAAAACAAGCTGGAAAAGCTGGTGCCTGGATATAGAAAGCTCAATGCACCAAAGGTGCATTTTAGCCAATGAAATTTTAAGGAGTAGCTCCTTTTCTATGCAAAATGAGACTAATCAACTTGCCAGGGTCAACGACAGACGTGTTCACAGACGACTAAGCTAGCGATGGTTGTAGCGCGTGGCACCATCTCCCGACAGGCACAGCGAGCAGGCAACGGAATGTGCCGTTGACCCTGGCAAGTCTGTCGGTCTCGTTTTGCACAGAAAGAGAGCTATGCCTAAAAATTTCATCAGCTAAAGTGCACCACCTCAGTGCACAATTGGAGAAAGCTTGAGTGTTCTATGGAAAGGCGTCAGTTCTTTTGGCTCGTTTTATGATGAAGGAAGATCCGCTGTAGTCGCCCCATAAAATGACATCACTCCTGCCTATCAGTTTGCCACCAAAACCAAGACAAAAAACAAAACCCAAGAACTTGCATCACGCATCCAGGCTTTGTCCATCAGATCCGACTGCAAAAGTAGCCCGAGTGTGTCTTCTTTCAACCGGGAACAATGGAGAAACTCCTGAAATCATAAATATGCTAAATAAAGGTAGTTTGCTCAAAGTTGGGGTCGGTGGCCTGGTGTGTTAACGCACAGCAGGTCAAAGCGCGTGGAGCAAAAGCCTGCGCTGCAGAACCAAAAGATCCTGGGTTCGATCCCTACCCCTGCCCATTTCCATCTGGATGAGCATCGTTTCGTCGTCTGTTGCGTAATACTACCACGTGATGCACGTTAAAGACCTCAGGATAGCAGTCAAACTGCATCGTCTAAATTTCTCGTCTACGGCAGAGATGTAGCCATTGGTGGCTAACTAACATCCCGTTGTCTAAACATACACACAACTTAATCGACACTAGAACTGCACAAACATTTTAATTTATTGACATTGGTTTATGGATTCACAAGGCGGTAGGATGCGTCGACAGTAGCACAAATTATCTAGGAAAAATTTAACGAAGTACAACTAAATAGCACAGCTGGGGGACAGGCGGGACGGAAGAAAATCGGGACTCCCTGCCGCGTGGCTTTGGCCCAAAATCTCAATCCCATCTCTCAATGGGTCTGGTGTAGGGGCGACGCCGACAAGGGTTGATCGGGGGAAAATTGGCGACTCCCTCCCTGGGGGTAGCAAGGGGTGGTGCATGTTTTTCGTTATTTTTGCCCGATTCCCCAAAGGTCATACTGGCGGTCACCTTCCCTGCCTCGTGATAGTTCCAGAAATTCATTGGCTAAAGAGGGGACGAATCATGTGTTTTTAAGTTTTTAGGCTAGAAGGTGGAAGCTACCGCCCTGTTATAAAGGGCGCAGCCATTAATATCCGTCCAAGATCTCTCCATCCATCCATCCATATTCGTGAACTTACCACTGCCAGTAAATAAGACGCGTTTTTGAGGCTTCCGAGCGTTATGACAACGCCCCGTGCGGCAGTGTGCTGTGTCAGGTCTCGTAGTAAACGTTCCATGTCTTCGACACGTCCCTTTGTTACCACTTCGTCGTAAACCTGAAATTTCAAAATAGCTCCTTATGCGAACTTAAAACAAAAAACACAGCGAGACATCTGTAACTTCAGTTAATTAATAGCATATATAAACACGCTGAAGGGTTTCAAAACATGTCAATATTTGGGGCACTACTTCAAGATGTCAAAGCTACACTCCGGTTCACTTTAAGTCCGAACGCATCTGACATTTCGATTCCATGGAGTCCATCGAGCAGAGCCAAACGTGCACCGGCGCACTCTTCGTCTGGGAGAATCGCACCGCATTACATTGCCTGACTGGTTTAGCAGGCGATAGCCAATGCACAAAGACGACGAGCTTCCATGACGATGCACTTCTGGCGCTGTTTGATTGGCTTCATCGGGTCTTGCGTCGGCTGAGGTCGGATTTAAAGTAAATCAAAGTATGTATAACAATTTTTTTGTGTTTTTCCTGCCTAAAAGAAAAATTCTTCAAATTTTTCTTTTATGCAAATGAATTACTTTATAAAGTGAAATCATTTGAGACATGCGGCGACCTTTATTTCGCACAACAGGTCGTGTTTTTTAATCACTTTCATTCCTCTCGTGACGTTATCGACCAATCAGTATTTTCGAGGCACGCTGCGCACACCGAGTCACCGACGCCGGCTTCTCTGCGACACAAGCTCCTTGACGCTATCGCGTTAAAATTACAGGTTCCACTTGCCTTTTCGCAGTACCTGGCCCAATTAACAGCCTTCTCGAGTGACTGCGTCGTCCAGGCCGCATCACGGCGAACTTGACTCAAAAGTTCGTGGAAATAATAATACAAGTTTCTCACAACGCCTTCCATGAATGCACACGGCGTCTCTCTTTGATGCTCGAACCTCGATGCCTCGATCACGAACAGTATCCCACCTTGCGCGCGAGAAGATTCAATCTCGGTAACTGACGCTTAACACCAAATTGACCAAATTTACCGCGGCCCGCGGCTAGGCAGCTGAAGCTTTGGCTATTTTTGGATTATATTAGATCTGTGGTTGATCCTCAACTGCAAACTCTGAATATGCGATTTAATAAAATATTGAAGCAACTTACATTATTACAAATGTTTTTATAGTTTAAAAATACACTTTAATTTGAGGTTGCAATTTCTAGGAAAAAGTTTATGTTTAACGGTCTTTACCGTCCCGTGTTGTTGTCTTATTTGTCGTCTGCTAGTGAACTGCCCTTCGAAACAATGCTAAAGGTAGGTCTGCGCGTTTATTAGAAAATGAGGCGTTGCAACTTTGCTGAAAACTACATATTTGAAACACTGTGGCCACCCCCTTACGCTGGCATTTGGATTACTGTCACGCTTTTCATCGCTCGAACTCTGCTTTTTAGCGGGCAAACCTAAACCACCTAAACTGCGGCCGCCAGTACACAGCGCGTCAAGTCATCCGTGTTTTACTGTCACTTCTAGGTTCGAAATGGACGTTTACGAGAGAGAATTTGGTGACCTGCTCCACTACAAGCCTAAGATAACCGTCTACGAGCAGTTTGTCTTGCAAAACTTGCACAGAATGCTGAGGCTGTACAATTTTCTGCCTCGGAACATAATCATGCTGAGATTCGAAGAGCTGTGGCAAAGGCATCTCCTCAGACACCCCGAGATCAGGTAAGCAATAGATTTAATACGCGGGCATCCAGCGTGTAAGCGTTTACGTGATGAAACAGAGCGCGAATATAATTCGTAAAACATTTCATTTCCTCGCAGGAAGACCCACGAAGAGGAACGCAAGAATCCTAGGAAGTCGCGTAGGCCAAATAGACAAAGGTATACGATATTGAAGGCATAAACCTGAAACAGCAGCGAGCGTAGAAGACACTGTTCGCTGACATAACACGAATACTAAAACTTAACTCCAGTCTCTGTCTGGCATTGTGTCGTTAACAGCTGGGACCAATTAAGACATTGCTTTCAAAATCGCAAGAACAGTGGTGAAATAGCTAACAAATGCATCGAGCAGACCCAACACTCGGGTTCAGTTGAATAGATATCTCGAAATAAACCAGTGCCACTCCACAGTGAGGTTGAATGTGAAATGTCCTCTTGCTCGCAGTCACTTTTCAGAGGTAGAAATGGCCAGTTTACTCCTGGCCCCTGCCTTTGTTCCACTTATATTAAAATACTAACCACATTAAGAAGACCTATATTTATTTTATTTTTTTCATGGCCAAAAAATAGGTAATGAATATACTCCCTATTACAGTGAGCACTGCAATCCTCACACCTCTAAGAAATTCAAACAAATTCAGACCTTATCACTGTTCGTTCATCCAGGATTCGTAGTTGCTACACCCTCAGAATCGTAACATTTCTGACATCCGTGAATTCTAATCGAATTTTGCCTCGTCCCTTCTCGGTTTACTGTTGCCTTGTGTTAGGCTCCAAGTTGCGACTTGCCATGGCCCATTTCTAAAATCCTTTGGTCTTTCGACGATGACAATTCAACGTCTCTCCCTCATTTGCAGAGCACCGAGAACACTAGGAAAAAACGCCCTTCGTACACGGGTTTCTGACGATGTCGACCTGTACACATCTCCCGCACCCAAGTCCAAGGCAAGCCGAAAAAGATGGTCCACCAAACAGGAAAAACGATCCAGTCCCAAGGCAAGTAGAGCGAGGTGCTATCCGCCGCTGAAGATTAAGACGTTGAAGAGGACGTTGCCAGTTCCCAAGGAGAACCATGCCACACCATCGACAATGCTTGCTCCGCGAGAAAGAAGCAGACATTTCCTTCCCTGTACAAGGTCTCCAGCGCACGCAGCCGACAACGAACTTGGCGGGGCAGTCTTGGTTCAAACAAACTCAAATGCGAAGTCGTGCGAAGACGACGACGAATGTCTCAGCGATTCGGCTGCCATGGAACAAAACACCGTTCTCCAGAAACCCATCGAAAATGAAGAGAAGAGTCTGCCCTTGCCGAGAAACGATCCAAATATAGGAATCCGAAACTCTTCTATACCTAATACAAGATGCCCACCAAGAACCCCTTTGGCAAATGCCGCTGCCGAACGGGAAGACGCTGCCACGGCGGAGGAAGCCATCGAAATGGGCCGGATGGGGACGCCAAGCAACCGCAACAAACACGAGAGAGAGATTAAGACAGTGCTATTTTCGGAACCAATGTCCCTGTGCAGTAGTGTCAGCCACGAAGAGATATATGTGCGGGACAGTGCACCCGCGGAAATGTCGGCTGCCACAGAAGACGTCTTCGAAGAACTGGTGAACCAATTGACGAGTCCCATTGCTGCACGCGAGAAAGGGAAGACTTCGATGCTACTCTCGGAACCAATGTCTTTGTGCGATAGCATCGTCCTGGGAGAGAACAGTGCACGGAGCTTTATGTCTATAAAGGATGCCTGCGACAGACCAGTAGATCCTTCGGCCTCAAAAGAACGGAAATCGTTTCAGCGCAAGCTGTCGCTGACAAGGAAGAGTGAGCCTTTGCAGTCAAGTGTTACAAACGAAGATGCTATGCATGCTAGACCGATCAGCAAAAAGATGCAATTGAGAGCTGATGAAGAGCTCAAGATTTGTCCGGTGCACGAGATTCAGCGGGGTGAAAAGCAGATTCTATACGAACCACCGCAAAGATTCGGAGATGCCGCGAGTGAGACGGCAACACAGAACAGGCAGATTGCGGAGACTCGTGCTGAGAAACAGCCAGTCGGGTCTGAGAAGGAACAACACCTTTTAGGCACGATTCAACAGTCGCGATTCGTCCATAACAAGCTGGAAATACGGCCAGCTGCTGCAAAGCGCTCGGATGGAAAACACCAGATCTCCCCTCCAAACGGAATGTCGGGGCTGGCGGATATCGTGCGCTCAGCACGACCCCGAAAATTTGAGCACTGCAAAGTCTCGCAAGGAAGCGAGCCATCCGAAACGGACGACACCGCGGATGCGGCCACAAGCCGAGATCAATGCAATGCGTCAAGAGTTGTGGGAAAACTATCAGCAGTCAAGCAGACCGTTCGACAAAAAGTTCACAGCTCTAGAAAGACAGAAGGTCGTGAAACGACAGTAATACTGCCAGGTCCAGAGAGCAGAGAAGCGACTGAGGGACAATCTGAGAAGCTGGATTCGGCATGCATCAAAGAATCATCAACGTTGAACTTCTGCCATGCAGAAGCGGAAAGCGAGGGCAGCTGTTGGCCAGAAAGGACTTGGAAAAGCGCACACGCGGAGGACTGCAAAACTCCCAGGGCTGAGGTAACAGACGGTCCTTCACTTTCAAAAGGCAGAGATGGCGCAGCATCTCCGGAGTTTGCGCACAATCCGTACGCAAAGTCAATTGCCATGGACCAAGCTGGGCACAAAAAGACAAAAATGCCAAAAAGAAAAGAGCTACCATCCAAATACTTCCAGGCAGATCCTATTCCAGGCACCGAACACCCAGCCCCTCCACTGCAGTGGAAGATGAAATGGAAGGACACCACCGAGCGAAAGAAGACGAAATGTACACCCGGAGCTGGGGTGGCAGACGTCCACGATGACCGGGAAAGTCCGTGGGACGACTCTGGGCAGGACGACAAACTGTTCCCTTTCATAACCAAACGAAGGCGTATAGACAAACGAAAAGGGGGCAAAAAAGCGACGGACAAAGAGAGACAAGACAAAAAGACGCCAAACGAAGAGCGACCTGGCAGAAGACAGCTGCTCGAGGACAAGATTGCAGACGTAGACCTCGTCGGAGGAGTATGCAACGAAAAAGAAATGGTACGACCCATTGCAAGAGACGTCGGAAAGAAAAAGCACGATAAGAACCATGTTGATAACGTGCCCGATGAAGGCAGGCATTGCAAAAAGAAGCCAGACGAAGAGCGACTTGGCAGAAGGCAGCTGCTTGAGGACAAGATTGCAGACGTAGACCTCGGAGGAGGAGTATGCAACGAAAAAGGAACGGTACGACCCATTGCAAAAGACATCGGAAAGAAAAAACACGATAAGAACCATGTTGATAACGTACCCGACGAAGGCAGGCATTGCAAAAAGAAGCCAGACGAAGAGCAACCTGGCAGAAGACAGCTGCTCGAGGACAAGATTGCAGACGTAGACCTCATCGGAGGTGTATGCAACGAAAAAGAAGCGGTACGACCCATTGCAAAAGACGTCGGAAAGAAAAAACACGATAAGAACCATGTTGATAATGTGCCCGACGAAGGCAGGCATTGCAAAAAGAAGTCAGCCGAAGAGCGACCTGGCAGAAGGCAGCTGCTCGAGGACAAGATTGCAGACGTAGACCTCGGAGGAGGAGTATGCAACGAAAAAGGAACAGTACGACCCATTGCAAAAGACGTCGGAAAGAAAAATCACGATAAGAACCATGTTGATAACGTGCCCTACGAAGGCAGGCATTGCAAAAAGATGCCAGACGAAGAACGACCTGGCAGAAGACAGCTGCTCGAGGACAAGATTGCAGACGTAGACCTCGGAGGAGGAGTATGCAACGAAAAAGGAACGGTACGACCCATTGCAAAAGACGTCGGAAAGAAAAATCACGCTAAGAACCATGTTGATAACGTGCCCAACGAAGGCAGGCATTGCAAAAAGATGCCAGACGAAGAACGACCTGGCAGAAGACAGCTGCTGAAGGACAAGATTGCAGATATAGACCTCGGAGGAGGAGTATGCAACGAAAAAGGAATGGTACGACCCATTGCAAAAGACGTCGGAAAGAAAAAACACGATAAGAACCATGTTGATAACGTGCCCGACGAAGGCAGGCAGTGCAAAAAGAAGCCAGACGAAGAGCGACCTGGCAGAAGACAGCTGCTCGAGGACAAGATTGCAGACGTGGACCTCGTCGGAAGAGTATGCAACGAAAAAGGAACGGTACGACCCATTGCAAAAGACGTCGGAAAGAAAAAATACAATAAGAACCATGTTGATAACGTGCCCGACGAAGGCAGGCATTGCAAAAAGAAGCCAGACGAAGAGCAACCTGGCAGAAGACAGCTGCTCGAGGACAAGATTGCAGACGTAGACCTCGGAGGAGGAGTATGCAACGAAAAAGGAACGGTACGACCCATTGCAAAAGACGTCGGAAAGAAAAATCACGCTAAGAACCATGTTGATAACGTGCCCAACGAAGGCAGGCATTGCAAAAAGATGCCAGACGAAGAACGACCTGGCAGAAGACAGCTGCTGAAGGACAAGATTGCAGATATAGACCTCGGAGGAGGAGTATGCAACGAAAAAGGAATGGTACGACCCATTGCAAAAGACGTCGGAAAGAAAAAACACGATAAGAACCATGTTGATAACGTGCCCAACGAAGGCAGGCAGTGCAAAAAGAAGCCAGACGAAGAGCGACCTGGCAGAAGACAGCTGCTCGAGGACAAGATTGCAGACGTGGACCTCGTCGGAAGAGTATGCAACGAAAAAGGAACAGTACGGCCCATTGCAAAAGACGTCGGAAAGAAAAAATACAATAAGAACCATGTTGATAACGTGCCCGACGAAGGCAGGCATTGCAAAAAGAAGCCAGACGAGGCGCGAAGCGACGAAAAAGGCGTCGACAAAACTGGGTGCTTCGAGAGGCAGATGACGGAAAAAAGCCAATGGATTTCCGCCAAACAGAATCGGGCGGACAAGCAGACAGAGAAGCACTCTAAGAAAACTGCATCGCTTCAGAGCGTTTCCATTGCGAAAAAGCTTGTGAGTGAAACACCTGGCAAATCAAAGTACGGCAAAAAGCAGCAAGGCGAAGGAAGGTCCAGCGACGAAGAGCCAGATAAAACGCAACAAGCAGAAAGGAAACCGTCCAGAGGAGTCCTACAGCAAATCAAATACCATAGAGAGGAAAATGGCAGAAAGAGGCCGTTTCAAGCGGTATCTGAAGAAAGTTCGGTCCATGAAAGGAGTCACCACGAGAAGCACCAAGGTGATGGAAAGTCTGACAGGATGCACAAAAAGAAGGTACCACTGGAAAAGGAAGCCAGTAAAGCAGATCAAGGAAAGGAAAACCGTAAACAGGTCGTCACAGAAGTCCCCAATGAAAAGAAACAAGACGAGTGCAGGTCAGGCAAAGAGGGACACAATAAAAAGGAACAAAAGATAACGAAACCAATCAAGAAAGCAAGAGACCGAAACCGAAAGGAAGCAGACTCCTTTTTGCTTTCATTCGAAGAGGAAGTAAATCGGGACTCGACTTACTTTCCCGACGAACTCGAACTCGAAGAACTGTCCAACGAAATTGACGATGACGACTTCTTGAGTGACGAAGGTCCCAACGAAAACATCCTCGGCAAAGAAAACCATATCTTCGGAGGAGGGGACGAAAAGACTGCGACCGGCGACGCTCGTTTCGTCCCGTTTTCGCTTGAGTCGGACGAAGACGGCGACCGACCAAAAGAAGATGCGGATGAGGCTTCGAATTTCTTCAGTTGCAGTTTGCAAAAGAAGCAAAAGCTGTCGCTCAGCTTCTCACAAAGGTCCTCAGACTCCGAGGAACTCTTCACATGGCCAGTGGGAGACCAACCAAAGGCAAAGCCCAAGAAATCGGTGCAGTTCACAGATCCAGGGTTCCAAGTACCATCCCCGACGAACGATGACGCAGAAAGTTTCGACACGTGTGAATCTGGCTCAAGAGCAACGACTCCTCCCTGTACTCCGTGGAAGGACATCGCCACCAGAAGCGTGACATTTCCAGATCCGACGTCTCCGGATCGGACAGACATGTATGGCAACGAAATCGTGGAAGAGCTTCGACGCAATTTCGAAAAACACCGAGCCATCTTGGCAGCAAAATGTGTACCGGACGTGAATGTAAGTACCTAAGCCGAGAGCTTTAATCAAACTCAAAATTAACTGGAAGTCGTTGCTTTTTCCAGGAACCGTCGCAAGGCTGGTCGGGATCGGACGACTACCCGATCTTACTGTCACGAGATCGACCAGAGTTCTTTGGTTCTTCGCCCGAGGATTCCCCGAAATTTGACGTATAGACCTCGAGAAAAGGCGACAATAACTTAATAGCCTTTTTATCGATGATGCTTGCCCAGTCTTCAGGGAGCGTTTGAAGAGTTCAAAAGCCGAGAAAGTTCCGGTTGTTTGTTCCGTTCAAGTACAATGTTTGTATGTTCAAACATTGAACGACAATGTTTGTTCTGTTCAAGTACAAATTTTATACTGTAAATGCAACCGGTTGGTTTGCACCTGTGTTAAGCTTATTGATACATTTGTGTTGGTTTTATTTCAATAAAAAAAAATGTGTGTGAAGTTTACTATCGTTCCTTTATTGTGAGCGTCTTCTTTGGATACAGTTTAAGTTGTTCCAGCGTTTGTTTGGGATTCAGGGTTGAAAGCTGAAACAAAGAAAAAGGAATATCAGTTCTGTGTCATGAAAACAACATTTACAAATGCAAGCTTTTGCACGAGTCTACGACACGGTTTGTGCCACAATCTGGCTGATCCTGAAATCTACAAAAACAAAGAAGAAATGGCTGCTTGTGCAACCGTAAGTGTAACATACTTTCGCTATCCAATAGTGCTTTTTTTTTTTAATGATTAAACACTAATTTCTGACCAGCAGGGATACTATATAGTGATACTTGATAGGTCTCGCAAAACATCAAATCCTAGAAAGCTTGCGTTTGACCATGGAAATATCGCTGCATCTATTTTTCTACATTCTAAAGCTGACCCAGGGTAAGTACTCCAACGAGGAATGTACCATTCTATAGAAGTGTAAATCTTTGTGCAGCTGCATGTTGCATCCTTTAGACATGGGAATTGTTCTTGTTCCAAGCGAAAAGGTTCAGTCCGCAACAACTAATCAAGCTCATGCAAAAAAAAAAAAAAACTATTTTCATTTTTTAGTAGTAAATGCAAAAAATTTACACCGCCAGTTCTCTATCCTTGCCAATTCTCGTTCTTGACACTATAGGGACCATGAAGCAATGCTGGGTTTGAATGCCTGAGACTTTGTTAACCACAAGTGGGACACGCACAATCCCAGGCAGCAGCACCACCGATCGAAAAGTTCTTTGTTGCCATCAGATTTCGAGGATGGAAATCGACTATTTCTTTCGGGCTCTCCTTCGCAAGGCTTATCAACACAGTCACGGATATCGCCCGGGCGCAAAAATAGTCGCACACGACCATCGCTGCCTTCTTGAGCAAGAGCAAAAAAAATTGTTTCATGGTCTCCAGGGGCTCGAGCACTAACCTCTTGCCTTCTCCAGTTCTTTAGGATCTTGAACCTCTCCAGTGGGTAGCCAAGTGCGTCCAAGAATGCCAAGAGAACGCCGAGCTCGCAGGTGGCGAGAAAACGACGAGTCAGCGTGCGGCCTGCCGGCAGCTTTAGGCGGATCTGAACCGTGCGTTCCGAAGAATCCGCTGGCGGCTCCAGTGGAACCTCGAACTATGGGGGACCAATGACAGACACAAACGTTAATCAGGTTAGAAAAATGTAACCCTAAGGTTTTCGTGTCGTCGTCTTGCCATCCGTGATTTACAGGATGGCTCCGGCGGATCTTGCGCCTTAAAACGAGCCATAAAAAATTGGGGCCTGCGCAAAGGAAGTTCAAACTTTTACCGAACGTGTATCGAGGCGGTCGTTTTTGGCTTGGGAAATTTCAAGGCCTAGTTCTCTTCTTGTAAAAAAAAAAGAAAAGCATGAGCAAAAAGCTTGCCAAATTTAATGGTGGACGTGTTTGCAGACAACTGAATTGGCGATGACGTAACCTGTGGCGCCATCTCCCGAAAGGCGCAGCGAGCAAACAGCACACTCTCTTGTCTGCTCACTGCACATGTCAAGAGATGGCATAGCAGTTCACATTTCTTGCAAGCTCGGTTGTCTGCAAACACATCCACCACTGACTGGCAAGATTGTTGGTCTCATTTTACGGGAGGAGAACTATGCCTTGAAATTTCACGAGGTAAACTTGACCGCCTCATTGCACATTTAATGAACATTTGAGCTTTCTATGTGCAGGCATCACCTTTTCCAAGTCGGTTTACAGTATGAGATTCATTGGAGTCACCCTAGTTTTCAAAATGGGTCAGGACATTTCATCAAACGTCGTCTCATTGAACACCTCGTAGTCAAGCGGTAGAAATTCTGACTTGGGAAATGCCTTTATTTTCCTACAGAGAGGGGAACTTTCGTCGCGCCCATCTTTGGGCTTGGTCAGAGGTCGGACAAAATACAACCCCGAAGTCGAGGCTCGCGAGCCCATAACGAGGAACCTTTGCCTCTTAGACTAGAAAGTTTTAGAGCAGCAGAGCTTGACAGTTGTCGTTCCATGCAAAATCAAGAAGACGCTACAGGCGCCGACAGCTTAAGAAATGTGGGACGTGGCTTATTGTGTTCACTCTTCTTGCTTCACGATTCGTCCTTGACCGTGCCTACAGGCTACTGCTGCACTTCCATTGGCTGTGGGGATGCTCAATAGTACTTGTCTCACCCCGAGCTTCTCGAGCTCACAGTGGCCATACAATAAATGCTGTGATTTTCAATCAAGGGCAAGTCAATTAGAGCCTTCTCATAATTGTTAGCTATACCATCATTATCTACCTTGACGTCAATATTGAACCTGATATCTTGAAGATATGAGAATGGAATCTAACACTGGATTCGTGCGAACCACGGGATTCCACCCAGAGTGGGTTCCCCAAACTCCAAGATTTCCTCCTTCGTTCCTGCCTAGGAGTTAAGTATTCTTCCAGTTTAAGCACTATACTAGCAGGTCTGAGTCATTCAATGATACATTGTTCTGCTAAACACTCCCTGGAATGTGCATTATTCTTTACAACATCTGTGGGCTTCTGAGCTGCTTCACCACATAAATACTAAGACCAGGAAGGGTTCCTCGTGTATCAGCTATGCGGTAGGTATTCCTTGAGATCGAAAAGTTTGAGCATCTTAAAATCCAGAGGCGCGTGAGAATAAAGAGACCACACAAATCGACGGGCAACCAAGTTTGGTGACAACTTCTCTACATGTATTGCAAAGCACTACCGACCTGTATTTCAGAAATGTCCAAATCGTTTAATTGCAAAAAGGCAAGAAAGAATTAAGTAAAACTTGGGGGTTCTACGTGCCAAACCAACGAAGGGCATCTGACACGCCCCAGCGAAGGACTGAGGATTCGTTTCGACCTCCTGGGGAACTTTTGACGTGCAACCGAAATCTCGGTTACACAACGCCTTGTCCGCAATAAGCCTTCGCCAGATTGCGGGCGTCTCTGCCGAGATTCGAACCCGCCACCTGGAGATCCGTGAGCCGGCACTTCGCACCGAGCCAGCTTAAAAAACGAAGAATAAGAATTATCGGAAAACACCCACCTCCTTCTTGGCTTCAGCAACACTGGCAGTCTCTTTTGGCACCGACGCAAGGCTGAGATTGTGGGGAGCAGTCAAGGCAGCACTCTGAGGCACTTCACCCATGGGAGCTTTCGCGCACGACGACGACGGCAGAACGCCGGCATCTTCGGACGGCCTCTGAGTGACACGAAGCTGAAGCTGAGTCCCAGGAAGCTTCAACGACAAGTTCTGCGCGCTAGGAAGTCCCAACCTCACAACCTGCTCGAGCAGCTTCAGGTCTTCCTCGTCGTCCGAAAGCGAGCTCTCGAGTTTCGACTGTTTGCTGACCGGCGACAACGTCGTAAGAGATTCGTCCGGGCTCGACACCGCTGTGGTCGTTTTGTCGAGATCCCCTTTCAAGAGTCTGGGGTTCTCATGCCCGCTGCCAGTCTGAACCGCCGGTGGTGTTGGTCTACACTGCTCGGCTGACACGCATTCAGCGTTGGACGCTTCCGTCGTCGTCGGTGGTAAACTCGGGGCACGATGCTGCTTCCAGGCCATGACCCTACCTAAACTGACGACTTCCTGCAATATCCGTCGGTCTTCTTCCTCGTCGCTGCTCTCGGCGCACAACCCGCACTCCGACGCCGGACTCATCTGACTAGACAATGCTGCTTGTTCGGCGACTGCCTGATTTTCGTTCCAACCGTTGGAGCCAGCTGCGAGATATTGCTCGCATTCAGCTTTCTTTGACAAAGCTGTTGGCTCGGGCGTGCTGGACAAGAGCAGCGGAGAGGTGGGCGTTCCGACATCGGAGCGTGCTTTAGAAGGTGTGCTTCTGGCGCTTGACGCAGCGAACGATGCCATTAGCGGGTCTTGCTTGAAGACCAGTGCTCGTCCCAGTCCGACCACTTCCTGGAGCAACTTGGCATCCTCTTCTTCATCGCTGCTCTCGTTGCAGAAGCTCCCGTCGCGTCGCTCCTCTGTCCCATCCGGTGGGCGGGCCGGCTTCGAGTCGTCCGAACTTAACGAGCAGACTTCTTTTGACGACCCGTTTTTGCCGGCATCCTTCCGTTGCTGGGCCGTGACGTGGACGTCGCTCAAACTGCTACTCTTCCAGTGCCGCATAGACTGCGGCGAGCCTTTTGTCACAAGGTCCCCGCTGCTCCAACTTTGCACATCGCCGACACCTCCGAAACGTACTTGCGCACGGTTCGTGTCTGGAGGTGACCCCTCGCCGTCATCTAACATAACGGTGTGACTAGATTCACTGATGGGTTCCGCCGCAACAAGCGGCTTCGTCGACTCACGCTCAGCGCTTCCGCTCCACCCGACCAGCGTCTGATGCGGACTCTCCATCTTTGAGACCTGCCAGCCGAGCTGGATGCACCGCGCAAGCACGTCTTTGTCGTCGTCTGAGCCATCGTCAAGGAGTTCGGTTTCGTCGCGTTTCGTGGGCGCCGCGACGGTCTCTTCGACGGCGCCCCAGCTGCCCTCACCGTTTGGGATGCTCAGGTCCGTCAACGACGCGGAATGCGAAAGCACCGAAGGCGTGTCTTCCGTGCAGTACACCCTCACGTAATCCTCCTCGAATGATGGCGATGCAGTGTTGTGCGGCGACGACATAAGGCAGTCGTCATTGAAAGACACGTGCTTGTGTCCGTCAGGCGGCTTGACTCCGTCGCGGAGCTGCTGCGCCTTGCCACGTTCCGTTAACGGCGGAGAGGGGCGTTCCGTCGACGCGTCACTGTTCTGCGCGCGGGGAGCTCCCCACGCTTTCCCGCCACCGCTCAAGTCCGTCAGGGAGGCGGCGTGCGAAAGCATGGACGGCGTTCCTTCCGTGCAGTACACCCTGACGCAGTCGTCCGCAAAGTAGGGCACGGCCGTGTCTTCGTGCGACGTTCGCATCAGGCAGTCGTCGTTGAAAGAGACGTGTTTGTGTGCGCTCTGCTTCGACGACCGCTCGCCCGCCCAGCAACGCTCGCCGCTGCCGTTGGCGAAAGGAGCCGGAGGTTTTGGGAGCGCCTCGAATCCGTCGTCCCAGTCAGAACCGACGCCACTGGGCAGGCAGCTGCTGTCGACGGTAAGCGAACTCAGACTTTCAGCTCTCGAGTAGCCTCTCGGCGTGCCCTCTTGAGCATAGCGCCTCTTTGTGTCGGCAAACACCTCATATCCTTCTGCCGTCGTGACTTCGCTGTGACCACCGCACCTCGACGTTCCACCCAAAGAGTTCCGTCGCTCGCACGCGCTGCCGCCGCTCTCCTTGGGAGCCGAATCGTCGTCGACTGTCAACGAGCTCAGACTGGTCGCTTGCGAGATTCCGCAGGGCGTTCCTTCTTCCGCAAAGCTTTTGGGCAGATCTTGGAAGACTCCGCCCACAGGCTGGGGGAGGGGCTTAATGCAGGGAGGCAGGCGGAAGGCGGGGCGGCGGGAAGACCGGCGGGGGCTCGGCGGCATCGACTGGCTGGGCGAGTCGGGTAGGTCGCTGGGGGAGATGGCGCCACTCGTCTGGCGGCTGCGAGCGAAATCGACGGCAGCCAGTCAGAACTACGCGAGATTCAATCCATCCAATCAAATTTCATGCTTTTGTTTATCGAGAAACTGCTAAAGCTGACGGCATGCACTATATTTTTTTCTTTTTACTTCTAGATCAGAAAACAGAGAAGTATTAGCGACAAATGTAAAATAACCGATCACACCATAAAAAAAAAAGTACAATTATACTCCGTGCCACTATTTGTGAGCAGTGCAGGCGAAGGCAATGCCACGCGAAGAGAGAAAGGGCAAGCACTAGGAAAGTGGGATGGGAGAGGAGAAAATAGAGGGTGAGGGGAGAAAGGGAGAACACTAGGAACGTTAGAGATGAAAGAAGGTTTCTCTCCTCTTCCACAGCCTTAGTGCTTGCCCTTTCACCCTTCACCTTCACCCGTGCTGTTCGCAACTAGTGACACGAAGTAAGCGAGAAGGTGAATCAAGAAATGCACAAACCTGAAATCGCCGACCGCCGATCCCGGATCCTCCAGTGCGACCTGCTGTTCGAGGCTGCTCAGCGAGCCCAGGGAACTGCTCCTCGAGAACATGAGCGGCGTCTCGTTGGACATGTCGCCAAACGCCACCACCGCTGTCGCCATGGACGGCTTGTCTGTCGAAGGAGACGCCAGAGAGATACGTCGGGTACGGTACACCTCTTCAAAAATATTACTATGAGGGCTAACTGACAAGTGAAGAGACTGCTTCCGTTTTTCTTTGCAAGGCGGGGCAGTGTTGTGCCGATGTTTGTGAAGGAAATACATCTGAACGTCTGAGCCTGCAGTCCGACTGTCGTAGTCCTTGGCGTTTTAACGCAGCAGGCGAAGGCACCCGATACGTGTTACCACGGCGTACGACGAAGATGCACTTGTAAAAGCACGGCCAAGGTGCACGACTGCATTTAGCATTAAAGAGTGGTAACTGCGCTATAACGCTCTTCACATATACCGAAGTTATTGCCGTGTGAGTTCTGAACGTTTCCAACACTGAAATAGAAAGAAAAAGCTCAACAGAAGGAAGTTCCCTTTATATACAATAGAGTGAACTTCTACTCGTCTTTGTGGTTTGTTTTTTTATGGCTTTTTTTTGCACCGTTTCTTGAAATAGAGCTGAATAAAGGCCGCAACGCTAAAAGTGATGTTGCAAAGCATTCTTCTATGTTTCCTTGAGGCATTTTCCAAAAATTCTATCCAATATATTGAAGGCGAAGGATGCTACGCTGAAAAGAAAAAAAATATCCAGAGCCTGAAGAGTTGGTCACCTATTTCTGAATAAAAAAAAAAGATTGGACTCGTTATTTTTTTTAACAGCCCTCTCATGTTTAAAAAATTACTATAAAACCACTACAGTTACGATAACGAAAGAGGGGCATGGAAGACAAGCGGACAGCACGCTCAACCATTTACACTATAGTTACCGACACCATGATAACAGCACGGAGATCCTTCAGTTGTCCCGCCTCCAGAATGGGCTTCACACCTTCGACAGTGCTTCAATATCTTGTGAGCCTCGAGAGTGTATGCGCAGCCAAAGCACAGTGGAGGGAAACAAGTGCATGCTGAAGGCTGGGCGTATAAAGCATAGTGCCTCGCAGTTTCCATTCTGTGAACGATCATAGTGGCTTTAGAATTAAGCCTGCCTACAGAAAATTCAATAATCCACACTAGAGATGGATAAACATATCAGTACAGATACAGTACAGAAGGAATACAAGTGTTGCCTAAATGTACGTTGATCCACTATGTCTTTCTCAAAATAAAATTTTACAGGGTTTCTTTCACCGCAATGGGAAAACAGTGGCCGACGGAGTTTTTGAATATGTAGAGCTGAACAGCACCAGTTACCAAAAACGGGCTCTATTTCCCCATTAAACTTTTTAGAAAATCACAAATTTTGATCGAGATAACGGTTAGTTGTGAAAATTTTCCATCCGGTTCAGATTGCTAGTGTTATATTCGGGCGGAGAATGAGCGTTTGGTAATGCATATTTCATTTGTGTAGTGAAAAACAAACAAAAAAACACTACATTTTTTGGGCAATAAAGTTGTAGTTTGGTGGCAACATTGATTAGAAACATAGAAATCTGAACAAAGACTATCGGTCACGAGTGACATCTTTCTGACGACTGACTCGACGTCACGCACACCCTCCCTCCCCGATGTTTCCGTCTGGCTTCGACAAAAATCAGGTCCAAACCGAAAAATGAAACGAAGCGTTCACGCTTGCCGTTTTTCGGCTGGAAGCGCACGTGCTTTCCATATTTGGTTTGAGGCCTCTTACCTCTGTGGAAAAGGAAGTAAAAGAAGCCGAGAGAAAAATGTGGGAGGAAAGAATGCAAGGAAAATCAGCTCTAACTATGTATAGGGGACAGAACAGGAAATAAGAAAGAAACACTGGCATGATAATTCATGGGGGAGCTTGTTGTTATTCGAGTCTAGAACAGGAGTGTTGAGGACTAGGACATAAAGGACAAAGCATGAGGAAATAGATATGCAGTGTACCGTATATGCCAAGGGGAAGAGGAGGCAATAGAACATGTACTGTTGAGCTGCACAGGGTTTGCTCCCACCCTCCCAGAGGGGGTGACGGATTTAGTCAATGTGCTGGGGTTTACAGAAACCCCAGCGCACCGAATAAGACGAGAATGGATGATAAGTACACTTTAATAACGAAGAGGAGATTGAAAGACTGGCAGACATTATCAGGGGAGAATTGAATGACATACAACTAGCACAGCTGGGAACAGGCGGGACAGAGGAAAATTGGAACTCCCTCCCGCGTGGCTCCGGCCCAAAGTCTCAACCCCGTCTCCCAGTGGGCCCAGTGTTGGGTAACGCCAACTAGGTTTGACCAGAGGAAAATTAGCTTTGTTCGAGACGTCTCTACCTTTTTTGTTTTTCCCCACGTTTGAATGTTTTTTTTCTTAGTTTCAGGTTATTTAACATCATGGATGTTAAATAACTAAAAACTTGCACTTGGAGCAACTCTTTAATATATGGCATTGCAGTAAACAATTATGTTCAGAGATAGTTCAGGCTCCTGTTGAATGTTTGAGCACAAAAACTGTACAGAAAAGGAAAAAAAAAAATGCCCATGGCATGAAAGCACAAGTTATTGAACATACCAGCAAAGGCAGAACATAGGATATAAAAGCCAGTGCTAAGAAACTACAGAGGATTGAACATAACAGCAGAGAGATAGCCCATAATATCAAAGAAATGCCAGTATTCACAAAATGCAGGGGTTGAATGCAGGAGCCCAAAGACAGCGAATAGGCAAAAAATGTCACTGCTGAGGAAGTATAGAAGGTCACATACAGTCTCCTGCAATATGAAAGAACCACTGGGGACGCGCGTGGCCCAGATGGTGGCTGTGGGTGCTCCGGCAATCGCATTCTACCCCAAAACGGGAAACCTCAGTCAGGGCTCAGCTAAATCGCTACACACGCTTATCAGTTTCCTTGCAATGTGATTATTCTCTCTGTTAAAGCAAGAGATTCGTGCCATTCTTCTAACCAATGAATGTGCTCTTCAACAAATTTTATCTTTTAAATATAGGACTCGGGTATTACTTTAACATTTGTTTATTTGGCAGTGCCTGTTTCCACTACAGCAGAAACGACTGATAAGAAACAGTGATGACCAGCTCGTTTCGAGCTTTCGTGGCTATATCTCTGGGCATGACGCCGGTGAAGCGCGCTCTTCCGCCAACCCGGTATCAAAAACTCTTAAGGGTGTGTGTGCGATGAAACCTCTGGGCGCAACCAATCAGAGGGACAAGGGAAGTGGAGAGGAAATAAAGGAGAAGGAGCCGCAGACATTCTCATTGGTCTGTCATGAGCAACATCTTTTTGATGACTGACTCAACATCATGCACACCCTCTCCGTCCTGCTCACCGAAAGTCATGTCCAAACCCAGAAACAGAACGGGAAGCGTTCTCGCTAAAGGTGCATATTTCTAGTAGCCGTGATGGGGCGACTCTGAGGGGTCATGATGTGAGTGACTGACCGTGAGTGGAACCTCCTTGTGACTGTGAGTAACCATGATGGGGCGAGTTTGAGGGGACTTGATGTGATTGGCTATAAGTGTTTGGCACGGTCGAACTTTATGATGTGAAGGGCTGTGACTTTCGGATGGCGGTGTACTTTGTGATGTGATTGAGAACGACTTTGATGGGCTTCAGATTTTGGTGATGTGATGGTAAGTGGGTCCTGAAATGCCGACCTATGCTTCTCTATTTCCGTTTTTTGGTTTGGAGACCGCCTTTGTACGTGTTCAGGCATGGTTGAGCCCCGAGTGAGTAGTGTTATTCCCTAGGAGGAGAATGGAATCGCCTGAAGCGCGCATAGCGCCCCTGCCCGCCGCCGTCACGGTCACGCGCTCCCAGTGGGTCTCTCATATTGCAGGAGACTGTACCAGCACACAGGTAGTTCATAGGAGGGAAAGGAGGGAAGGGGGAGAGAAAACAGGAGCGGGAAAGTAGAGGGGATAAAACTTGTCAGTACAGGGATAGAAATAAAAAGAGCTAACATGCCAGTACTGGGTCTGTACAGGGGAAGAAACGTACCGATGACAGGGGCGCCGTTTGCACCAGAGCAAGTGGCAAAGTAGTTGAAACAGCCTGGGTCAGACTTCGCACTTTGGACGCTGCTCAAACTCCCCGACTTCTGCAGAGCCACAGAGCTGGGAAAGCTTTCCGCGCTGTTGCATCGTCTTCCCAAGAGCCTCAAAGTCGACTTCGTCCGGGTTCTTTTGGAGTCGACTCCGTTTATATGCGCCTTATCCTTGGGCACTTCGTTTGGATGGACGAAAGGCATGAACACTTTCTCCGGCGAAATGCTGCCATCAGCTGCGAGATGCCCAAAGAAAGTCTCGTTAAAGAAAAGCTTACAAACAACAGTGGATCTACCACGCGGGAGGTCAAAACAAAACAAAACAAAGAGGAGACGGTCTTACTTCGTTCAACGCAATTTGGCATCTTGCTGAACGTGAAACGACTTCACGACAAGTAGCACGGGGTAGTCCGGCACAGCATCGCGTGAAGAGCGGTTGGCTAACTCGTCTGAAATTTGGGGTTCGCGAATGACTGGTCGACGGGGTCAGGTGGTTGTTCAGCGATCATTGGAGAGCTGTTCGACACACGACACTTCGTTTACTTATCGCATTTCATGCGATTTGTGATGTTTATGTTTTGAAATCAGGTCGGCGATGTCTACGACGACTGTGCCGATTGTTTATTCCCGGTCTTTCTGGCTCGCAGGAATCCAAGTAACAAGTTATTCAAAACCAACAGTTATTTTAAATAAATTTAAGTAACAATTAACATAGTTCAAAAGAACTTAGCTTTATTTTATTTTAAATAGCGAATAAAAATATCAAACGCTTAATTTCTTTTTACTTAAGTTAGCGGCAGTTTGGTTTATGTTTGACGCCGACGGGCCGACGACACTGGTAATCAATATGGCGACGCCCACGTGGATTTTGTTTCTGTACGCATCTGCATTGGGTGCTGTTCCGCCGGTCTGATTTATTTTGTTTCAGTACGAGTGAACATCAGTTCTCTGTTCAGTCGTCTTTTCATCATGAAACAGAGAACCAATAACAAGCTTCCAAACAACCTGCCCCAGTTGCAGAACCTTATTAAAAGGGATCCGCTTTCGTACAAAGATGAGGTGAGTGCTTCCGTGGGGATCGTGCTTACTGACACGCACATTTATTTTCCTTAGACATATTGCGAAAATTTGGGGCTCATGATAGCTTTTTGTTAGTGATCTTGGAGATATCGTGCAGCGGGATCCGGCCTAACATTGCTTGTTGTAGTCACTCGGGGACATCTGTCAGTGTAGGAACCACATTGTGCTCTATGTATATATCGCCGGATCAAAAGAACATCTCGTTACGCGGAGCTGGTGTCATCGGTTTATATCTGCGACCTATCTTAAAGTGTGGGCCTTCTTCAATCTTTCAATGCGAAAGCATTAACTGGTCTCATGGAGCGAGCCGATGTCATCAGTTTGAAGCGCGAAAACGGCACCTTAAATCTTTTCTCCAAGTGTAGCCAGGGGGGCTATGTTGCACGTTTTGAACTCCCAGGAGGCTAGGGAGAGGGAAGTGACGTCAACAACGCAGCAAATGCAGATTGGATGTTGATTTTGTTTTCTTCTGTCAACATCCAATCTGTGTTTCCTCTAGTCGTTGACGTCACTTCCTTCTTCCAAGTCTCCTGGGAGTGCAAAAAGCGCAACATAGCACCCCTGCTCTCAGCTAGTGCCACTAAATAAGCTACGCTTCAGAGTAACGACACTTCGCCATATTGTGTCTTAAAATCATGGTTGCCAGTTATCTGAAGCTTTATCTGAAATCTCAGGAAACGTCTTTCCGCCCTCCACAAATGTTTAAACAGTTCGCGAAAGAGCAAAGCAATATTTCATGACCTTCCTAACACCGAGTCTAATGCTGAGGAAGTCGCACTTTTGAATCATGACGATCGGCAGTTGCGTCTGCTCTGCATACGAGCCAAAATGGCGACGCCCACAACAATGTAGGGGAACGGAGTGCCGATACTCTAAGCGCAGCTCATTTAGTGGCTCTACTCTCAGCTATGAAACCACGCGAAAAGCCTAGACACGGCAGGTCTAGAGCACTATATAGCTCCTACGGAGCAGAGTAGCGCAATCCTTTGAACCCCGTGTTTTGCCGACAACATGGCCGACAGAGCGGCTCGGCGCGAGTCACGTGGTACTCAGGGTTCCAGGAGGCGGCTCGCCCTATGGGAGAATACATGGAGTTCGACACAACACGGATGATTAAAAAATGAACGGCGAGTTCACACTTTTCAAAACTAGTCTGTCGTGAAGTTAGTAAACACTAAACACTTTATCAAAGTTTTAATAATATCGGATGCGTGTGCAAATTTTGAGAAGGCAATTTCCAAGGCAATGGCGTTTGAAGCAGACGATTTTTGCTCGCAGCGGAGATGGGCTTTTCGGGTTGGCCGGAGCGGGTCACGTGAATGGTGTGACGTCGCCGTGTCGTCTGCTGCATGATGCCGCTCAGGCAATTTTTTTAAAAAAGTCAGGTCCTTGCGGGGCACAAATCTTAGCGCAAATTATTCTAAAGTGTTCCATTATTATGTCAGACGATTGCGATTCTGTACATTCCCACAATACTGAAGAAACAACGATTTTCTCACGTTTTCCATGCATTTCTGACCGCAGTTGGAACCTCCGGGCGTTCGCCGAGAGGCGGCGTTCTAGATTGCGCTACTCTGCTCCGAAGGAGCTATATAGTGCTCTAGGCAGGTCAAGAACGAAGCGGAAGCTCCTCCCACTTCTTCCCACTTTAGTAGAGCAAACGCTCTACTAAAGACTGTCCGCTCCGCTGATGTGGAAAGGGGTGGGAGGAGCTTGCACTTCATTCTTGACCTGTCACCGGCTATTCGAGACTCCAAGTAACTATAGGTGGCGCCACTTATTTTCCAAAATGGCGCTTTTAGTGAGGGTCGGAGATGCGTGCCGCTGTTGAGCCTGTCTAGTGTGCTGGCTTCACCGAGCGACACAAATTATTTCTGGTAATACGAGGAAGCTAGAGTGTTATGAGCGCAGGTCACCTCTTTATCCTGGAAGCAAAAACGGTGCTTAGCCTAATACTTACTCCAGGAGGCACGACTTAGTTCTGGAGTGAAACCGAAACTAACCTCTATTTTGGATTTAATTTTTCAATATAGTCTTAATTTAGGATTATTTCACAACTCAAGATGTGTCACATCATAAGTATTTAGTTAAAGAAGTTGTTCGCGCTAACTTTATTTTGTGACATACATGTTTGATCAAAGAAAAAAGAGTTTGAGTTTGAGAAGCTGATATTTGTAGTTGTTGAAAAAATCAGTGCTGATATTTGTGCGTTCTCGCTGCCTTTTCTCGCTCAGATAATTGTCATGGTAAATAATGAACTATGGGCCTTTTAATGGGTTTTTAAGTATTGAGATAATTAATTGGTTTAACATTATTCCCAGCACAAGAATAAGAGAATAATTCAAATTTTTACAATATGTCCACAAAACGTATAAATTAATAAACGCTGGTCTCACTACTACAACCCAAAGACGGAATCCGAGTCAGACAGCTGAAGTGTGTGTGTGTTCTTTATAGCAACGCGTGACGCATAGGACTTTATATTACATCCAGTGTTTGACTGTTCGTCTATCTTGATAACGATGTCAGAGTTTTCCATATGCTAGAAAGAAAACAAGGTTATACGCTTCTGGAAAGACTATTATGGTTATACGGCGTATTTTTGTGATCTTGGCGTTAATTGAGGGCATACATTGCCGCCACTTGTATTAATAATAATAATATCAAAATTCAGATATTTTAATATGTAATCTTTCAAGCTCTAATACAATTTGTTGCTTATAATCTAATTTCAAACGTGCAAACAAATATGATAATCAAAAGTGTGCTCATTATCATCACTGGTGCCAATTGCAGCATTTTCAATTACCAACTAATAAAATAAAAATAGTTTAAAATCAATGCAAACATTCTAGCTAATGTGAGAAGTTCATGTAAAATTACATTAATTGTGGGTAAAGTACCTATATTTTGCTATCAAAGTGGCGACTTTTGACAATCGTCAAAACGTCCAAAGTCACCGCCAATTAAGTTAATAATTTTTTTATAACATTTCAGTTCGAAGGAACGTCTACCTGCTTGCTTGCTGCTCACTGCAGCACGTTTCGTTGACGTTGGAAGCCGGTGAAAAATTGACGAGTTTTAGTATTGCGTATATGGAGCGAATGCAAGCGCTGTATGTTTGCGTTAGCTTTGCGTGCTCCACACTGCACGTGCGCGGAGCCCAAAATTGCGGTCTTGGATGGTGCATGGCGATGAGGCGCACGCACAACGTCGGGCACGCGCACACCGCTTTTGTTTGTTTCTATGCGCAATACTAAAACTCTCTAATAAGGTACAATCCCATACCGGCTGCAGCACTACGTTGGGACAGTGGAGAATGTTGTTTGCGTTCAGAAATGACATTTCACGAGCCATGATCGCGAGCAGTTCCGCCGTGCCCGCTGAGCAGGAGAATCGGGGGACCCTCACTAGAGCGCTTCCTGTTTCCACCGCGGGAGGGCGAGCGTCGAGCTGGAGACGCGAATAGACCAACACGCAGCCCTGTTGTCACGCAGCTGCGGTGGCGCTGTTGACGGCACTGCGCATGCGCAGACGCTTCACTTCATGCACAGTGCCCACACCTTGTGTGGGCAAAAGCGGGCTTGTTTGTAAACAGCGTGTCGGTCTATAATTTCCCCGACCCCGAAGGAGCGAAGTAAAGCTGATGAATTTTCGGCTTCGGTCCCATTGGCTGGTGCGCGTCGACGAGGCTCTTATTGGCCGCTGCGCGTCAGTTTCGACGATCGCTCACCCGATGGCGCTGCGTGTCCGCGAGGCAGCAGCTCTGCTGTTTCACGCCCAAGGTCAGCGCGCCGTACGCCACAGACGAAAGAAGGGAGCGAAGAGCGGCGTGCGTGCTTTTGCATTCACAACTCATAAGAAGTGCTTAGGTTTATTTGTCTTGTGGTCTTCTTTTTTTCTGTGTATTTGTATTCTTTATTTAACTCTGCAGAGTTAGGTCACCACAAAAAACTGCAGGCTCATACCCGTAGGTTTGTGATGCCTTGCAAATCACTAAGAGTACAGCTATACGCACTATGTCGTGCACCTTGACCGGAAAAGGCTATACGCACAACGCAAAACTCTTATTGGTTACAATGAGTTTCCGAAGCGGTGAAGTAGCTTAGTGGTAAGGTGTATGCTTCATATGCAGCAGACCCCAGTTCAGTCCCCTGTGTGGGCTTACTTTATTTTTTTTTTTTTTTTTTTTTTCTGGAACATTTTTGTCTTTTGGCATTTGGCAATATTTACGACTTTGTTTTTTTACGATTAACACTGAAAAAAAAAAAAAAAAAGAATGTTGTCGACGAAATTTTGCTGAACTAAATGGTATGGGACTTCCTTTCCGGAGGTGCAGTCATGGTGCTTGGGTTGCTGGCTAGACACCGCGAAGCAGCGTGTATGAGAGGGGGGGGGGGGGGGGGGGGGGGGGGGGCTTAAGTGAGTTAATAGTTTTGTAATTAGCAGCTGCACACTACCGCCGCAAAGCGGCATGAATGCAGGCGGGGGCTGGCTTAGCACGCTCCCCAGTGATACACGCGCCGTCCGAAAAGGGTGACCCAAATGGCGTGAGCTCTCCACATCGTGCGTATAGCCCTTTCCGGTCGAGGTGAATGGCATAGTGCATATAGCTTTACTCAATGACTAATAGGTATGTATACATAGATACATATATATATATATATATATATACAAAGAAGAGAGAAGATTAGTGGAGGAATGGCGAAGAAAACACGTATCAGCTCGTTTGTCACACGAGCGCCAGTGCCGTTTGGATTAAGAATGACTTCCGGCTGCATTCAATCCTAGCTGTTTGTGGCAGAGTCATGACACTCGACCCTGGTTTACTCCTCAACATTCCAGTTCCACCTTCAACTCCAGTACTACCAGTCACTCCTGCAGGCATTTCGTCTGCATCCCACGGAACAGAACAAGGCGCTCGAGGAGCTTGTCATGTTCCTCGCGCAGGTATGGATGGATAAGGGACCATGCTAGGGGTGCCCTTTAGTTGTCCTGTGTCCAGCGCAGGCTTCCTTCCTTGGGTGACTCTTATCGTAGAGCCTCGAGTGTGCCTGCTCAGTTAAAACACAATAGATGGCAACGAGCATGGGTGCTGGAGGTGGGGCATCGGAAAGCGACGCCCTGTCTTTCTCATCCCCCCGGTGACGATGACCGTCACAACGATCCTCACTGGATCATGCTCAGTTGGCAAACCTCTGCCGAGGCCTAGAGCCATTTTCTGCCCCCATTAAATGTAAGCAATGAATGTGCCATCTTTTTATCGCAGTGTGACAAGAACAGTCGCTGCGTGCAAGAAGGGTGGTACTTTAATCGATTGGTGATGAACATGGGAAGTGGGGGGGGGGGAGGTTCGGCTTCTGCGAGCAATCATTGTCAACGGAAGTTGGTCTACTGACAGTATTGTATTCTTATGACATTGGTCCCAGTTAATATGAAGTAACACCTCTCCTTTGCAAAATCTCTGAAGGCTTTTTTTTCTTACTTTTTCTCAGCTTGGAACATTTGAGGATTTTGTCCAGAATATAGCGATTGTCGATAAAATTTGTGAAATAAAGTATTGTTTTATTTAATTTTTTTTACATAGAGGTCTGGTTGTGAAAGTTGTTCTGCAAACTGAAATTCAACTATGTCACAGAATCAAAGAATCATACAAAATACTAATGATGATTTTAAACGTTTTTGTGGGCTATCGAATTGGGTAAAAACAGTCTTGCAAAAACCTGGAAAAGAATGGGACTATGGCAGGCACTCTGAGTTATGTGCCAAATACACCTTGATTGCAGGTATCCTACTAGAACAATGAGCCAACTAACACTTGTGCGTGCTCCCTAATTGTGGTGAATAACCTATGCTGTTCTTCACGAATTTGTTTCAACACGGCTTTGTCGGCAGGTCAGCCAGTGCTTCGAAGAGGACATGAAGTTGTTTCCCCAAGAGATTATGGATCTCCTCAAGAACTACAGCACCCAACTTGATCCTGAAATGAGGATGGTAAGAAACCACTAGGTCTCTACGACTCGTGGAGAGCCTGAAGCTCTGTTTTCGGACATAGTGTGATATTTTGGATTGGGCGATAAGAATTGTGAAAGTTTCATTGCCCTTTGAACTCCTTGTGGCAAGAAACCGTAATCGTTCTGCTAATGCTTTCATACATGGCTCTCAACTTCAGTAGCGGTGCTCGGTCACGAGCAAAAGGCAAGAAGAGTTGCTCAAGCAGAGTAAACCTCTAAGATGCTGTTATTCACAGGAGTCTGGTGCTTGGAAATTAGCCCTCAGGAATTTCTGTCCAAGCTCCTGCAAGTTACTCTCAGAGGAGTTTGGAGAGAAACTCCTGTGACATTGTCAGAAGGTGTTTGTGCTTATCCATGCACTTGCTTTTTTTTTAGTCTGGTATAGTAATAAGTTTGTTTGAAATGGCAGGTAAAGGAGAGTTAATTGAATGGGGCCTATGCTGTGCTGCTTTTCTTTTTCTGCTAGGCTTTGTTGATATCCCTTTGAGCTGTGAGCAACATTACTTGATCGACTCAGTTGCAGAACTGCCCACATACACCGCTTCCACCCTCAGTACATCCTCACTCTCACAAAGAATAGCCTCCCATTATTTGAAGTGGCACGACAAAGGGCAGAAAAGGTGGCATTGCCTCCCCCCCCCCAGATATTTTAAAAATTTAATGTAAAGGATAGGAGGAGAGGGCGGAAAATCGCTCTCGCCCTCTTGCCACCACCATCGTCACCCTCCCATGTCTCGTACAGTCCCGACACCTCTCACTACGGCATGCTTTATAGAATACACAAGTTTTTAGATGGCACTTAGAATGACAGATGCTGGCCTCTCACTACGGCATGCTTTATAGAATACACAAGTTTTTAAGCATGGCTTCTAGATGGCACTTTCTTTACCATAGTATCTCCAAGGAATAGAGTTTTGCATCAAAGCCTCTAGATTGCACTTAGAATGACAGATGCTGGCCTCGGGAGGGAGAGAGGAGAAAGTTTTGCTTCTCCGCAAAAGTTGTGCTGCTGAGTTCATCCTGTAACATTAACTATGGGTCAGGAGTGTCCCTTTGGTAGAGCTTCCAGAGCTGAAGTGAGGCATCCTTCGCTGCCTGCAGACATTTTGCCGCGCCCTCATCCTGCTGCGGAATAAGGGGCTCTTGCAGCCGACAGACCTCCTCGAGTTGTTCTTCAGCCTTCTGAGGTGCCAGGACAAAGCGCTGAGGGCATTTCTCAAAAACCACATCATCATGGACATCAAGAACACCAATGCAAAGCGGAAGGATGCCAAGCTGAACACGGTGTGTTGCCTCAAGCTATTTTATGTCGGGTTTCAATCGTTACAGTGTGCTGTTTTAGAGTAGTGGGCTCTCAAAAGCAATTTTTAATAATGGTAGCCATGGTATGCATGCATTTCAGATTTCGATTAGAAAACAAACGGTAGAATTTCGATGGTACAATCACGGCTGATACAAATTTCGGGATGATACAGATTTTTTGAAACCCCAGAGGAAAAGCCTGATCTCTAAGGTGTTACATTTTGGGATAGTGCTAATGCCCTCTTGGGCTGCGGTGGATGATACGAACGAAAGCGCCAACCATCTCGATTTTAAAAATATCAAGGGACATTGAGGTAAACAACATTGCAGCGCTTCCCGCCAATCGGGTAGCTGTATTGGTATTTCAAGAAAGGGCACCTTGATATTTCATTCTACTAGCTCAGATCGCATTCCATAAAGCCATGAACGACCCCTTTGCGCAGCCGCAGTAATCACGGCCAGCCGCTGCTGTGTGAGAAACTGTGAATGCCACAGTAGCACGCGTAGAGAGCTAGGGCTAGGGTGTTCTACTCAAGCCCTAGCTGAGGTATCTTACCCACGTCTAGAGATAGGGTGGAAAAAACCCCTCGAAAACCGATCCAGGAGGCAGCGCAGTACCGGCGGTATTGCACTGCCTCTGGGATCGAAGCAGGCTTCTCATCCAGAGTCGTCTGTTTTCACCGAGTATGGATGCATATCTAATTACCTTTCGGGAGCCTGTTCTGGATGAATACAATTTTCGGATGATATAAATATTTATTGCGACCCTCAGATATTTTTATCATTGAGATTCTATGTGGTACATACTGATTGCTTCAACATAAAAAAGTTTGTACTATTCTTTATCATGGGTTGCTCCATATCAATAGTGCGGTACTTGCAGAAGACCATTACATTATGGGTGCGAACAGCACTAGAGTGGTACCGGCATTTTAGGTTCCAATGCACCGAGAAACTGGAGGAGAGAAGGAGACAAGAGCGTGGGGACGTTGGAACACCAGGCCCTGATTCAAATGATTAGGGGGTAGGCCTAATGCTAAGTGCCCTTGTCTCCACTGCATTCATAGAATGCATTCAAATGCGAAAGCCAAATGCCGGACGCTGGTGTTCTGCGTTTGACAAGTGCGGGGGAGACACTGCACTTGTCATTACTAATCATTCCCACTAATCATCCCAACCAGAGCTCGGCGTTCTGACGTCCTCGCGCGCTCTCGCCTCCTCCTCTCCCTCAGTTTCTAGGCGCATAGTAGTAAAGATAGCGACATAGTGAAAGTTTTTTTTTTCTTAGAAAGCCGACTTCACTCTATATTTGTTTATGTATTTATATTTGGTTGCGAAAATCCTGTACTAGAACTTCGTTACTTCCATTCTTTTGTGCATTGCACAATTCATGTAGTAGGTCGTCTACTGTTAGTAGTGCAAATGACATGACATTCCTCCCCTTTCTCTTTTGCCCTCCAGACTTTGCAAAACTTTATGTTTACCATGCTGAAGGACAACAACAAAGTTGCCGCCAAGACGTCGCTCGTAAGTAGATCTCGCAGCTGTGGCCCCTGATGCTTCTGTTTCCGTAGATTATGGGTTCCCAAACTGGGTTCCTAAGAACACCCCCCCCCCCCCCCCCCCCTTCCCCCCTCCAAAAACCCCCGGGGTTTTCCTGAGCTCCTAAATTTTCTTGGTCGTCCCTGCTCCCTAAGGGGTTCCGGTTCCTCTCGTGATATCTTATCTTGCGACCTCTTGTGATACTTAATGACGAGAGAGCTCTCTGATGCCATTTATGAGGTTGCCCTGGAACTGTATTTCACTAGAGCGAAGATTTTGCAGTGTTTGTGAGATCAAAGGTACTTACTATTCATGAGAAATGATTGTTTATAACATTGTCAAAAAGTTTTTCTAGCCAATAGTAAATGAATGATGCACAAAAGAAATGTAGGGAAATCTTGCATATTTTTCTATTCGATAGAGATCGCAAGAGGTTGAAGGTGCTCGGTTGTAAGCAGTCACAAGAGTGAACCAGTCTCAAGCCATCCATTGATGCATAGCTATGGGCATTATTCTTCAGTGTCGATAGGCTTCTGAAGTGCTTTATAACGATACGAAGCCACAGAAGCCACAAAAAATGTGTTTAATATTTTTTTCTATTTTTAATATTGAGTATGTGCCTTTAATGACCCACAACTTTGATTAAATTTGGTGGTTGAGTCTGAACCTTAGAAAACGGCCCATGGCCACGGGAAAGAAAGTGAGCGCGACTCAAACCGGCCTGTTCTCGATCGGCGGTTTTGGGGCAGAAAGAAACCGAATTTCGAGCCGCAAATTCTGTCCTGGGCAGTTGGGCTCTCATACGTCGCATACTACTAAAAGCTTGGCGAGCATAAATACCCTGTCAGTGTCCCTTTAAAGGACCTCAAAGGAGGGGGGGGGGGGTTGGCGGCGATCGCCCCCCTCCCCCTTTTCCATTCTTTCTAAATCTGTCCCCGAGTGCGAAACTGAGAATTTGCTTTGAAACTCGTGCATGTTTTTGTGGCAGGACGTTATGATTGCCCTGTACAAGAAGAACATCTGGAACGACGCCAAGACGGTGAATGCCATCACCACGGCATGCTTCCACAAGACAACAAAGGTCTGCTTTGATGCGAGCGGTGTCGCAATGTTTTCTTGACAAAACGGACGGTTTCCTTCAGATCATGGCGACGGCTCTCAGGTTTTTCTTGGGCAGTGACGACGCAGCGGAAGAAGAGGACTCTAGCAGTGAATCAGAGGTTTGTGGTTAACTAGCGCCGTGATATCACTACAGAGCCCCAGAACATTTTCTTCTTGGTAATACAGGTCACATGATCATAATTTTTAAGTTGCACAGCTTTGAGGAAAATGTAGAAACGACGTTAGGCCTGCCTTCAAAGTATCGATAGCAAAGTGATAGTTGTTCTTGGTCTTGAAGGCTTGACCTAATGGGCACGGTTTGAATGTGCTCTGGGGTTGGGACGTTTCGGGTTACCTGTCTTGGAGCACCCTAGATATAAGTACATTTTTTTTTGTGTCATTGTGAATTCCGGAAAACGTGTAGTCAGCTCTGTGATAGCATTGTTTGTGTAAGCTAAAATTTTGTGAGGGAGGGACTAATCACTGCCAAAAGTTTAGTGTAATGTTAGTAAATCAGCATAATTTAGCATTAAAGTTAGACAAAGAGTAAGAACATTAAAGAAACAAAAGATTGACATTCGCAGCTTTCGGGTGTTATTTTTTCAGTCTAAGCTTTACCTTCTCCTAAGCGCTCCCTGCTTCCTTTTTCATGAGGTCATGTTGACGGTTTATTCCAAAGCTTATATCACCAAGGCCGAGTTGGGCGCGCTGAACACCTATACTCCATTCACCCCTAAGCTGAGAGAGTGGTGGAAGCTATGTACTCGTTGGATCAGTCATATTGCTGCTTGCAGAGCTGAGAGGTGACATTACTCCCTTCTAGAAGATTCCCGTTTACTGTTACTCCGAGTGTTTGAAGCTCAAACATTCTAGGCCGAATGTTTGAGATGCTGAGCGTGTTAGATAAGGAGCCACACGTGGCTTTGACAAGAAACAGACTCGTGCAGCCAGCTGTCGCGCCGACACCTCTACGCTCGCTCCTGCTTTTCAGACGCTCGTTTGTTCTTTCATTCTGGCAAAAGCTCGCCGATTCAACCTCTTTTTTTTTCAGTTTTATGTTTGTCGACCCTTTTTCATCCGCGACAGTATGTTCATTCTTCGCCGCATGATCCTACCCCCCCTCATACCCACATGCAGAGAGCGGGGTCGGGTGATGGAAGGGAGGCGGTTGTGATTGGATCGGCGAGCGCATAGCTCCTACCGCACTGTCAGCTTAGCGGCGAACAAGGTATAGGACGAGCATGTTGACTGAAACTTTGTTTCCCTCTTTACTTCTCGCTCCTCCTTAGGAGGAGGGCCCCAGCATCAAGGAGATGATTATGGCGCACCGGGTGAACAAGAAGTCCCGCAAGCGCAAGCGGCTGCTTGACAGGAGCAAGCAGGCCAAGAAGGTTGGTCCGCCCGTCTTCGGTACCCGAACACGACTCGGTTTGTAGGAGCTGCGATGTAAACGAAGTAGGCCGACTTCTTCAACCAGACCCTACAAACGGCACTCAAAGGTCTTTCGAGCAACATAATTACTAAGCACATTTTCGGAGTACCAGGCTTTGCTCTTCCTGGCATGTTGTCTATTATCTCTAAATTTGATATAGCCGTTGAGAGAACAGCAGATGAAGGTTACGCCTAAACCAACGTTCAAATTTTCCCACACAGTATGGTGGGGTCATGTCACGTGTTGTAAAACTTGCAGGTTGAACAGGCAGTCTAAAAAAAACAATATTTTGTGCTTTCATTTTTCGTTTTGCTGGCATGAGCTTCACATTATCAAACGACTTGTGACTGGTCAGAAACAAGCTGTATGGCCCCCTTGTGACAATTGATGTTGCATTTTCGGTGTCTCCAGTAGAACCTCTCAAACCAAAATTTTAAAGAACCTTTGAAAACAAAAAGCAATTATTGGGATTTGTAATTTGGGTTACTACTTCCGATATGTCTATTAATCTGTTGAACCAATCTTGAGGAAAACGAGTGAACTGATAGGGTGAAAATTTTTGTTCTGGTGAAGAGTCACATTTGCAATGAAACATAACTAGGATTCCATGATTTCGGAGTTTATTTTTCGCGAAATTCGGAGGGTATTTTTCGGAGTTTACTTTTTGATAGATTTTCACATTCCTGAAATTCAAAGATTTTTTCATTGTGTTTACCATTTATGAAATTAAAAAAACTAAATAAATGAAGTTTGGGTGTCTTGACCCGTTGTCCTAAAGGAATCTTGACGAGCTAAAAGGCAAACCCTTTTTGTCAGTAAGTTCGAGATTTCAGGGGAAACTGTAGCGGCATCTCCTCAGGTCCACTGACCCTGTGACCTTGTAAAGTTTATCTAGAACACCGTCTTTTTTTTTCCTTTTCTTTTTTCGTTGTTACCTCAAACGTTAAAGTTGAGCTGACAAAAAACTTACCGCCTAGTTTTTTCCAGGTTTTTTCGGATTTATTCAAAAGCATGGAACCCTACACATAGCTAATAACATACAGCATCTACTAACAATAGGTGACGCAGGTACCAACAATAAGTTGCATATGTTAGCACTAGATACATGTACTAACAATGACTGCATGTGCTAACAGGTATTATATGTGCTAACAATGGAAATCATTGGTGATTCTACTTTTGTTGACTGGATTGTTTGTCCACACAGAAAGCAAAGAAGGACCACAAAGCTCAAGTGTTCAACTTCTCGGCATTGCACCTTATTCACGATCCTCAGTGTGAGCTGCTTTTCGTGTTTCTCTTTCCGGTTTAGCATTTTTATACGTCTAGCCATGCATTGAGAGGTACTGTTTTTCTAATCTAAGCTTCTGGGCCTTTTTGAACAAACGACGGCTAATTGACGTCTCTTTCCCACCCAGCCATGGCCGAAAAGCTGCTCAAGTTCCTCCAAGACATGAACGAGAAGTTTGAGGTGAAGTTGATGGTCATCAACCTCATCTCTCGCCTCATTGGCGTTCATGAGGTTCGTCGAACGCGTCTTATTAATGTTTGCCTTTAGCCAGCCCCTTTATCCGATTGGTTCTCGTACAAATGTCACGGCTTATTCTTTCTACAGCTTTTCGTCTTCAACTTCTACCCGTTCATACAGCGGTACATTCAGCCACATCAGAGAGGTATTGTCATTTTGCGCTCTATGTGCTTTGTTTCTAAATGGGGGGCTCTCTAAGCAGAGCACATTGTGCTATGATGTTTAATCTTGTAGTGTCACTTTCTGGTGGTACGTAATTTTGTTTTGTTAAGGCGACTTCTGTTTCGGTGTGCTGCTTCATTGCTATAGAACAGCGAATCTATGTCGTTCAACCTCGCTCTTTGCAGCAAAGACTGAGGTCTAGAAATTACTAACAAACCCTGTATTCAACGACTTTGAAAACGAGAAAGTTGCAGTTCCGAATGAAAAGAGGCCGAGCGAGGCCACTCAAAGGAGTGACCTCAAGCGGCGAGATTGAGGCGCCACTGCATAGTCTCGAAAAGTACAATGCGAGAAATATGATGGCGATCAATTAACTTTCTGCCCATAAAATAGTGTCTTTCATAAATAAATATTTGTCACAGAGCACGCTACAGTGTTACTGAAACCAAAGTTTGTATTCGGCGTGCGGAAAAAAAGCCTGGCACTCGGAAAAGTTAATCTCTTTTTTTTTTTTTTTCAGAGGTGACAAAGATCCTGCAGTATGCCGCTCAAGCGTCCCACGAACTTGTTCCTCCTGATGTAAGCCTTGACTGCTCATTTCACTTTGTTGTTTCCATGCCAGCACTTCCTGTCTTCAGTAATACCTGCGTGCCGTTATTTGTCGTACCGTCAGATCATGGAGCCCGTACTGATGACCATTGCCAACAACTTTGTCACGGAGCGCAACTCCGTCGAGGTCATGACAGTTGGGTGAGCTCGCGTTGGTTTTTACGTCTTGTTGCACGCTTGACGGTCGAAATGGGGGTCGTGTAAATTTTAGGAACGTGCACCTGGCGTTTGCGAAAGATGTGGTTTACGTTCCGATGTACCTTGGCAGGCTCAACTCCATCAGGGAACTATGCTCCCGCTGCCCCCTGGTGATGAGTGCCGACCTCCTTCATGACCTTGCACAGTACAAGTCATACAGGGACAAGAGTAAGCGGCGTGACCCCTGTGGTTGTGCAATTCGTGTCGTGCGACTGCTTGTCTGCCTTGTCATGTTACGGAGGGCCCCAATATTCGCGGGACAATGCTTCTTGGCTTCTTGATTGCTGTTTGATGTGCATGCGCAAGCATACTTCACTGAAGTGTAGGAGTGAATTTTAATACAGAAAAAAAATCTAATGCGTACTAGCACCCGTGCAAATTTATGTAAACCAAAGACATATCGTAGATGTAACGCGACACGAAGGCATACAAATCTGCACTAGTGCAAAAGCATGTAAGAGAGAACAAAGAAAGATAAAAAATATACCCAGACTAGGCTTTGCCTTTGCTCTTGTGAGGTATGAATGAGACTGTACCATGTCAAAGGCACCAGGTAGACAGTCATACTTCACTGGCAGACTGGCTTACTTCTGTATATACATGCATGCAGAAAATATTTTAATATGTCAAACTGAGTCATGTGGTCACAAAAAGTTTCCCACTTACCGTAGAATACCGTGCATCTGCCCCTTCCATATTAAGTGCCCATTACCAAATTTGTAAGATCTGAGAAAATATGCACAGTACATTTATGTGTAAAATTAATGACCGGACAAGCGCTTATTCCCCATTTTTTTTTTTTATCTCCAAAGTTTGAGTGGGCACTTGCTTGGTATTTTACGGTACATGTGGTGTGTGAACATTTTAATTTCGCCGTGCACTTGAACACAGCCCATGGGCCCATCGAAGTCTGTTTCAAATTAAATGCGGCATGCAACGTGAGAAATGAAAGAAAATTGTGCAAAAAGCCAAAAAACTTTAATGCCACCACCTTATCTTCTTGGTGTGCTTGTACAGTGTAGACCGCATATAACGTATGTCTCGGGGGTCGCGAAAATCCGCACTATAAGCGGTACCGCGCTATAACCAAAACATCAATTTTTCAGGCCAAAATTCATGCCATGAGACAACTTACCTTTGTAAAAGAATTTATTTTATGTTAGATGAAAAATAAAACTTAGTTTGAGGAAATTCTTTATTTCACCAGACTAGTACAGTTCTGTCTCAAGCGTGTCACACATTTTGAAAGAAATGAGCGGTTTTCGCCTGGCGCAGCCTTTTAACGGCGTCGCGGGTTGCGGACGGACGTTGCGAGCTCTCAGGATTGCTAACCCTAATCACTTTTCTCCGGAGATGAAAACGCGTGAAAATTCGCATCCTTCATGCGGTATGCGCCAGTAATACCTTGAACTTGAGCACACGCATGAAATGCGCCAATTAAGAAATCCGGGCGATGTTCGAGGACACAAATGCTTAGAAAGCACCACTGTAGTCGAAGTAAACAAACGCGACGACACGGATGTTTCTGCCGTCTTGAGAGTGCCACCACAACGTCGGCGCACAAGTAGGTGGATCTTCCCTTCTAGTACGTGCTGGGTTATCATAGCGACACACAACGAAAATTCAGTCAAGGATGGCGCTTTTACGCAGAACGGTGAGATGAACGCCGTCTACGACGACAATCACAACCGACGCCATGTTTGCGGAATAGCAGCAGCCAACCCGCGACCGGCATGCAACGCGCGCGAACACTTCTCCTCGACCTGCGATAGGTCTGTCGTTGCGGTTGTTTGTTTCTTTGTTTCGAACGCAGCGGAGGGACGCACCCACGTGAACGACTCGTACGTGCGTCCCTCCGTCGCGATGGCAACTGAAGCCTCTCTCTTCGCTTCTCCCCGCTTTTTCGAGCAACCTCCTTGCCCCGCAAGTGCGGCTTGCGGCTCGCGCCGTCAGCGCCGTTATCTAGTGTCGCACAGGGAAGCAAGCTCGCTGCTCCGGTCGTCGGCGCGGTCGGCGGGCTGTGCCAAAAACCGCACTATAACCGGTATTTCCCTTCGCGCGCCTGCATTTTAAGCGGTATGTAATTACATGGAGTTCTATGGGAGGTGAACCGGTGGTTTAAAAAAACCGCGTTATACCCGGTCCTGCACTATAAGCGGTTACGTTGTAAGTGGTCTATACTGTACTTGTTTTGTACAAGTAGCCGGCATCATAGAACGGTGGTTATACCATCGACCCTCTGTTGTTCTCGTATACAAACACACCAAGACTTCTACACTCTATTAAGATTACTATGTAAGCCTCTTTAACATTGACTAAATGTTGTTTCTGTCCTCTCAGATGTGTCCATGGCTGCTAAGTCACTGATTCAGCTCTTCCGGACCGTCAACCCTGACCTCCTGGCTCGGAAGTTCAGGGTGAGTTTGATCTGTCCAGTCTTATTTCGTATTTGTAAAGAATGATTGGTCAAGTCACCAGTGATTAGGTCACAGTCTGGTCGATGGCATGTAAACGTACACCCTTTCATAGGGTATCCTTTCATGATCCCACTTTGTAATGTGCATGACACAGATAAGGCTATACTGCTTCAACATGATAATCTTGAATGCGCATAATCATGTAAACATCAATGTCTACCTATCAACGTATATTCCAATTAACATTCGACTATGTCATCGCAACCAGACTTTTCATGTGTCAAGTGCGCAATGAGATTGGTGCTGTCATAACAGGGTGACCAACCCGTGCCGACAGGTGACTAAAGACAGGTTCACACACTTGCGACTGCTTACAGCCGAGCACATTATGACCTCTTGTGATAGGTTGCGACGAGAGGACGCGCTTGCGCCACCTAACAGGTGGCAATACAACTGCATTTCACTAGAGCGGAGGTTTAGCAGTATTTGCCAGATCACATGTACATACTATCTATTTAAACGGTTGCTTATAACATTGTCAAAAGTCTTTAAGCCAACAGAAACAGAGAGAACAGGGGGTTGTAACGCGTTCAGTCATAAACAGTCGCAAGTCCGTGGACGAGCCTTAAAAGTACTCTACCGTTGCAGTCTGATCGCCGATGTGTTCGACGGCAGAGATACCGACGGGCCTGTTTTCGGCTCTTTCGTGACTTTTCTTGCGCGATTTTATGCCGAAAGATGCTCACGACATGCCTGTGATTCCTCTCGCAGGGAAAGCCCACGGAAGAGACGCAAGAGCTCCAAGTGCGGCAGTACGGAGAGCTGAAGGCACCCGGTTTCGTGCCCGGTGCCGAAATCTTGGACGTCGACAAAGAGGATGGTGAGAACCGACCCATTTACAAACTCGTGGGCACCAGCTTTCTGCATTGGCACTGGCATTTGTCTTTCTGTACGCACGTCACATATTGAGGCATTGTGCGTATTCTTTATTTCTTGGCAGACACGCACTCCCTGTCGAGATTAGACTGAACCCAATATTACTTCGTAAACCGTAACATTTTATTTTGAAGCTTGGGGATTTATTCGTATTGTCGCGAATGGAATTGGCTCGACGAACGTAAACTGAAAATAAAGGTTTAAGCGGCGAAATTGCGCCAAGAACAAAAGAAAGAATGAGCATCGAAACAGCAGAAGCGAACATCGCGGTGTCGGTATGTCAGCTGGCTAGCGCGAGAGCGATGAGAGAGAATCAGCGAGGCCACACTCGGTTCCTCATCTACTATGCACTCAGTATCTCAAATATACGACCTAGAATCTGCGAAAGCGAGCTGAGACGCATCTGACACGGCAAGTTCATGTCCTTGTCTTTTACACTCTGGGTAAGAGTAAATTCGGATCTTTTAGAAGTACAAAGAAGCGTTTTTTGTCGGTCATGCACGTGACAGTATATACAAAAGTGGTGGGAATGGCAAACTTTCCGGCAAAGTGGAACTCTGTTTTTTTCTTCACTCTACGGTTATATCGAAATAGTGGCTACACTGAAGCGATCACGATTTCCCATTCCCTTTTGCACTTCGTTAACCAAAGTCCGTTATAACGAAATGGCGGATATAGCGAAAGTGATTTCCGATTCTCGTTGACTTCGTTATAACCGGTCTCAACTGTAGTGCATAACATAAAACCCAGGAGAGGATGGCCTTAGTTGCAGAGCCTGATGCATGTATAATGAGCACTGGAACTACACACGGCTTGCACACGACGTCATCGCACCGTGCTCCTGCCGAAAAAAACAATCGTAATGTATAAAACCCGAGACTGTGGTCAAAGCAGGGAAACTTGGTCGAAGAAGAAAGACAGGGGAAAAGAACGTTCTTTTCCCGTCTTTCTTCTTCGACCAAGTTTCCCCGCTGCGCTTTTACCACAGTCTCGGGTTTTTACATTGTGATCAATATCCACCAGCTCGCCTGCACACTCACTCTTTTTTCATTGAGAAAAACAAATTCAGTGGTGTGAAGCACAGGCTGCAGGCGGGTATGCACTCGGCAGCCAGGCCACCAGAACGGTTGCTGATGTCACTCCAATGCAAGCTGTGTCGAACGTAACACATGCAACGCCTAAGGACAGCATGGCGGTGAACTGCGTTTAGCTCTGCCCATTGGCTGATGCTACTATTGAGCGAAATGTTTTAGTAGGGCAAGGCAGTCTTGGGGGGTTATACTTGCTAATTCAACAGAGGGCATCTGGCACGCCTCAGCAAAGAATCGAGGATTCATTTTGACCACCTGGGGATCTTTTGACGTGAAACCTTCTCCACAAAAGCATCTGTTAGATTGCGGGCACCTTGACTGAGTTATGAACCCTCCACCCGGCGATCTGTAGGCCGGCGCTGTGCCTCAGAGCAACCGGAGTAACGGTTTCAGTAGGAGGCGACTGCTGTGAAGCGGATCACAAGTTGCGCCGCGTGAACTGTTCTGGGTGTCGTGCTTAATTTTGACAGCCGGCGAGGAAGAGGAGGAGGATGAGGATGATGATGACTCTGACGGGTGGGTGGACGTGCACCATTCGGACGACGAACCGTCTGCGCCAGGCGATCAAGGTGACAGCGACGACGAAGATGACGAAAAGGAGGGAGGCAGCAGCGAAAAGTCGGGAGAAAACGTAAGTGTTACGCGCAATGGACTTTTAGACTGAAAAACAAAACTCTAAACCCTTTTGGTGTTTGCACTCGGATAAAAACCCGGGAGCACATCTTCTTGCCGCATATTACGGAATAGCACTTTTCCATGGTGTGTTGGCTTCTCGGAATATTGCGGCACATTGTCTTCCCTCACTTTGGTTACCTGTGGCACCTGCCTTTTTTAATTAAAGATATACTTTCACAAGCGACGTGGTTGAACTTAAGGAAAACGCTGGCTAAAGATTTAACTTCTGAACTACCAAAGTGATCGGAATGAAATTTGCAGGGGAGATTTAACACCAGATATATGTGCATTGTGCATACTTTCAGGTCTCTAGGGCAATTTAATATACCTGCATAAGAATGTCACTCTTCGTTGAGAAATCTACGATATGCAAATGAAGCGATTAAGCACCATTTTGACTGCTTGAATATAAAGTGGGGGATGTGGGACTTGAGGCTATCTAGTTTTTATTACTCAAATGTGAATATTTCAGGAAGAGTTATTACCTCAAAATATGAAATGCACATCTGTCCCATGTCAATTTTTGAAAACTGTAGGAAATCGTGTACCGCCGCCGATTCGCCATTTCCCACGTGGTCCGTCAACAAACCGAGTCCAGCCTGGTTCTTTCACGGGAGCGGGATTCCGCTCTCCGTTTATTGGTACAATAAAACACAACACTACAAAACACTCAATCTAAACTACAACTACACGCGACATTACACAAATATTTACAAACACACGTTAAGCCCAAAGCTAAACACAAAGAGGGCCCCCAGGCCTCGTGTTCCACGATATACTAGATACGGTCGCCGCCCACCTGTTCGCGTCTCGGTCTCGTCTGAAGTTCTAAGAGGCCTTTCGCCCCCTGGCCCACCGAGTATATATCAATCGATGGGCGAGAAGGTTTCTCCTCGCCCGCCACGGGGTGTCTGCAGCGTCATCCAGTGGCTAGGAGAGAAAGCAGCACGTCGGGAGCCGAATTCGAGATCTCGATCGATCCCGCGACGACATGACCATGTGATCGTGTCTGAGGCAAGGCAGCTCTATAGCTGCCTCGCGGCCAAGATTGGCAGAATGGTTTGATGGGCACCCTCGTGAATGCACGGTGCGCCTTAAAACATAGTTTTTTCTCAATGAGGACTTCAACTTAAAACATAATAAAGTAGAGAGCGAAATTCCCCAGTAAATTTCAGTTCAGAAACATTTTGATTGTAGTATCAGAATACTTTCACCTTTCAACAAAAGATTCCTTCGTATGAAATTTGCAGCAAAAAGTTTAACAGAGAAAAATGCATTCAAACTTTGAACTCCTTTACTTTGTTACTGCCTCACAATGTGTTGAAAATATTTTATATCAACTTGACTATTGGGCATATGGTTATATAATTTAGTGTAAGGGTGTACGGTTAGTTTATAAAATCAAAAATGTCCAATTTGAAAAAAAAAATTTTCAAAAACATTTAAAATTTAGTAGGCTTATGCCCCCTTTTAATGAAACCCCCCAAAATATATCTCTGGCTCTGAGTGTAGCACAGGGATGTGGAACGCTCAACTACGGTGTGTGCGAAAGTGTTTATGAAAGCGAAAAGTGAAAGCGTAAACACGACATATGCCTTTGTTTCGGTTTTTGTTCAAAGAATGCATTGACAACCGCACGATTTATTAATTGATCAAGGCTCCGAATGAGGGCTCTCCACCCTACTAGAAATCTTTATGTCAGCCGTTCAATTCCAAGAAGAGAACAGTAAAAATTGAAGATGGCTTGTTTGTGCTAGCAGTGCCTTGTTATGTACCTACCCTTCCTTCACCTGTAAACCCAGCGGAGCGAGTCTGACGTTGGGGAGTTTTCACGCCCAAACTGGCAAAAGTTGAGGGCACAAAGTTTGAGCCGAAATGCATGGAGATTTGTGTATGGCCTTGTGTCGTGTTTGAAGAGAGCGGTGTTTGTTCACTGCTAAGTTGGATAATCGACCTTATGGTAGTATTTCACGATACATGCACAGCAAGTGGCCAGGGAAGTGCACTTTTTTTAGTTTTCCCTGGGGGCACGTATTAATCTGATTTAAAAATGTGATTTATACAAGTTTTTTTTTAGGTCAAAATTTTGTTTTATTTTGACTGCATGTTATAGTATTTTATACTTTCAGAAAATTTTTTGTTCCAGTGAAATGCAGCTGAGCATTCTATTCATCTAGTATTTCTTTTACAATCGACCACCCAAGTCTGAGAGCCACAGGCTCCAAAGAGGACAAGTAGGGTAGGGCGGTGGCTCGACCGTTCCCTCTCGGTTGTTTTCTCTTTATTGAAAGTGATCTCCCAACGTGAGTCCCATCACTTCATTTTGTTTTTAACGGCACTTCGTTTTATTTTTAACAATTACAGTCGTCATGGTTCAGTCTCAGAATTTTATGAGCAGGCGGGTTTGCTTATGTTTTAACTTGGATGCAGGGTAGAGTTCTGTCCAACCTTTGTCGTGGTCACGTAAACCTGGACTAATCATTACAGATACATTACATTACTCTGTGTTTCTGGACACCCATTCAGGCATCGCAACACCAAGGAGTTCGCTGAATGTAGCTTCAAAACAGATGCTCTTAAAAGGGAAACTGAAGCTGTTCTGTATTTGAAAAAAAAAAAAAAAAAATTGTCTTTGTTCTCCATAATTACAAATATCAAAATTGTATTTCAATTGATGCGCGAAGTAGCCACAACAGGGCTTTCAGAATAGCGCCAAAACCCCTCCTTCCCCTCGCGTTCGGTGCGAGGAGGGAATCGTGACATGTTATACAAAGATGTTAACATTTTCGTGCTTTCTGCAAACCTTACCCAAGCGGTCAGAAGTGCTGCACATCCTCCCTCACAAGTTGCACGTGCGAGGCAGCTGAAACCTTTGGCTACGACGTCGCACCCAGCGGTTGGTCCTTCGGTTTTCCTCGGGTCTATCGATACGTTCGGGTCAAATGCTCGTGATATTCAAATTCATATACTAATTCATTCGATTTTGTTAATCGTGTGTTTTGGTGCCGTGTTGGCGCTTACTTTTCTACGCTGTTACTTTCTGCTCTTTTGTGTTTTCAATGTATTTAAAGGCACTGTCCAATGCTAGACAGTGTGCAAGCTTTTTGTTTTTTTTAATGTGTTTTAATGTATTTTTCATCTAATTTTTTTATGTCTCCACCAAAAGAACATAGTGTTCTGAAATAAAAAATTGCCTTCCTGCACAGGGCGGCAAGCCGGACAAAGTGCTCAGCCTGCAGGAGCGGACGCAGAAAGCCACCCTGGTGTCGGAGACGCGCATTCTGAGTCAGCAAGAGTTTGCCAAGGTCAGGGCAGCCCAGCTGTCAAAGAAAGTCAAGGCCGCCCTGCCACAGAGGTTCGCCAAGAAGGGTTCCACCACGGCAGCCGCGGAGGTCGACACGACGGCGATCGGGGAGAGGTACGCCCATTTCGCGTCTCTAATCCAGGGTTTGTCAAACTTTTCAATCTCGAGGGACGCCCTCCTCTCAAACGGCAGCCAAGGAACCCCTCGTGGCCTTGATGTAATGATGCGCTGCAGAAACCTACAGAACAGGGCACATACCGCAATATTCCTAAACATTCAATATACCAAATTTTTCATATCTCAAATTATTTTACGATCCCCTTTGAATTCAATATATCCGGGTTCGACACTCTCTCTCCAAACAATGTACCCTCACAAAACAAATGTTGCATCAATTTTTTGGTGGGGGGAGGAGGGGGAGGGGCAAGTGCAGTTTGCGACATGTTTCATATCGAGGCAGAGAGAAATGTTTTTGGAGGGTCGAGGGTCATGTTAAGGTGGCTGTGGATGGAGACTGCCGTGACAGCATGTGTTGGTTAGGAAAAGGAAGGCAGTGGTATTCTGCTTCGAGGTTTTGGGGCGGGGTTTCTACACTCGCCCATTTCGGATGTTTGAGGGGGAGCGAGGTGGGGTTATCTCCCTTCATTATTAAGGGTGGTGAAACTAGTATTCATTGCACCGCTTGGCGAGCATTCCACAAGAGAGCATCTTTCCGTCCGCAGAAAGGAGCTTGTTTCGTTGAAGGACATCGAGAAGCTTTCCAAAAACCCAAGGAGCACCAAGGAATCTCGCCTTGCCACCGTGTTGGTAAGTGCTCCGAAAAGACAAAATTTGTTTGCATAGATGTTTTTTATGGTAGGAAGTCAATGGCACTTTACGTCCTCCACGGTGAAGCAGTTTCGCCAGTGTGACACAACCGCCGACAAATTTTTGGGTGTTTCACCACACCGTGTACGTACAATAAATCTGGTTAGACATTTTGGAGGCGGAAAGGGCGATTTCTGATTGCTTTACTTGACGGACCGCGTCGAATCAGAGCGGTTCCTCTTTTGTACCGTAACGCGTTTCCAGAGGCAGCTTTGGGAGAAGTGCCTTGTTTGTGACCGCTTTTGTAACGTTGCTTGTGGCCGTGCAGGAGGGAAGGGAAGGGCGCGAGAAGTACGGCTACCGTCAGAAGAAGGGCGAGTTTGCTAGCCGCACCAACAAGGAAAAGCGCAAGACCAAGGCGTTCGGCATGATCAAGCACAAGGTGAAGAGGAAGGTGAAGCGATCCTTCAGGGACAAACAGGCAAGTCACTCCGCTGCACTTTGGAGCGCTACGACGCTTAGTGGAGCAAGGGCGCCGGAGACGCATTCCAGGCACCATAGTGGAGCGATGCATCTGTGCTCTGTCTCATGATTGGTGTACCACGCTGTCAAAGCTGGTGGCGTGAGCATGCGGCTTGATCTGGCGGTTCATTTGAGCGTGTGCTTTCGTGCAAAGGAGGTGCTCAATGGTATGTGGGGTACACCGATAGTGTACGCTGACTTGCGTACATAAAGTACACTGATTTATGTCTCTATTTCTTTTACGTGAGCAGCGAGACTGGCCTGAACCCATAATTCCAACGGTGTGACGCTTGGTACGGTAGTGTTATCGAGGGTTGTGTATATAAAGATTTTTTGGGGACTTAATTGACAAGAAATGCCATTAGAATAATTTGAAATATTGAATCAAATAATTTCTGCAAAATGTGAAAGCTGTAATACAGTGCAACCCACTTACATCGATACCACATATAACAATGTACCGCTTATAACAATCAGTATCTAGAGTTTCTAGACTGGAAATGGTCAGTTTTCTAGTCCAGATAAAACAATAATCGGTTATACCGATTGAAATTTTGGGTTTTCTTATTATCGTTATAAGTGGGTTGCATTGTATTAGAAAAAGATAAAATCCTTGAAGGAGCTGTGCAACAGTTTCAGTGCTTTGCTTAAATAATTTGGGAATCGGTGTCTCGACCTTTCTGAAGTAAAGAACAAGAAACCGCTTTGGCCTGCATGCCCTAGTTTTTATTTTAAAAATGGACAAAGATTGAGGTTTTCGGCACCTCTCAACTCCTTCACCATCTTCCGAGTCACGTGCGCTGCGACATCAGTGGCGGTTGCACGGGGTTCCAATGAAGCTCTCTCTCTAGAGCCATCAGTGAGCGGCGAGAACTCATCCGCTCGCGACCGCGTGACCACGTGCTGGCGGCACATTGCGAACAATATGGTGAAAAAAGGAAAGTCTCATCCGGGTCCGGACATACCCGTCCGGCTCTGTCCCCTTCTCCCTCCGGCTTCTGGCGACTTCGCGGTAGCAGGGAGAGCTGACGGTTTTGTGGACCTAGGATAGATGGCGCCACTAAAACTGTATAATAAAAGTTTTGCCGATGATACCAGGTTTTTGAAGCATTTATGTTGGAACGACAAGATTTATAGAAAAGTTACTTGTTATCGAGCAGGTATTCGCACAACTTGCTATCTTCCTACAAGACCCCCATTGACGTCACGCCGCGTGTTTCTCATGGCCGCCGGTCACGGCTCCAGGTCGGGGAATATTCTAATTTGTGCCTTGCGATTACGCGGCGGAATCGCAACATTTTGAAGGAAGGAGGTGTTTTCTGTCCTTTGTGTCAAGGTGAACAATGTCAAAAGTAGAAGATGCCAATTCTTTCAATGTTAAAATCGTTGCACAGCTCCTTTAATATGGCTGTCATTTTTTTTCCTTTTTTTTTTATGAAACACGACATTGTAGGTATCCACTTTACAAGTTGATAGAATATGTAGGAGTTTGATATTCGGCATGTAACTATAAAGATCACCGCAATCTAAATTGAAAAATCGCATCGCTACACTATCTTTGTTTTGCATATGTAGACTTCACAAACACAAACTGTGACTTTTTATGTTTGCGGGGCAATGGAGACTGCAACACTTTCATAAAAGCTGTGGTGCAGCTTTTGCTTTTTAAAATAAAACAGAAATTCAACATGGACAAGAAAAATTCTGAAGACACCTAAACACTTCCTATGAGTTGTGAATGGAAAAGCATGAACGTCGTTTTTCCGTTCCCTTAGTTCGTCTGCAGCGTACTGGCGTGTATGACCACGCTTCGCTACTGTCGAGGTAGTGGCCGACGGTCGAGCGCGTGCTCTCGTGAAGTGGCCGCGCCGCGCTGAGTTCGACCGTGCAGCCTTTCCAGAGTTTGCCCGTGCGGGCTCTGCGGCCAGACGCTCCCCCTTACCGACGGCCAGGCCGCTGCGTGCACTGCGCCGTTATGGAGAGGGCTTTGCTGATGCGGTTCCTTGGAACTGCGCCGTGCGAGAGCCAATGGGAGCCTCGTCCCTTGAAATTATGACGTGCGCCAGCCAATGGGAGCCTATCCATCAGATTTCTGCCATAGACGACAGGCTTCGCTCCATTGAGACAGAGGAAGGTGCCGTTTGTTGCGGCTTCAAAAGATGACGTAGGTTCGCTCCATGGGACAGTTAATGCTTTCGCATGAATAAATAAACAGTTTTTGGCTTTAAACGTGCATACCCTGACGTGACCCAGCTGAGAGCGCTCTTGCATGTCTGTGCCCCTGTGCTGCAAGTAAAGCAATATCGACATAGAAACAAAAAAAAACAAAAAAAAAATTTAAGGGTTTAAAGGGCAACTCCGCTTCATTCTTGGTTTTGAAAAAACAGTGCAGTCCTCTTCAGTATCGCCTAGGAAGACCACCCGTGAAATGTTACGACGCAGTTCTGTCTGAATGTTTCTTAAACGGTCCGGCAAACTTTGCAACTCGCCAAGTTGCCGAAATCGGCTGACTTGAGCGGGCGAATTCAGGCGCAACCAACAGCGCAGTCAAGGCTACGGCATGGGCGGAGCCAACATTGCGCATGACGTCAGCAACGTTGCCCCTCGGCGCTCAGCGGTGTCCACGTGATTGGTGTAACGCGCCTGCGCAGCGCGTTTCTTGGGAGCCGTCCGGCCGCCCGCCGTGGTCCCGCCGTTACTGCCGTCTTCCGCTTCACAACCCCCATCGTCGTCTCACCGATTGTGATTATTGTCTCTCGGAGTTTCGTCCACACTGTGGACACCACGTGCGCAGACTTATGCCGCAGTTGTGCAGACGTCGTTGAATGCCGTAGACACCAAAACGTGGCGAAGAGTGCGGTGCAGACGACACTCGCGCCTGCCACACGCCCGCCCCGCCCGTCGTTGGGCCGAGGATCACGTGACATCTCGTACCACGTGATGGCCATGTACTTGGCGACCCGAGGCCAATGTTGCCGGGCGGAGCCGAAGTTTCGGTTTCGATTTCCGCTCGTGTTTAAAATTAGATTTAGAAATATATATCCCATTTTTCGCGAAGCAAACGACGTAGTGTGTTTTACTAGGGCTTTTTAATTCGAAATCAATCATTATCCCGAAATCTTCGGAGTTGAGCGGAGTTGCCCTTTAAATGTCACATTTTTTTCCCCTTAATATTTCTTGAAAAAAGTATTTTTTACGCAATATTTACAACATTAGGCACAATATAGGTGGAGTTCACCACGTACACTACGCCTCACCCAGACAATGGTGGCCCTACCCATTACTACTGGATTGGATTGGCTGCTCGGCTAATTGTGTTCCCAAGTCTAGCGTCTCCCTGTCGCGACGTCCAGTGCGTTCTAGTCTGCCATCTACACCATCTGCTAGTCATGCAAGCAGATGCGCAGCAGTGTATGGCATAGTCTGTTACTAGAACACATTCTGTGTGTTCTAGTAACACATTTCGTGGCGCCCGTAAGACGCCTAGAAAGCGGCGCGTCCGCACTTGCCGTCGCTTGCTTCAGTCTGCTATTCCGCCCCTGCCCAAGTCCATCTGCGATGATTGCCAGATGCGACCATCATGCACAAGTTGCGGTCTAATACAGCGCCCGTCAATTTGCGCTAAAAAAGAACCAAACTAAAAAAAAAAAATCCACAAAATAAATATACGGTCTTTTCAGCTTTTTTGTTCTCGTTTTCTTGCATGGCGTCTGTGAGCAAGGTGGGGGAGTGTCATAACAAACTAAAACACTACTTAAAAATATTCGCTTTAGCGAGTTGGGTGCACTGCTCAATATCCGAGAGGGAAGTGCCTTCCGAAGCAAACTACAGAAACATACCTGGACAAATTTGACGCGAGGTGCACCCGATTTCTTCCTGCCAAATGGCTCGCAAATTCTTACCTGTGTAAGCTACCCCTCAGTACTGAAACAACGGTCGCAATCATGACAGCTGCACGATTCTCAGACTAACGGAGCCACTCTTACGGAAACCGACAGATTTATTCGGCATCGAAACGCGCAGACAAACAAATCAAGCCAGATCGAGCGAAATAGTCAAGGTGGGATGCTAGGCTTCAGCCAGAACCGCTACGAAAACAAGCACGCGCACAGCACTTCTGATGGCGTGTACTTGCGACGGTTGTTTCCTGCCAACTACGTTGGTTGAGAATATCTTCCGCCAAACACCTTGGTGAACGCGAAACGACTTGCACTCCTAAAAACAGGCGAGCTCAACGAGCTATACGGAGTGTGTCAAACGCTGGCAGCAAATGCCGGCAGCCACGTCCGTTATCGTTTGAGACCAAAATGGAAAAGTCTATCTCGTGATATGTTTGAAAATAATAACTGCCGTAGAACACCGCGCATCCGCCCATTCCACATTAAGTGCCCATTCCCAAATCTGCAAGATCTGAGAAAATACACGCAGTACATTTATATGTAAAATTAATGACCGGACAAGCGCCCATCCCCCATTTTTTGCTATTATCTCCAAAGTTTGAGTGGCGCTTGCTTGGTATTTTACGGTAGGTACATATGTAGTTTGTTTTTCAAACATAAAAAAAAAAAAAGGTGAATGAAAGATTATTGCAGCATGGAGAAACAGTTCTACAGTCATTCCACACATCAATCACATCTCTGACCACTGAGAGCCGAGAAATCGAGCGTAGCCAGCTACGTTCATGGGTCGGGGCCTATAGTGGGCTAACTCCATTTAAATTGCATCTAAAAACAATAGTACGCAATTTTTGTGAAAAAAAATAACATGTTTTTAAAATAAGTTTTAAGAAAATGTTGTTCTCATTTTGTGTCTTTTTAAGCGCCGGCAGATAGCGCTTTGCAGCAGTCTACGCATGCCACGGGCAAAGCACTAAACTAGCTAAACCATACTGTTTAGCGAATTTCTAAGTGTACTATAATGCCGAAATTAATAGGAATATACATACCATCTGAAGTTTTGTAATGTACTACTCAGTTTGAAGATCAGGTAAAATACACAACAAATTAGAAAGTTAAGAATGTGTGCACATGGCCAGTGGTTAAGTTCGCACACGATGAACTCACATTCTATATGATGCTTTTTGTGCAAGGTGTGTCATCGTATGCATTGTGTAAGTTATGGCCGGTCGAAGCGTGCCACAGACCCGTATACTATAACGTGAATTCCATTGCGGATATGCACTCATTTGACCGAGCAAATTAGGCACGTGTGCCACCAACGGAAACTATGGCAAGCGCTCACACTTTCAATGACCGCTCCTCTCTTACAGATTGCCCTGAGGGACGCACTGCTGAAACAGAAGAAAAGGAGGAAGTGAAGGAACCACTGGAGAAGGGGGTGTTACATCTCTGTGGCTTTTCTTTTATTACAACTTGAAACGCTTACAAGTGACTTGTGTTTGGGCAGTTGTGAGCCTAGTCAAACCGGGATCTGTGAACAGCGAAGAATCCAAGGGAGAGAATACGTCTGAACTCGCGTCGTAACGACAAGATGCTGTAGTTGCTGACGGCTCAGGAAACGCGGGGCGTGGCTTATCTTATCCCCGTTTCTTGCTTTGTGATTGGTTCTTCGACGCTCTTATCAACGGACGTCGCAATCTCATTGGCCGAGGAGCTATGATAAGATGCTGGGGACCCTCCACACCCCATGTTTCTTAAGTTGTCGGCGACCATAGACCAGAGGAAATAATTGCGTCTGCCCCTGTGCCAACGGGGTGAGGTGCGGCAAGGGTGCATTACAGACACGCCGGCCGATTGGCAAGTGTAATTTCGTTATTTCGGAGAACGCCGACCGATCGGCAAGCTTCCCGCCCTATTTTACGAGGTGTAGCGTGCCATAACGGGACGATGAGCTGCACAAGACTAACACAGAAGAAACTTGGTAGTAAGTGGACTCTTAAGACAACTGCCCGAGTGCCTTTGTTACACCGTTGTTACCAGCTAATCTGGGCCCTTCCTATTTGAACCTGGCTGGTCGCGAGCGACCTTGAGTGCCTGGAAGGCACGACGCCTTGTAGCTTGGTTTGACTGCCCATTTCCTACAGACTTTTACGACGGCGGACATGGACACTGAGGTCGAAAGCTACCAATTTCTTTGTTGGGGAAAACAATGCAGAGCACATTCAATTGGGACCAAAACTGACTTCATTCTGAGATGCTCGCAATGAAGTGACCACCGTAAAAGTTTGCGGCACACGTCTCCTTTCGCAACGTTTCACGAGATTCCGTCCCGCAGAACCGTTGCAGCCGTCCCAGCTAATTGTAAATTAGCTTATACTGATCCAGTACTATATTCTGTACTAATAGCTATACACCGACCGCATTACTGACTGAGAATCGTCAGGGAACGTATGTTCCAAGACATTACATGAAACTAGCACTAGTACATTAAGAGTGTGGCAACCACCCTACCGTGTACCCGATTAATAAATGCAGTTCAGTTAGATGGCAGTAAGGGTCAGTGAAAATGTCTCGTGCCTCCAAGTTTGAATTTTTAATCTCGGAAAAAAAACGAAGCAAAACTTGTTCCACTTGAAGAACCCTCTTCAAAGCTGTCCATCGTAGAAGAATCGGTGCAGCTTTGACGCTAGAGTTTCGGCGGTGGGATAGAGCTTTAATTAATCCTAGTTGGCACATATCGTCGCAAATGTTTTTCTTGGGCGACCCACGATGGCTGAGCATGCAGTTGTCATATGTAAACATCCACCAACACTGCTTACCGCAAGGTGACTACATGCATGGCTTACATTGAAAAAACACTGAGATAGTTGTATTCTGTGACAGGCAAAATAGAATTTGAAGATGCGAACAAGAGAAGACAGGTAAGGGTGCTATTGCAATTGGCGCTTTCATCGTGACAACAATGTACAGAGTGCAGCACAGTCAGTCCAAATGCAAAATAGCCAGCTTTCCCAAGTGACTAAAGGAAGGCTGCCAGCAGAACTGCCACTGTAGTGGGCTCGTGCGAGTAAAGTGCAACAAAGTGCCGCCGTCACATTCAGGCTAAAGGTATTGAAGAACATACAGCGCATACCTCTTCATAACAGCCCAACCTATGCAACACTACCATCATAACCAATTTATACAGAATATGGGTACACTTGCGACTAACTACTGGTTAGCTAACACACTTTGCATAACAGAAGGGTCTGTTGCTAAAAGGGGGCCTTCAGTCTTGAACAAATCTTTGAGAATGGGTGCTGTTGCTAAATGCTTCCTCCAAATTAAGGTTGCATCGCATAGTGGCAAGTTTGATTCCATTGGTAGGCCCCTCCAATCACTGATCGTAGCTGCAAATTATTGAAGTTGATTTGTTTCTCGAGTGCAGAGACAAAAGTGTACACTGACAACATATCTTAATATCCACTTCCTAATCACATCCTACAGCCACGAGTTGTAAAACTTGCAAGTATTAGAAAAAAATATCTCTTCTACTTTACACCGCTATAACAATTGGCATCACATATGACAGTGAAACCTATTGCCTTTAACCGTCCTTACAAGCACCGTACAATGTTTTGCTTTATGCAATAGTATTTTTTTTTGTTCTGTTCACAATATGCAAGAAATATCTCTTTTTAAGAGCCCATCTTGACAGCAAGTTCTAGCATTGTACTTTTTTCAGTTTTTACAGCGTCATTTAGCAGGAGGCTCAGCTACCATTTCTTAGTCCCCCGGAACGCACCGCCCAGCAGCAACAAAGGGTCTGCTTCTTAAAATAGCACAGTTCTCAAGGTAAACATCGCTTCACCCTTTCCTCGATTCGTCTCCTACACAAACTACAACGTCGACCTACATGAGGACACAAAATTGCAACGGGCAATCGCTTCTTGAAACGCGGACTGGCAAGTCCTCGAACACAAAGTCCAGGGGACCGAGGCTAAAGAATGTCTCAACATGAAGGCATCGTGAGGGGGCTTCGTGCAACTTGAGCACTCTCCAAAGCTACTCCCTGATCAACTTATCTCACAAGATGTTGCTTCTTGAAGAAACCCTTAGCGCAATGACTTAATAATAATAATTATTATTTCCATTTTGAAGAAATGGTGAAGCAGGAAGGAAAAAGCTTTAACACGAAGCTTGAGGAGTCCTGACGGCGGTGATACGAATCATTTTATCATTGCTTACTGTTTTAAAAATTTCTGGATTGCCATTTTTTCTTAATTTTTGGGAAACGAAATATTTTGGGGTAAATGGGCCCGTCCGTCGTAGTAGCCACCACTCTGAGCAGAGTCATTCACAATATTTGCCTGTTATTTGCCAAAAACAAAAGTGCTGCGAAAGCAAGGTTGTAAGCAGTGGTTGGTTTTGTCCCAATTTGCAAACGCTACCTGCATTTGACGGGACTGTGCGATCCGCCGTTCCCACGCTTCCATCCCAAATCTATCTCGCCCTCGAAAGTTTTTTTGTTTTTTTTTTTAAATTTCACCTGCGTGCTCAAAAACACAAGAAAAAAAAAAAAGAGAGAGGCATAGCTTCTGACACTTTCACCTCCGTTCGATTGTTGCCTGTTTCTCGTAGCGATTTGGACTTCGCTCCTACATCACAGTAACCACACTGAGACGGCGATGAAGACACTGACGACGCTTGGACGACGCCACACGGGAAACGGGGCATAGCCGAGGGAAAATGCCGAGTCGTGCGGGAGGCCCGCCTTCGATCCTTTCAACCGTCCTTTTGTTGCAGCGCGAGTGACTGCAGGATGGGAACCATCAGCTGGAACCCGTCTTGGATGTACGTGTTGCTGTTCGAAGCCTGCAAACGACGGAGCACATGAACCACTGCCACATATCAAAGTTTTGAAAACGGTTATGGAAACTCCCGTAATGGGACATATTATTTTTTTTTGTTTATTTAATAATACTGCAGAGTCATTTGAGTTCATGCAGGAGCACATACGTGAAGGGAATAGCAATATAATGAGGCTTAAAAACAATGTACCACATAGAAGGGATCAATTACCCCGATGGTTAAGGAAAGCAGGACAAGCTCCTTTCGCAAAGCCCTCCCCTTACAATAAAGCAAGGTTCTGGTACCAGCCTTTTGATGCTTGCATACTTATTGAAAGTACCAATGCTAAAGTAAAAATGCCGATGTGGCACAAAGGCCTATCCTTTGTTCTACCACAGCGGTTCTGCAGTATAAAGGTTTCTGTAAGGCTTACAAAGTGGAGGCAACTTCCATGGGAGTGTTTAGACGGCGTGGTAAAGGTATGGCGACACTGGTTCACACAGTAGTCGACAAATTTATCCAGTGGTACGACTGCAAAGGCGCAGTCTTTGATGTTTCCCACGGTGCAATAAGTACACGTATGCACGCAACCGAAGCAAGGAAGCGAATATTATCTTGCATTAATCATCTAGGAAACAAAATAGTATATACACTGACAATGGACCTTTTTCAACTAATGAGTGCCATCTGGGGGCTTGTCTGCAAACTACAAATGAAGCACCCCTGAGAACAAATTAGCGTTGTGCCGTCATGTAGGTTTGTATCGAGTTCTATGCCCCATACTACAGACACTTTCTAAAAGAATTGTCACAAAAGACTAACTATGTGCAAAGATAGGCGCCAACAATGTTGGTCGTGTGGAACAGTGGCTTCCGAAAACGGCAGCAGCAGGAAGCGAGGCTAGGAGGGAGGGCGTACGAATGCTCAGAAACTTGTGACTGGAAAAAGGTCCATTGCTGCCCACGTTCGTCTCAGAAATTCTTCCCAAACTAGATTCACAATCGTCCAACTCACCTCGAGGTAAACGTTGGTGATCAGTGGAGTCACCGAGTCCGGATCCTCGGAGTCGTCCTGGAAAACAAAGTGTACGCTTCGTTCATGCTGCGGTAATTATATGGTAAAGCCGACGACAGTTTAAGAACGCAGCAGACATCCAATTCGAGCTTTTTGTCCTTAGTAACACTTTGTTGCACGTGCAACGAAAGTCACGAGCATGCATGCTGGAGTCGGAGCTTCCACTGAATTCTCGGCCTTTCGTAGACCATAATCTGGAAACGGGGCTTGCGCTGTCAAATTTCCTTCTATCAACACGTTTTCAGCATTCCAGTAGCCATAAAATCACTGTTTCCTGAAATATCAGGTGTTTCGGAGAAGACTTCCCCAAATCTCCAAAAATAGGTTAAGAAAAAAAGGAACTCTTTCCGGGAAAAATCTGCCAGCCACGGGGGACGTCAGTGACTGCAAGAAAAACCTACTGATCAGCGAATGATGAACTACAATTTGCTAATTACCTTTTAAATTGGTGAAGCTAGACAGATGGTTTCAATTACAAACCTGCTGAGCATCATAAAAAAACCACTAAATCAACTCATTTCAGAAAGATGTAAGGCGGGTGCAGCATTTTCACGGCGTTCCAATAAAACACTTAATTTGGATGTGCCACGTTTCGATTTCCTATCAGAGTTTGAGAGACCTCACCCTGCCATAGTAGACATAATTCATTGAACTCAAACCAGCGCTCATCAGGAGTTACTGAGGTTTACAAGTGCCTAATTTGTTGCAGAGATTTGACAGTTGCTCGGCTATGGTGCCTTCATGCTCGGCATGCAGGTTCCAGAAATGCCGTGAAGAGACTCGGGCAGTAAGGTAGAGGCATGCCAATCCTTGCCCACCAGGGAGCGAATAGGGAGCAAGCACGATTGCACGATTAGACCGTAAGACCCCTGTTAGCTGTAACACAAGTCAAGCATGCAAGCTTTGTAATGCATGAATGAATGCAAGTTGTGTATATTTGGTTACGTCATTTGTGTCCCCTAGTGCTTGTACACCCATTGCGGCACGCACAAGAGGTTTCACATACCCACTGCGGCTGCATCCCCGATACAGCCTATACAAATTGCTTTTCTCTCAACCACCCTATTTTTAGCGGTTTTTGAAAGTTTCCGCCAGAACACCCGATATATTCTCTGCATCCACGTACACGTGCCACGGACTGCTCGAAGCTTGGGCACAACTCACCGCCGCAGTGTTGAGACATCGTCCGAACCTCGAGGACAGGATCCCGACCTCCGTGCAGAGCACTGCTGTGAGGCTGGAGGCAGAAGAAGAAAAAGACCAAAAAACATTAAAACTAAGCGATCCAGTCTGCAATTGGAAAACATAGTTTGCATCTCCACCCCATGATTTGCACACCAACCCCATTCGACCTTTCGGGTGGCGAAGCACCACAGTTCAGTTCTTATATGATGCTCGTAACTACTACGGCATGAAGTTATCTCTAATCTTTATCAGTATTAATGAGTAGTGATAAAGCATAAAAAAAAATATCTTGCAGCGAGTTAAAAGAGCCAGATTAAAACTGCTCCGGGCCTGCTTAAAAGTCCTATTAAAAACATAGTGTGCGCTTCTCAGACACAGACAGCCCGGTGGTTGCATACTCCTGAGCGGTCTGTGGCCACTAAAGAGCTTAGAAAGGTTGTATTCTTTCAAAAAATGAAAGCGGAAGTGATTCAGGAGGCAGCCAGCTATACAGCGTGCAAGCGTCGCAAAATGCATCTTTGGCATGTCGAAATGCAACGAGGGGCACGCCATTGAAAGGGCAACATAGAGAATGTGCAGGGAATGCCCTATGACGAGACAGGCAATCGTGCACCGTTTCATGCTTCCTAACTATTTACACCTTTGTTTTATATTTTCCGACTATCGTCGCACAGTTAGCATTACCTCTATGAAAGCATCCCAATCCTTGCCTGATCTGTCCCTACGTAGAAAAATTCCTCGCCTATGTTTGTTTGACAAGATCTGTCACTCTAACCCAACACTTCCCCAAATGCTATTTTCAAAACCCTATTGCATTTTGTCACACACCAATCATCAACTAAGAGTTAGAAGCCCCCATTCTAGCTCATCTACTTTTGATCACGATCTAAACTCCGAGACAAGGAGAAATAAAACTATGGACAAGACGACATAAAATCTCAAATGCAGCCGAGTTTATTTGCGAGGGAAAGGCAATTTATAGCTGTCCACACAGACAGGAAAGAGGGAAGACAAAAAGATGGACCTCCACCCAGACGCCACACCACACCACCAGCAGACATCCGCCGCCAAGCTAATCGACACAATAATCTATGTGATCCGAGCAAAAGGCTGCATTCCGCCCGCCCCCCCCCCCCCCCCCCCTCTTCCCCCTGAACAACAACAACAATGAAAGCTTGCACCAGGAGCTTTCTCACGTGTTCATTCAAAACTGTGGACGGCTGGCTCACACAATTCACGTAGTCCCCTATACTCAAGGTTTCCTTTATCATTCTCTTGAAAGAATCGCTTCCTTTGCACAAGAGTAAGTCTCTTCACATAATGGCCTGCCTCAGTTCCGGCGACTTTGCGGCGGCATGTCTTTTTTCCCTCCCTCTTTCCTGTCTGCGTGGACGGCTATAAACTGCATTTCTCTCATGAATAGTCTTGGCTGCGTTAGAGAGTTTGTGTCGTCTTGTCCGTTATTTTATTTCTCCTTGTCTCGGGGGTTTAGATTATGATCTTTCATAACCAGCTTGCCTGCATTCTTGCAGTTCTACTTTTGACGCCTCCTTCTTGCCCTAGACCTCCATCGATTTGAACTGCCTTCCAGCAATCATAGTTGCAACTGCCAACACCACTGATTTTAGGATTGCAATCACAAATTGGTATATGATTTTTTGTACTAATTATGTTCTTTTGCCTTTCTACTGTTTTTGCTTTCTTGAGTATGTTACAGTGCCCTGTTCCTCTCTGTAATGCTTTTGGGCCCCGAGAGAAAATAAATGAAATGAAATAGTTAAAATTTCGGAGGGAAACAAAACCTTGTGGGCACATTTGGCACGTAAACAGGTGCACAAGGAGCAAACGCAAGGAGCAGATGCAAGGAGCAGACGAATCACTGAGCGCGAGCGAATGCCACTCACCCAGTGAGCTGGGTGGCGTAGTGCATCGGCGTCCTGTCCGACAAGGGCTTCACCAGTAGAAGCTCAGCAACCTTGTGGTACAGCTCGATGGTCTTGGCCGTCATTTCCGCTAGGGTTTCTATGCTCTTCGGGTAGATCTCCTGCGGTTGAAGGTGCAACAACGTTGAGTAGGCGTGCTTCTCACTTCACACAAGCTCACTGGCACTGGCAGGACCCAAGTACACTCACACGCAACGCCACTGCCCGACAAGCGCCTCTTTGTCGTCGGGTGATTTCAAGGATGAAAGCAAACGTTTTCTTCCAGTGTCTACTTCGCAAAACTCAACGACGAAGTTGTGGGGATTGCATTGATGGCATCGTCGACAATGCAATCCCTAGAGTTTCGTCACCAAGCTTTGCGATCTCCATGGTGACGATATTTAAATGCGGCACGTACTGTGGACATGAGCACCGCGTGAGCAGTCGATTTGGGCTCAAGGGGATCAATGCCTCGACACGCATTTGGGAAGTAGCTTGGGCCCAATCGCTGCGACGATGGGAATAGTAGTCGAATTTTAGGAATGTGCGCAACTCGGCATGTAATCTGTACTTTGTTGACCCCAGCACGTGGCTATGATAAGCATTAGTGGCGTAACATCGGCTCTATATCACGCGGTCGCTTGTTCTGGTTGCAGGTCGAAGGGGAGAATAGCTACTTGCATTTCTGAAACTTTTCTTGCGACTGCCATTGCGTGGAGAAAAAAAAACTTATGTGCGTTTCACAGGTTATGAACAGCAAAAAATAACTCTAAGCGGTAAAAGTACAAAAATTGTTGCATTGCCCTCTAAAAGGGGTTAGGTAACTATGACCTAACTATACTACTCGCACCCATTGTATGTTCCTATATTTCTGCTCAGTTTGTTTTGAAAAGGGTGAAATAGTTTTGTGGATAAACCAAGTTGTATGCGGGACCCTTGGATCTGCCCCATTTGAAAAGGCCGCCGCGGTTGCTCGGTTGGTGACGTCATCCGCCCAACGCGCGGCATCCTCTTGCATGCACTCGCAAACTTGACTCTCTCGGCGTCTGAAGTTTCAGCTTCCTCGTTTGCCTTCCGTGTTTCGACCATGCGGTTTGTGATAATTTCGTCCACGGCATAGCTCACTTCATGACACTGATCGCAGCAATGATGAGAGTGGTAGTTATGAAGATGTTGGAAGCTGGCCATTTTGACTGCGACGCACTGGTGACCAGTTCCAGCGAGGATGAGTTGCGGACGAACTAGCCGTGTTCGCCGTCGTCCGTGACAGGCGCATGCAGGGTGCAAGGTCAAAGGGCGGGGGGCAACAGCGAGAATAGCCGAGTTGCGCGAGTTTTTGATCGTACCGTGGCTAGGCGAGCTTGGGCGATCATGGGGGCGCCTAGAATGGGAGAGTGTACGTGATCACGCGGTTTATGGGCACTATGGTGTAACCAACTTGGGCAGTGTTGTATGGTCGCCAGATGAAAATGATCAAAATTCGTAAATTTATTATTGCAATTACTGGAGCTCAAAAAATTGTGAAACTGGGTGTATAGACCTTTTCTGTGTACTCTCGTCTCCAGCCACCTAATAGGCGTATCCGGTATGGGCGACGAAAAAATAATCCAACGTTTCAACCTGCAAATAGTAAAAAAATAAAGGGGAGGCAAAACGAGAAAGTGTGACGTTTACGATTATATCCTAAATGCCTTCTATTGGCCTGGCAAAGGCAAAACAATGTTTTCGCCCATACTGGAAGTGACGTCAATTCAAGATGGCGGAGCACTTGCAGAAAAGGTCTATACATGAAGTAGTTTATGAGCATTTCATTTGAAGAATAATCTACTTGTTTAAATTTCATCCTAAGGCCTTTAAGAATGAAGAGATTGAGACATTTCGGGCCGCACGACGTTCCTTGCTGACAAAACGACGCACCTTGGGATCCTTTTTCTCTCCTTTCTCCTGGCTTTCAGCGCACTCTCTCAACCAGAGTCTCACGTCGGCATCCGTCTGCAACGAAGGGAGCAGGCGACGGTAAATTCCTGCACACTGACCTACGTTAATGTGGATGCATCAGTTGTTGATGCCAAGTATAATCGCACAATACCCTTAAAAATTTTATGCAGCTCATTTAAGATATGTTACGTAACTTAGCTTGTGGAAACACAAAAAGCGGAAGAAGTATGCCATCCAATCAGTGAGACCGCTGGGCTGTTTGTTCGCGGCAAGAGCTCTTTTCTCGAAAGAGTAGGCGAAGAAGCGATGGCTTTTTGTTGTCTCTTACCTCCTTCAGCTTCTCCCCTCTCAGGTTGAGGCCGATCTCGATCAAGTGCCCGGTCACGAGCTTCTCAAAGTCCTGGTCCACCTCGTCGTCTGCAGAATGCAACGAGTGACGCAGGAAAAACAATTTGGGCAATAGTTCTTAAAAGTGCACTAGCAAAGCGGGTCTTGTGATAGGATTTTCGTGGCGCAGGCTCAGTCGATGCGACCTAGAAAATTCAGAATTACAATCATGGCTTTTTTTTCCTATGCGGAGCGCAAGTTCGTCTGCTTCTTGTGCAGGGTTTGCAGACAAGTCATAGTGTCGAGCTCTGATTGGCTCTGATAGAAGAATAGTGGGTAGACCTCAATGCCAGCTGCACTGAGGTCTACCCACTATCCTTCCAATCAGAGCCAATCAGAACTCGGTGTTCTGACGTCACTGCAACCCCCGTGCAAGAAGCAGACGAACTTGCGCTCCGTATTAAAAGTGAGAGGAAACATTGCCTTACATCCTTTTCCTGAAATTGGCCATATGTGATTGTAATTTTTTTTTTTAAGATGCTTGGGGCATATAGATTTTTTTTATGCCATGAAAGGATCTCAGAAGCTGTTTTGGTGCCTCTTATATCTCTCAAATATTTGTGCGCTGAAATTTGTGAAAACGTTCACATAACGACAGATCGCCGTGAAACCAGCACAAATCCTCCTCTAGTTCCTCTGCTGCTACTGTTTTGCAAAAAAAAAGATTGCAGCGTGTTTTAACTTCATGAATTAAATTAAAGAATTAAAAACATACTGTCGCAGACAATATGAGCTAAAATAGTTCTGCATGCCTCTTCGGCCTACCTGATAAGTTTTCAAAGAACTGGTCAAACCTAGAAATGAAGTATGAAGTAAAAGTCCCATAGTAAAAAAATTTCGAGAAATTAAGAGACAGTAAAACTTGTGGGGACCGCAGACGTAAAAAAAAAAAAGGCCAGCCGGGTGTTTTGGCTTGTATTGTCTGTGGGAGCACACCTACCACCTAACTCGGCCTCGTGAAAAACAACAATGCAAGTTGGAAAAGCAATTGACTGGTACAGCCCGAGTGGTTGATGGCACAACGAAACGAATTGCCTATAGTGGGATTGCGACTCTGCAAGCTCTATTACCGGGGGTGTCGTCCGCGGCAGGAAGACTCTCACAGGTCCTCTTCAGCTTGTCCAGCAAAGCGCCCAGTTCAGCTTTGTCTTCCTCGGCGGTGTTCTGCAGCTGCTGCTGAACGGCGGTGCGCCGTTCGCTGCACAGCATTTCCAGGGCTTCCAGGTGTACCAGACCTGGGCAGTTTGGACGGAAATGCCCTCAACCTCTAGTTTCGCATTTAAATTGCATTTCCAATTGGTTGGTCAAGAGCCGTTGAGATGTCGAAATTATTCAGCCTCAAAAATTGCTTTGAAAAATAGTAGCATGACGTGGAAACTTTTCCACTCTTTATACGATTGTCTGCAAAAGATTGTCGTAGAACATGACACAACCCAAGAATCGTATCCTTGCCTTTACAAAACGCTGCACCTTGAAAACGGTGACAATATTGGTATTGTATTTAGCTTCAAAAATTGCTTTTTTTTAAAAACTACAGCTCAGGAACTATTACACTCTTGATATGGTTGTCCTTGGAAAAGTACTAGAACAGTAATGAAATCCAGGGCCATTTGTATTATTAAAGATGAATTAAAGTAAGAGAATCCAACATGTGCCTCCACCCCTGCAATAGCCGACCCTTTTTTTTTCTTCTTGTTCAAGACTCTTGATGATATAAGACATTTTCTTTTTTGTGTGAATTTACGTTCAGGAAAATTTCTTTATGAAATATCTTTTTTTTCTTTTCTAAGAAGCATGAAATTTTTTTAGTGTGAACTAGCTTAGTGCGATTTATTTACAAGTTTCCCGTGATGAGTTCGGCCTCTTTCATTTTCAGTCATCAGTGAAAGTATATGAATTGTATCTCTTAAATTTATATATTGTGCTACCACATCAAAACTGTAAAGTTGTTCTGTGATGCAAAGAAAATAAAGAATTAATATTACTATTACTAGTATTATTATTACAAAAAAAGTACTTCAATAAGTCCATGTAATTAATTTATTTCTGCAAACTTTGCTTGGCACACTAGTATAATATGAGTAAATTCTCAAATCCAAAATACAGTAAGATATTACCAAAACTGGAGGAAGTAATTCAATTACAATGGTTTATTATAGAACTGCATGAGTGCCATTCATGGGATTTCCACATGAAACGGCTCTACCACAAAAGCCAATCTGCTAAAGCCCACGAAAACGGCAGGTTCAAGATGACCGCCAGAATGGTACATAGACAAACGAGCCGGGTCCCTACCTTGGTGCTCATCAAAAAGCCTGCTGTAATTGACAGAGTCCCGGGCTTTCTCGCTCTCCTGGCCCTGAGCTTCCTTCTCCGCCTTCTCCTTGGCCTCCCTCAGCATCTGGAACCGAAACTCCTCTTACAGAAGATGCCGGACTAACTCGACAACGGTATCCTGGTTGAGGGCCAGGTGGCGCAAGCTACCACCCAATTCGAACGGTGGCGACTCGCACGCCTCGTGCATCCTGGAAGCGGTGCAATCCCTTCTCTCTCATTAGTGTGGATTTGGGACAGAAAAATAAAACAAAACAAACATGTAGGGAAGCTGATACATACCAAGTTTTGTTGTCATTGTGCGGTATCCGCATTTAAAATCGGAAAATGCTAAACCAATGCCGAATCGCTTCTTATATATTCATCAGAGCACCTTTACGCACCGCATCGGACTGCCGTAATGTATCGGGAAGACAGCAGGCCGTGGGGGGGGGGGGTTGCATATTTCTGAAATTGTTTATTGTTGAGCTGATTAATCCATTTATGCATGTTTGAGCAAATATGGTCCGTGGGCCACAGTGTTTTCAGATGGGACCAAAAACAAATGTTGTACTTTGAGCTAAAAAAAAAAAATAATAATAATCCCGTTTATAAGCAAGACATGCACCACAGCATCCAACAGTGCCGTTTCTGAGGTTTTCACTGCAATAAGTCTAAATTAACGCCGTAATTAGGTTTGATATTGTCACCTCTTGCTCGGCTAAAGTGCCTAGTGAACTGTTTTAGACCTTTATTTGTCACAAACTTTTGTGCGAAAGATATTACGATGCGATGTAGAGTGCTCTCAATCGATATGGGGGGGGGGGGGGGGGGCCGTAGAGATTGATGTCCGATGAGTAAAGTCCGCCCACTTTGGCAGAACAACGCAAACACCATTTGAAAGAAGAATTGCAGCCAGTAAGGAAAGAGTTGGGAGGAACTATACGTCATTGGAACATACTGCCGGAGGAAGCTGCTTATGTTGCCAATGTTGATTGTTCTTACAATATGTTACAGAGATTAACTATGCATAGGGTGACCAGACGTGCCGTTTTGGCCGGGAAAGTCCCATTTTAGAGTTTCATTTCTGCCATCCCGTCTTTTTGGTCTGACAAAGCCTCATGTCCCGTTTTCATGCAAACATGCATAGCAGTTGCGAAATCACTGATCAGTACCAAGGGAATGAAAGAAATCCGAAAGAATGTTTACTTGTTACAGGCGTAATGTTATAAAATTGAACTTGCTATGAAACACTGTAGTTGTGTCTGCTAGTATATTTTGTTCACATAAAAACGTGTGTGCAAGAGAATTTTCTCTATTACATAATTTGACGTATTTTGGTTGGCAACATTTCACTGTTAAAAAATCCATTGCTAAAATATTGTGAAAAGCAAAACATTGTTAAAAAATGGGGAAGAAAAGCACTTGGGTTCTCACAGAAGGACTTTGGAACAATGCGTGTGTTTATGGTTATGTAAAGCAGAGCTTTTTTTCTCTTCCTCACACCCCCTTCATCTATGTCCCGTTTTTAAATTCGAGGATTATGGTCACCCTAATTATATACAGTGACCTATGTTTCTCGCTTGCCTATGTGTTCTTTACGTTTTCGCTCATGTACTCCCTGCATGGTGTTTGACGGTGCAACAGGTATACATGTTAAGGTTTAAATAAATCAATAAATAAAGGTGGGAAGAACTGGCCTCACCTCCGACAGGCTTGCTTTCCCGTCGAACATTGACCGCTTCTTGCGGAGGCCAGGATCATTCTCGGTCAAGATGTCCATCGTCTTTTTGCCTATCATTTCGAGTGTATCGAGACCACCGCTCAGCACCTTGGAACCCTTCAGAGAAGGGAAAAAAGAAATCCAACGTTAGCCCCATCCTCGTTTGTTTGGTGAAGAGGTAATCTAGAGAGGGTCAGTACCATAAAAAGTTAGAGCACTCCTTCGACCTACCGCACCTGCATTAGGGGCGGTAGGTGGGGATTAGTGAGGTAACGGGTGTCTCTTAAAAGAATTTCAGAAATTCCTAAAACTAGAGTGTTTGAGAAAAAAAATGAAGCTCGTTTTGAAGCAAACTGCCAGTCACGGCAAACGTGGAGGACTTCAAGACATGCTAATTAGCAAAATAATTGCCCAACATTTAAAATTAGCTTTTAAGAGGGGACACTACCCAGAAAAAACAATTTCTGCAAAAAAAGGTTTATTTTGAAAAAATGCCATTCTTACATTCACCAACATCTAGAGAGTACACCCAGAAAGTTTCATTCGTTTACACTGCATAGTTAATTTTTTATAAATTATTTTCGGTCCATCGATGCTAAAGAAAATGTAGGGGTTGGAACACTTTGAACACATTCTTCTCCGTTCCACTTTTCGGCATAAATTTCAATTTAGGTAAACTGTCATTTTCCTATTACACAATAAAGAATTATTCTTAGGTGGTTTTCTGGGATAGAATTGTGTGAGAAACATGCCTGACTGGTTAGATTTTCTACTTTAACATTCTTTTATGCTAAAAAAAAACTACAACTGAAAAAAAGTGCAGACATGAAAAAAAAGAATTAATCTTTTTATGGAGTTAAACTTGTGAAAAACAATGCAAATAGCAAAATAACTAGCTGGATATGTGCTATGGGTATTCCTATGACTATATTACACAAAAAAAATAACAATTTTTATTTTATTTTAAAACAATAGTTTTTCTAAGCAAACACACTGACTTCCATATTGTAACATTCGTAACAAGTTTCAGAATTGACATAGGACAATAAAATTTGGCAGGGATGGTCTTGCCACTCATATAAACTTCCACTGAATATTTAATTTAAATCAAGCAAGCGGTACAGAAGCTGACTTTTCTGGGTAGTGTTCCCCCTTAAATTAGTAAAAATTAACACACGATTCCAATGAAAAACTTGCTAAGCGTCATCAACAACCCCTAAATCAGTAAATTCTACAACGACTTGAAACTTGCGAGGGTACACTAAAGTTACCGCTCCTAAAGCAGGAGCAAAGCCTGCGACCCGAAAACGCGGGTGATATTCTTATTATATGGGTTGCCTGCTAAATTTAGCGCGATGTCTCGGTAGGGAAACGGCAACGTGACAGAAATGCCAATTTCACTTCTGTTAAAACGCATTCTGCATTAATCAAAAAGTTATTAAAAATAAGCTGCAGATGGCAGTCTTGTGCTTCAATGGGTACGTCGGCCGACAAGTGACAGCTGCAAAGGGCTACTTTAAAGTAGGCTTTAGAATGACTCACAGTAGCCTCGATAGCCTTTGTGAATGCGCTGACTCCACTCAGGATGCCGCCAACCCCAGAACTTTCTGCCTTGTCATCGGACTGGGCTGGTTTTTCGGGATCTGAAAAGAACAAAGCCTGCTGCAAGCTGCTCAAAGCAAGCTGCCTTGAGGTCTATTTACTATCCTTCCATCAGAGCCGATCAGAGCTCGGCATTTTGATGTCAGCACAATCACTGCAAAAGAAGCAGCGAAACTTGAGCTCCGCATAGCTCACGCTGCAGAACTCAGGCACCCTGGGCTCAAACACCTCCCTTGCCCGTTTCGATCTGAATGAGCATCGTACTGGTCGGGGGTCGAGTATCGCTACTCTGTGACACACGTTAAAGACCCCGGCCCAGCAGTGGTACTGCACTGGCTAAATTTCTCATCTACAGCGAAGACACCAGGCGCCCATCAGGGTTGACTCACTTCCCGCTGTCCTAAACATACGCACACAAATACTTTTTAAGAAAGTATGCGTTTCCTTGTGGAATAATTTATAGAACAAGCAAGCGTTCACAAAGACCTGGTTCAGGAGCAGTGCCGTGACTTGCGTCTGTAGCGTCGTCTGCATTCGGTTCTGTCTTCTGCTTTTCCGCGTCATGCTGGGCAAGCTCTTCCGGACTCGGAGCTCCAAGAGTCGACTCGACCGTCTCGATGACCGTGCCGATACCCTGAGCTGAAATCACCAACAATGCGTCAGGTTTCACAGCATTTTTGCACCGAAAATGTCGGACTAAATGCAACACTGAATGCATGCCTGCTAGGGACTGACATGCCATGGAGTCGAGAAAATCGCAGACTCTTCCTTCTTCTATCTCGCAGCATATAGGGAGGATTCAACGTTTAGGGGCAAACTCCCAACTCTGTCCAATCAACACACGCCGAGGAATACAGATTTTAAGTTTAATTTTTATCTGAACAAAAGCCCCTGGTATGTGTGGTGTGGTGTGTGTATGTCAAGCTCAAAGCTGAGATAGTTCATGGACCGTGCAAGTGCTTCTTGTAACATCAACCAAAACTGTACACAAGTTTAAATCCCCCAAACAATCTCCTGCATAATTTTTTTTTTTTTGCATCTATTTTTGCACGCAGTAGTATTTTAAAAACTGTCCTGGCAACTGCAGGCACCCGTTTTTCCACTGCTGGAAGCTAGAGAGAACTACATACACCAACAGCTAAATGGTGGCACTCGGAGACTCCGCTTATAAATATTCGCAGATGTACAAACTGAAACACAAAACTGTTGCCCGACAATCACTTTTACTTGTGCGACTGACTGTAGCACGAGCCTGTCGGAACTTGGAACGAGTTTCTAATTCCACAGCGTTTACTGATGCAGCATTTCCTCGATCACGTCACTTAGTGGATTCAAAATAGACATATTTGAAACACTTACAGACTTGGTTTGTGAATGTGCTGACTGATGTAGCCGCAGTGGATAGGATTGATGAGCCCCACTTGCTAAAGCCCCAGTTGATTGGGCCCTAGGATAATGACAAGATTAAAGTAAATTTTCAGTGATACTCAAGTATTATTTTGGGCCCAGCTGGTCTGCATTAAAAATCAAACGTTACATTATGTGTCAAGATAGTGCCAAGTGCCAGTCAAGAACTGGCGAACCAGTGCATACCACTGAGGAATGTGAAAAGGCAGGATGACGTTCTTCACTTCAGCGGTTGGGCTGAACATAAAGGTGTTCGGATTGGCTGGTCACCTTTTGCAACCCGCCATTCAAAATCCCCTTCCCGCAACAAAAGTACTTTGCACAGACAAGAATCAGCGAAGTACAAGTGAAAAACCCACACATAGCTGGTTCTTAACGAAACCCCAACGGCTAAGTAGACCACGAGAGTCTCTTGCTTAAAACATAAACTCAGCTTTCTCAAGATTCCGTTGTCCACATATCATGTTGCTGGATGCGGGCATCCCGTCATAACCAAGGGCAGATAACTGCCTTTTTGTGAAGAACATCCCGACCAATCACTGATGATTTTCTCTGACTGTACTTCTAACCAATTTGGTAACAAATGGCCATATTCACCGTCTGTTGCCTCTATCGTCTGCTACCTCTGTCATCCGTCCGCTACTTCTGTCATGTGGTATTACTGTCATGTGCTACCTCTGTCCTTGCTACCTCTGTCGTCTGGTGCCTCTGTCGTTTGCTGTCTCTGTCTGCTGCTTCTGTCATCTGATACCTCTGTCAAAAGAGTGGGGGTGTATGTGATTCCCAAGTTCTCTGGTGGCACCAAAAAGAATGGCATCGCATTGCAGCCGTCGTTTTGTCACAACACAATACCCGCCAGCCTAGTTTGAAAAAATGATGCTGCATACCTTGTCCTCTCTCGAAGCAGCGTGGGCAAGCCTCTCCAGGACCGAAAACTCTTTCTCTTTCCCCGTTTCGTCTGCCTTCGACTTTTCGGACTCTTTCGAGGAGTTGTCGTCACTTGTGCTTGACTTCGGAGATCTTCCGGGACTGGCAGTCTCGCCCGAATTTTCTCGGGGTTTTGGCACACTTTTGGAAGCAGCTTCACCGTCTGTTTTGGTCTGCGCCACGCTTGCCGGTTCCACTTCTTTGATCTCGCCCAGTTTTTCCGAGGTTGTTCGTGATCGTCGCTTGTTCTTGTCTTTCTGGTCCTCTATGTCTTCATCGGCACTCTCAAATGCTTCTTCTGACTCCGACATCGTCCTCCCCTAGAACGAGCGATGCAAGCAGCAAACTTTGGTACCACTTATCAGGGACTGAGCGCCACTTGTCGATGACCTTACAACCATTAGGATTGCAAAGATGGTAGTAAGTGTTGAAACATAAAAATGTTGGTTTCAACATGTCATATCGACAGGAAGATTTTCAACAGATGGTTCTCAAATTAGGTAATGTCTAGCAACCTTTTTGTGGTGAAGAACCTTGAGGTTTGGTTTTTAGTAACGGCATCTCTTGAGCTACAAATGTACTGTTCAGTCATATCCAAGTATTTTCGACCATGTGCAAAACTAACATTACGCTTCTTCTGGCTGATGGGTTGGCTTTGTCAATCTGATTTAACCTTAAAAAGGTCACCCTGCAATGAACACACACACTTGATTGCAAGTAAGCTAGCAGACATCTAGTTAAATATGACTGACATCCTCCATGATGGTCCTTTACGCATATGCGCAAGTTCTGTAGTTCTGTCACCTTAATTCTGTTGTGACTGACATATGACATCTGTTACTGTCCTTATTCTTATATGCCTTGGGGCTTTAATGTAAAGTATAAACCTATCGCGTGACCAAAAACCAGTGAATAACGCAATAGGAAAGATATTGTCGGCTGACTTTTACAGCGCAACTATGTATATAAATGCGACAAATGTAAGCTGCGAGTCGAATATACAAAGCTTCGTAGTAACGGAGATGTGATCACGAATCGGTGTAGAAACACTTCCAAATCTACCTGGCCTAAAAGAAATGCTAAATACGAGGTTCGCCCTAGGCGCCGAGGTTGAGCAGTGCGCTGATCTTATGAACTTTCCCGTACAGGAATCAAAATCCCGCACGTCGTGATAGAAAATCCTGTACTCATGGCGACACGTCAATCGAGGATCGGTGCCAAATTTTCCAATCCAATCTGGCGAGTGCGTGAAGGTGTCGCGTTTGGATGAGACGCGTCACTTAAATGGGTAACGTACATACCTGTTAAACGCACACGATTGCACTCGGGTTCACGGACGCGAACTGTCAATTAAAGGCAGCCTAGGTTCACGAAATCCTGGCTCCGCACAGCAGCAGCTAAAGAAGTCGCTTCTCTGCAGCAATCACGCCGGTGCTGCCGCCTTATGGAGAAAGTGAGAAAACGAAACCAGAAGTCCTGTCATCTGAAAACCAAGAGAGTCATAGACATAGTCAACCACTGACCTCATTGATGCGCGAGTGCGGCCACTAGACAGCCATCTTGCATGCAGCTTTTTTTTTTTTCTTTTTTTTTTCTTTCTTTGTTAGTGCAGCAGAGGTTGGCGGCAGCGTGCTAAAGACACGTTTTCTACTCACTGGTCGTCTTTCGCCGAAGACGTTCTAAGGATTCTGTGTGAGCCGGGATACATATCCGATGAAAACACGTTAAAATTTTTACGAAGGCGCAGTGCCGCAGGAAAAAGGCAGAACGCGTCATAAGCAAGTTTCGTCGGTCTCACGGCGTGTTCAAAGCTTCGTTGGCACGCCGAAGTGCTGTCTCTCTGTGCCTTCGCACGCTTGGATACCAATAAAAAATCGACACTTGCGGCACTCATGTTCCAGAAACGAGCGTGATCCAGCTCCAGTAGCGACGGAAGACGGGGGGAAGGTAAATCGTTTTTTCGTCGTTGGACGATTTACAGAATTCCGCGCACAGCTGGCACAGCATATCAGAGGCGGATCCAGAACTCTGTTTTAGAGCTTCAAAAAAAAAAAAAAAAAAAGTGTTCTACGACTTTCGGCAACGCTCTCCTCCTCTATATTTCTTCTTCCTCCCCAGTCCAGTTTCGGTTTAGGTTTCGAGCGGTTGCGGTTTTTTGTTTTGTTTTTGTTTTTACTTTATTAAAACTATACGCGACGCTCTAGGAAAGTATTGATTGGATAGTCTTTTGAAGCCATGTTGAATCACCTGGCAAAAAAAAAAAAACTTATACATTCTTTTTTTCTAAATACAAAAGTTACCGTCTAATTGGTGGTTAGAGCTGGGTTGTTATGTTTACTTTATCCCACAGGGAACCACCTGGAAGGCACTAGGCAGAAAATGCTATTTCACAATTTTCACATATTCTCCAGTTGTGTGATAAGCATGGACGTCAGTTTTAAATTAAAATATTTGTACTTGGAGAACGGCCGACTCCAGCTTTTCTGCTCGCTGGCCTAGCTACAGTGACGTCACGGAGCGGGCGTTTTGGTTTCAGTTTCTATAAGGTGTTTAATTAAGTAGCCGGGGCCATAGTTTCACGCTTACACGGATACCGCCTCGGAGATGATGGCCGCCAGTGTTGGGAAGTACTTTAAGTGCTTCAAGTAGGTTTAGAGAACTTGTAATTTACTTTAAAGGGATGCTGAACCGAAAAGGAAATTTCAGAAAACAACACAGAATCGATAGGCGGGACACTAGAAATCCCAAAACGTCACCCATAAAGCGGTATCTCCAACGGATCGTCGTATTTTTTTGTAAACGAAGAGCGCGCTCGCACAATGCTGATAAGATGCGTGACCTCGCGATTCTCATTTCCTCCTCTTCTCGCTTTGACTCCGCGAGGGCGCGGAGAGGAAAGGGAGCAAGGCCATATCGCCTCCTCAACTTTTCCGCGATAAGATGACGTCAACATTCTCCCTCTTTCGCTCCTTTATTTTCTAGCAATAGGGCCATATCCGCTCGAGATATGGCCATACGAGCGATGTTTCGTGGTTTATGGCGCCCTGTTGAACACTTCTGCAAGCTTATTTCGTGAAATCCGAATTTCGGTTCAGCATACCTTGAAGTACACCCTCCGAGTGTGTACTTGTACTTCGCATAAAGTTTTTTGTTTGTTTTTTTTTCGAGGAAAGTACAACTCCCGGCTTCAAAGTGCATTCCCCAAATTTGGTCTCGTTAGTTTTGTATCACAAAATGATGCTTTGTCAACTCTGAAGAAATACTGGGAGGGATATAACTAGGTATTCCTAGGTATTAGGTTGAAACGTGAGCAGACGACGCGTCACTCCGTCGGTTTCAAGTTGTGATGGGCCGAACTTTTGCCCAATCAAAAGTTCGGCGCCGAATCTTTGGATTCGGCGAAGCCGAACTTCTCTAAAGATTCGGCAAAGATACATTGTTACCAGACTTAACGTTGATATTTAGTTTTTTCTGGCGAAAAACGGTTTTATGTTTTCTTTTTCTTAACTTAAATGAAACATGTAATGCATATTGACACAGTTATTATAAAATGAGCTGATATCCTACAAGATAATTGTATCGGTGCAATTTTCGTGTGTTTACTGGCCAGTTTAGTGACTGCTTGCAGACGTGGCGTACAATCACGAATCACGCTACGAGAGTTTCGGTTTTAAGGCCTCATCAGCGCAAGCCTGCAAGTGTGTTTACCAGTGTTGCGTACATCGTTAAAATAAAGGCAATACGCCTCGCAAGTGGGCTCGTTTTCGTATTCTGCGCATGAGAAAGGAAGTAGCGGTGACGTCAGAACGCCGAGTCCTGATTGGCTGATCGCGACCCCCTATCTCAGCGTCGTCTGCTCCTTTGCAACGTCGTCTGCTTGCAACACCGTCTGCGTCTCTTTTACCTTTCCTGCGACTTTCGGAGCGAACTCGACTTCGCCTTTACAGGAGGGCAGACGAAATAACTCGAGCGGTACGTTGTTTTTGTCTAACAACTAGCAGACGCGCATCAAGGAGGGAAGTCAAAGGACTCACTGGCGAGGTGTCCCGGGGCGCCTAGGTTTGTTTGCTTAGAACCGAGAGTGAGCGTGTTAGTGTCCGTAAGTTCCCTCCCAAATACTTTTTCCCTCTATTCCTGTGCGGCGAGACCCCTCACTCTTTGACGGCGCCGGCGGGTTGGCGCAGTTAACGTCGCCTGCTTTACGTCTGCTAGTCAAAGCGATGGCTGCTTTACCTTTCCTGCGTCTCTCGGAGATTCACCGCTTTTTCACCGGCGAGAGTCACCGTTGCCTCGGGAAACAAGGAGATAACAAGAGGAAAAAATTGACCTCTTAATCTAAAATTGAGGTCAGCGATCAAAGTATAACACGGGAAGGGTTCACAAGGGTCGCGCGGGCATATTCCATTCAGCACGTCAGCCGGTCGTGGGCAGACGGTCGCCGAGTCGCGGGGTGCCTGCTAGGCCTAACTGCCCAGCTCGTTTGGTCGCGTTTGGTAGAATCGAGGCCGTTGGAGCTTTTCCCCGGGTTTGTGGATCCAGCGTTCTTGTTCGTCATGCTCTGTTTCAAGTAATTTTTACTTTTTTCTTGCTGCTTGAAGTCAGGACGTGTCAGAAGCTCACGTAGAAAAATAAACGTCCGTGGGTCGTCGCGACTGCGACGCTGTCCGCCATGCTGAGTTGATCGTAAGAAGTGCGTAAGACAGCTTCGGAGCTGTCGTAGGATTTCGCCGTAACCTGCGCAAAACTTACAAAAATTTCGTTTCGCGAATACGAATTTGTTCTTAAGTTTTGTCTTACGCACATTTTTGGCGTAAGATCGTTTCGTGAATCTGGCCTCTGCACTTCCGAAAGTCGCAGGAAACGTAAGACAGACGCAGACGATGTTGCGAGCAGACGACGTTGCAAAGGAGCAGACGACGCTCAGATAGGGGGGCGCGATCAGCCAATCAGGGCTCGGCGTTCTGACGTCACCGCTACCCCCTGCGCAAGAAGCAGACGAACTTGCCCTCCGCATAACACCGCGTTCTTGCTTTCTCTGGGAGTCACCATTTCATGCGCAAAACGAATGCAACGGTTGCTGAGCCTCCACCAGAAGAGATAACAATATTATTGTAAATATGCATGTTTTTTTCGATTTGAGTCGCTTGACGTCAGCTTTGCACGAAAGTGTGCATCCTACATTCGCAACGTCTCGTTTTTAACCTTTAAAATGCCGGTTTCTGGTGTGAGGAAACACACGGACGTTCAGGAAGATGGTGGGAGTTAGAAATGTCGGATGTGCAACGTCGAGCATTGTAGTTCTGTGTTTCGCTTTATGCAGATACATGAAATTCGCGAAATAACGCTAATTGAAAAAGCAATATTATTTTGTTTTGGAACACACTACTTCTGAGCCGAAAACAGGACTGCTATAATAGCGAGGAGTGCTTTAAAGTAATTGCCAGTCAATGTTGCAACTACCTCGTTGCATCACTGGAAAGGCAAATGAAAATCACGTTAGCCAGAGTGTACCACATCATTTGTCACTTGCCTTGTGGACTGCGTGAGGTAGAAAATATTGAAGAGAACTACACTCGCTCGCAAACGCACAGTTTTCGTGTCGCCTACTCCGCCCCTCGCCATAACCGCTGGTTGTACTACACTGCACGATGGTAACCGCACGACTGAACGGCGTCGATTTTTAATCCATGGCCCCTTCGCGTTCTCGCGCGTGCGCAGACGTTTGCCGAATTTTCGCCGAATCTTTGCCGAACATTCCCTCGAAAGTTCGGCGTTTGCCGAACTTTGTTGAATTTGAAGTTCGACAGATTCGGTCCATCACTGGTTCCCAGCACCATTTCGCCGCTCACGAGGCGGCGAAATGGGCGACCCAGTTAGGGTACCAACAAAGTCACAGCATCCCCATGGACCCCGTGGCAGCGCTACTGGCCACCTAGACCAGGATCTGGGCAAGTACGCGAGGCTTGACACCACAGTGCGCCGCTTGGTCTGTCCCGGCGCCAGGAGGCGCTGCTCTGGCGCATCCTCACCGGATGCTCAATCATCTCGGCAGTCATCTCATTCCATGGCAAGAAGAGAATCGCATCCCTCTCATCTGCCCCCATTGATCCACTCCGGCGGACCAAGTGGACGTCCGCCATCTCACCTGGACCTGTACGGGGACGCGGGCGGACCAGGAACATGGTGTCCCCCCGCCGGGAATACGATGGGACGACCCGGAGGCAACGAGGTTAGAAGTACTACGAGGGGGCACGTTGCAATATTGGTGAAGCCTAGTCATAAAAAGTTTGAACGATGTTGTGGCCAAAGATCTCTCTGGCAATTGGTGCGCGTGACATGTCACGTGTGAGATGGAGGGTTGATTGTATGAGGATTCCTTGCAGGCTTGCGCGCGCTCCGTTCGGTAGGTTTTATCAGATCGAAGGCTAGACGAAGGCTTCGGTTACAAGTCAAGAAGGTAGGACAAGCTTCTCCCACAAGCGT